GGACATCTGATGCATTTAATTAAAGAGACGCGGGTGTGAAAGCGGTTGAGAATCTGATGAAGAAGAAGGGACGATTTGATTATATTATGTTGGAGACCACCGGTCTTGCAGATCCCGGTAAGCATCTTAATCGCTGCACTTATGATAGAGTTGAGGTTGACAGTTGACAGGGCCGATTGCATCAATGTTCTGGTTGGATGACGAGCTGCAGAGTGAGATATATCTTGATGGAATATTGACTGTGGTGGATGCTAAATACGGCTTGGAGGTATCAGTTACACTGAATTCGCGAGATGTCAGGTCCAGGTGTCTTATATCTCGCCCTGCACAGCAATTGGCTGAGCGGAAATCGAACGATATGGTAAACGAGGCAATAAGGTTCGTCATTATTGAAAAACCTCTCTGGCTGTGGCTTACTGAATCCTCACGTTTATATTCAGGCAGGTCGCCTTTGCCGATCGCATCATACTGAATAAAATCGATCTCGTGACGGACGAACATATCAAAGACTTGGAAACTGCGATAAGGTGTGTTAGATTGCCAACAGTCAGTTTCCACATTCCGCTCATGCTTTTGGAGGGAATAGATCTGTGAACGCTGTAGCGCCAATATATAGAACAACCAGATCGGAGGTGCCGATAGAGTTCATGCTGGATCTGCACTGCTTTGACGACCGGTCGAAAGACCCGTTCGCTGATACCAATGCCGGTAGACCTCCATCTGCGACACATATAGACGAGGTAATTGAAGCAGATAGGTTCCATCTGCATTAGGGCATTTGTTGACACGTGATACATATTTTCACTAGGATGTCCGAACAGTGGCCTTTACTGTTCCTGGACAAGTCGACCTCCACAAACTGGATGCATGGTTACAGAGTGTTTTGTGGGAGCGAACTGTTCCAGGACGGCGGAAAGACACAGCAGGCGGAATGGAGATACTACGATTCAAAGCACTAATCAATGCGACAGGGAACGACCGCAAATGCGTCGTTCAAGCCGTTCGAGAGCTCTACGATAAACAAGAAGGCGCCTTCTGGGAGAAAGATGAAGAACGAATAAACAAAGTGGTCCTGATCGGTAAGTGTCCAATGTTTTACTTTGTGCGATTTAGCTATAGCCCTATTAATATCATATCAGGCAAAAACCTAGATGAGAGTTTCCCCCAGTCATTCCGCGAACAATGCCTTGCTACCTATTAACCGTCTCCAAACGAGCTACCTTATACGCGCCTTAAAATGCTACGACGTTCCATTCCCATTTTTTTTCTTCACCACCATGTTTAAATTTTGCTATATACAATGAGGTCCTTTAAAAAGTCATCTTCTTGAAAATGAAGAGTCAGGACCATTTCGCGGTGTGGGAGTTTGGGATTTGTAAGCAGCCCCCTCTTATTCTCTGAATCAAGCATTCGGTGTGGATACCATTGTATGTGCTAGTCTACACGTTAAGGCGGAATTTACTGGTGTTGATGAGATGGAGCAGGTTGGAGGACGACTTGTGGGGGGTACGCTGGGGCTGCTGAATAGCCAATGTAAGCATAACCAGCGCCGCCCGCGACAGGTACGGATGTATACTTTGGATAGGCTCCCACATTCATACCGATCATACCCATCACCATCCCACCCGCAACGGGGGAAACGGCGACCGTGGGGTCTACTGTCTCAACTGCCTCCGTTTCCACACTGTCTTCATTGTCGCCTTGCGGCACCTGGTCACTGTCACCACTTTCAGTCTTTGCGACAGCTGGTTCCATTTCGTCTCCGCCCGAGGCTCCAGGACTCGGGTATGTTCCAAAATATGGTATCCCTTGCGACATGGTAGGCGACATGGGAGACGACGTGGGGTATCCGTAAGCCTGATAAGGAGTTACCCATCCATGGGGTGTGTAGTATGCTGCGGTCATATTTGGGAGAGGTGCACCATTTGGAGCGTACGTAGGTGTGGGAGACATACTGCTGATGAATTGGGCAGGGGTAAGGGGAGGAGACACGGGTGACGTTGGGAGAAGGAGGCCGGTCGGGTGAGGTTTATAAAGGTAATGGGGACTATGTTGAGGAGAGATGAGCGTAGGTTTTAAAAAAAAAAAAACTTGTCATGGGGGCTGCTCCTAGAGTTGTCTTACCGGAACGAGGGACGCAGGACGCGGTGGTCTCCCCGAACGGGCTTGCCGTTCGGACCGGATACGTTGGAAGCCTGCCATCCTTTTGGACCCTGTTAAAATCAGTTACACATTCCGTAAATAGACGTGCCGCGAGTATCGTGCCACTTGTGTGTTGTCAAAAACCGACCTTTACGACGTCGTACTCCACCTAATCATATAATGACATGTCAGGGTTTGGATGATTGTATAGGATTGTATGTCTTTTCGATTAACGTACCGTTTCGCCTTCTGCCAAACTCCTGTCATTCGCAATGTGTAAAGGACTAGTGAATAAAAAGCGCTGCTGCTGCCTGCTCGTTCGTGCAGCACATACCGAAAACCACCATTGTTCAATATAGCTGTATGGTGCACAAACACTGAAAAACATGTTACATTTGGCTGGCGTGAGAACGGACCAAGGATGTGTTTGAAGACCTACCTTCCACGTCGCCAGCATCAGGAATGATGAAACCGTAACCTACAGTGAAGGCAAAAACCTTGGTGTGAGGAAATAACGCATACGCGCAGAAGTCCAAAAGAAAAGAAGCAAACCTTTCTGACTGTTAAAGAACTTGACCTTTCCAGAGGAACGCACGGGATGAGCCGTATTCATGTCTTGGCAACAAAGAACAAGAAGGAAAATGTATAGAGAAAGTACTTGCGTCGAGAAACAGACGAAAGTGTTGAAAGCGTCGGAGAAATCTTTTTATGAGGGATCAAGCCGCCGTGTGGAGCTTTGAACGGGAGGTGAACACGAAGCCGTATATTGCGGTTCGTTCAAGCAAATAGATTTGAGAAAGTGAAATCAAACGCCCGCACTTTATGAGGTACGACGATAGAATCAATTTTTGAAAAGAAGTCGTTTTGCTTCTCCAACAATCCAACAGTCTTGAGCCGCTTTTTTTAGACCGTAAGTTCATCAAGTGGAAATCGTGAGAATTGCAAGTGTTTGTTTACCTGTTTGGTTGCAGTTGCAAAAGCGCTGTGTTGTTGAACGGTTTTGTTCGTTTTGCTTGCGAAACCTGTTCGAGGAAAACGGAGCTCGATAACCAAAAGCGCGCAGCAGATCCAAACCCCGCCGTGATCACGAGAAACGTTGCAACTCAACGAACCGCTCTCATTGTCTTATTGGGTAAATTACAGGCACAGTCATGCAATGCTTGCTTGCATTTTGGGCTCAGTTTCTCCCCAACTTTCTTCAAAGGCCCTGGCCCTGAAACTACGGGCAAAGTGCGTTTTGTTTTTTCATTCGTTTGGGATCCAGGAAGGAGGAGGGCAAGAAGCAAGCAAGCAGGGACGATATCCATCACCTTTTTTTGTTGTTGCCTTTTGACGGGTCATCCTTGTTGAACATTGGGTTGGGCTGCTCACCGGGCAACACCCCCATAATTACCATAGAATTCAAGACATTTGCACTGAAACAACCAGGCAACCGATCCTTTGTTCTTGCGCTAGAGTATCACCTTTAGTTTGTTTCGAGGGATGCAAGCATCTTTTAGCGCCATACTTTTGACTCGGTCTCCCCCCAAGATTTTTGGGATTTTTAGATACAGCTACTAAGCCCTTGACTTTGTAAAACTTGAAGATTTCTAAATGTTTAGGGAATACTTATTACAATAATCAGCTGGTACTCTACGACATTGCATCCAAATAATTCTCAAGTTTACCAATAACCACCGCGCTAGCCTGCTCCGACCACTGCTGCTTCCCACACGGAGGTTTCTTGTCTCCAAAGAGACTCGGGTGCGGTACCAATGTTGGCGGAGGTCCGTAACCCCGTGTTAAAGTCATCTTACGTTTGATTATCCAAGTTCACCTATTACCATGCCTGAGACCCAGAACACTTGTCCTGAATGATCACAATGCAGTTCAGATGAGTTGGTGCGAACCCGGGTTGTTGTCATTTAAATATGTTCTGTGGAAGCACTTTTCTATGCACAATGTTATGTGCACACCCAAGTCTTTTATTTTGTCTACATACTTTGTCTACATGACGTTGAATTACATACAAGAAGGGCACTTTACACACCGCAATCGAAGCCATCGTGCTGTGAGTTGAAGGGCTTATACCCCATTCATTACACATCCCGACATCCCGAATCCACGTTAACCAGCAGGTACCCATCCCAAACATTTTGAGTCGAACAGTATTTTTCAAACCGGTGCAAGATCAAACTCTGGCCCAGCAAGGGTTCATGCTCCAGTGCGAGAACAGAATAATGTGGAGCTGTTTAAACTGATCATGGCTGGTCAATACAGGGTTGACCATCCCTTTTCCATCGAGATGAAAGGGAATCCTGAATGGATCCATTGAAGAGGATTACCTGCAAGACAGCATTTACGATTGCTCATGATGTTCCGTTCGCTTGCATGCTCGCACGTCCAGGACATGAACCCATGGATGGAGACATCTTTCCAAGAACAATGTGCATCATAACTATTTGGCTACTCTATTCCGTGACATTCTTGTACGGAGACAGTAAGCAGATATCACATTGGTAGTGCAAACGGGAAGTGGTACACAAGCAGAGTATGAGTGTTGGACTTAGGAATCATGTTATAGGTCATACATGTGTCTCCCATTGAAGGAGATGCTCGTGCTGTCGCTGTTTGCCTGCCAAGGTCCTAATGAGAACGTCTTGAAGGATTCAATTGCAATGTTCATCTCATCTTGATGAAATGGTGTACAGTCCATCATAAACTGGCGGCAGGTGTGAGAACACATCTCGTTGGTTCTTCCATCTGTCCAATTGTACACCCTGCCTCGAGAACCCTGCATAGACTATGTCTATCCTTGGCCAGACCAAGTACTTGACATCTTGTGCTGTCTGCACCTACAATATTTCGTCTTCATCTCGTTGGGGAGAACCGTGGGAAAATCAAGATAAACAAATGACTCGCTTCACGCGTTTACATAATCTAAACGTGTACGTGTCGTTTGCAAGGGGAAGAACGCATGCCAGGAGGTGAAAACGACGACGATGATTGGGCGTTCATGGCGTGCTCAGAAGAATGACGTACGCAGATACGGAATCTTTCGCCGAGAGTTCCCGAATTGCAAAAAAAAAGCGCAGTTCTCCAGGGTTATAAAAAGGCACCCTCTTCCGCATCCCCCCACCCTCTCTTCACTCGCCTTGGGACGGCGTAAAACTCGAGCCTGCCTTGGGATGGCGGAAAACTCAACTCGGTCGAAAAGTCATAACCGGATAACTTTAATGGCCGTTGTAGTAATGCAACGTACTACCTCTTTGAGGTGGGCGCCTGGGACTGATCGTTTGCGCGCGCCAGAAATAGAAGGAGCAACGACTCGCCGGAGCCTTCGGGTGATGATGGCATCCTCTTCGGGGGAAGGGCCTGTGATAAAGGATGAAAAGGATGAAAAAGATGAAAATGATGGCAAAGATATCAAACCAAACTGCCTTTGAAATCCTATCTAGACATTGTATTTTCAGCGGTTCTTGCAGTCAGCAGCTCATGCGCGATATTGCCTACAAGGCAACCCTCACCTTACTCCAGCGGTGGAGCTTTCCTGTGGTGTTGAAAACGGAACGATGAGAGTTGTATGAGTTACAGAAACAAGCATTGACTTGCAAGCTGCATACACTTGCAAGCATTAGGCCAGCTATGCCATATCCCATACGTGCATCGGATAATGCACTTGTGCATGAAAAGTGCTCTTGAAAGCACTCTTCTTTATCCTATCGGACCCATGGAACTGTTGCTGACATGAGAACTTCGTAAGCCAAGTAGGGGGTTCGACCCTCGTTCTTCACACAACAATTTGGACTGTTCAAAGAACGCGAGACACTTATCGCTGTCGTCCGTGTGCGTTGTTGGGTCCCATGCCCAGTCCATCCATTTCTTTTTTTTTCTCGTCTTGACTCTTGAGCAGCAATTGCAAAGTCATTGGCTGCATTCTCTCCTGATTCCATTATACGAGCTCACACATTATCTTGAATACTTCGATACCCTGTAACCTTCGACTGTCATACCGACCAAGTGTACAGTCATGGATACTTTGACGTTTAGCCCTCCCGCAGCAATTTACCAAGAGCATGGCCGGCATTCGCCTCCCATATGTCGCAAGCGCAAGCTGATTGAGGGAAATGGTGTCGAAGAAAATGGGAAATCGGTAGGTCTGACTACTTGGCTTTCGGTCCATTGTGGTCAACCAACTCAATTCTGGTCATGTCGTTTACTAGAAACGCTTGCATGTGGGTCCATGCCCCAATACACCTCCATTTACCATGCCCTTCTTCCCACCACCAGCGGAAATGAGCTGCAATGGCAATGTGATGCAGTGGCCCGTTCCTGGAATTGATCCCCACCTTTTGCAACAGCAATTAGCAGAGTTGCAAAAGGCCTTGCCTGGACCGACGTTTGGGATATCAGATATCCAGCAGCGTCATGTGGACCGGAGACTGGAACCTTTGATGGACATTTATGATTTTGGGAAAGTACATGAAAGGCTGCTGGCTTGTGGAGAGAGTGAACCCATGTTGTTGGATGAGGTATGTTTGGTACTGCCTGTTTGCCGCATCGATGCATTATTGAAAGCATGTTTATTTTTTTGGTAGATTCCGCCATCATTACAATCCTCATCAAGACCCAACCTTCGCCGCTCATCCTCTGATATGTCTCTATGTACCTCTCCATCCCACCATATCTCCCAATCTGTTTCCCTTTATACTCCCGTTCCATCTCCGCAGCGATCTCCCGGAAGGGCGCCAGGATCTGCCCCAATGTCTCCCGGAATGCACCGACAAATATTTTCAATGGGCTTTCGAAGGGATTGTGACAAGTGTCGGATGGGTGTACCAGGACATTATATGCACGTCATGCAACGTTGAATCTAGATACCCTTGGACCCTTTTTTCAAGGAACCATTGTTGGAGTGGGATTGATCAGTGTTGGGGTTAGAGCTGCCAGAATATCTTGTATATAGTAATAGACTGCCGCACGAGATTCCCCGCATGTTTTACTGTGCAAGTTCCGACTGCCTCATCGGACGAGAGCTATCCGTCGTCCTTGAGTACAAGGGGACATACATAGGGCAAAGAGCAGAGAGGAGGCCATTTCGGCTTGAGAGAATGATGCCCTTGGGGTCTGAGAGTAGGTGCTTTTAGCACATTGGCCTGTGCATATACGTCATTTCAGTTTCAATAGCTTGGAAGGCAACTGTTTTTAACCATTAGATGGACTGTCACTAATTATTTGGTCGTATAAATTCAGGACATAAGAAAGTAATTAGAGCGGTGAAAAGCGTTATTTTCAGAGCTATTCTCGGGTCTTGAACAAAAAAGACCATCCCAAAACGGACGGACGACATGAATACAAAAAGCGTTGGACGATAGTGTTATATAACAATCTTTTACAAACAGTTTCTCTACTGAATCTTTCTTGATGCAAATGGCATCTCACCTCGTTCTCGATTCCTTTCAAGTATTATCCCTACTGCAATGGTTCTTTGTTGGAAAGAAAACCCAAAATCACCAAAGACGGTGACTTTAAAGTTGAGAGCTCAGCTGGTTGGCCATGTGACCTTGGTCGAGATTTCAATTGATATCCGCGTGGTGTTGGGTCTTACCCCACCTTTCTTTCTTGCTCTGGTTGGATCATCGTGTTTTTTGTGGGTTTGGATCAGTGCCCAAAGGGGACACACCAGCAGCCTTCAAAGGTCTTTCGTTTTGCGGCCTAACGTACATAGGAAGTTGTGAATTTGGCAGAACTGTGGGGAAAATAGGACCTATATCCAAGACACTCATTTGCTATGGTCAACTTGAATTCCCACCCACCCGAACAGGCCCCGCGGACTCTCACCGAATTTGATACCATGACATCACCCCGCTCTCGCCGGTCTATACGAGATATATACATTCCACGTCCTCAAGATGGCACCTCATCCTCGTCCGATTCAGAAGAAGAAACGGACTTGCAAGATATTGGACGTATCCGTCAACGATTCCTTCACACGGATGATCGTAGTGCTTTTGAACGAACAGTTCTCAGTCGTACTTCGCGGAGGAGGACAAACGGGACTCTGGCGGATCAAGGCAACGAGTCGGAGAGAAGTGACGTTACAAGGAGGTGGACCGTCGACCCTTGGCGGAATCCAAGTGAACGGAGTGCTAATGAAAATCGACAGAATCTACGTCGTAGAGCTGTGGTGCGGGGGGCGTTATCGCATGTTCGTCGTCAACCGTATGACGAGGAAACCACTCGGTTTGCAGCGCAGTTGGCCCGGAATCTGTCGTACGCTTCCTTCCAACGTGCTGAAATGACTGCAAATGGAACAGACACAAGCACGAATGCCGAGTCTAGTTCCGAGACATCATCGTCGGAGGAATCAGCTCCCCTCCCCCCTCTTGCACCTATACCCATCACAGCAGATGCGAATTCCATCACAATCCATGCGGACATGACTCCAGAACCTACGGTTTCACGAATCATGGATCCCCTCTCTCCCTATGTCCGAATTGTTGTACTACCTCCCGATAACAGTACCGATCCTATCCCCTTTAAAATTCGACGTACGACACCCCTGGAGCGCCTCATGGACGTTTATTGTCGGAGAACGGGCAGAAGTGCGTTGTGGTCTGAATTTATGTTTGGGGACGCCAGGCTACTCGGAAAACAGACGCCCGAAGAGTTGGGAGTGGAAAAGGCGGCAGTGATTCGGTATGTGGAGCTGGGCGAGCGCGTGGGCCGGTGATGATGATGTCCTTGGACTGCTGTTGCTATGATATAATACCCCAGGATCGCGTTTACCATATCAAAAGGATAGTAACTCGGTGCGGTCTGGTGTAAAGATGGACTGCAGACCTTACCATGAGCTGATGGGTATATTCATGTTCTTATATTTCGGCCTCTTGGTCACGCATTGCGTTTTGTATATACCATGTATAGTGCTACACGTTGGGTTGTCTTTTTGTGCAATAGGTGATTTACTTTGCAACCTTTATGACATGGCGTTGGCAACAATATAGATATTAGTCTCTTTGTTCCCCGAGTTTGTGTCATCTTTTTTTTGGACTTTTATCTTGGAACATGGCTCATATGAATGTAATACAGTTCGAGCAGCAGCAGGGATATTTGCCCACACATTGCTCAAAGAATCGACAAGACCCGGATTGCGGCGCAAGTGGTGCAATGTGAAGAAGATAATAATAAAGTCTCTGTTCAAAAACATGTTGCAAATACAAAATATAAAACACTTGATAACACATTTCCACTAATGTTGCTGTCAATCACGAATGCTGCTACGACCTTGCATTTTCGATAGCCTTAAGAATGTCTTGAGCAACCTCCTCAGGCGTCCTGCCATCCTCCACCTCAAATATAATCTTTGCCCATTGGGACCCATCCGCCAGATCTAGAGCAATAGCCGTCGCCTTCTTTCTAGCATAAATAAAATCCGGTTTCCGGTGAAGGTGATAAAAATTGCCTATAAACAACCATGTATTAGACGCTGTATCCGGCCTCGTCAATCTCTCCAAAAAAGTAAAACCTACCAGCATAAAAGACGCCCGGCACACTCGTCCCAACACGGAGCCCATTCCAGCAGACGCACAGGTCGTCTGGCCGAACACGGACGTTCGTAATGTGTTTAAGTGGGACGGACACGGGTGAGAATTGCACTGCGAGGAGTTTTTGACATGTTGTGAGGGAAAGGACAAGGTCAGTTGACGTTAATTGGAGAGTTGGGGCCATGGCTTCTGAGAAACGATAAACAAAACAAAAAGAAAATCGCAAAAGTGAAATGGAAAAGGTTGGGAGGGATTCCTGCGCTTGTCTTTTTGTACTCGAGGACTGATGGGTCATCAGATTTATTTCTGGAAACGCGACCCGCGCAGGTGGGGGCTTCTGCCAAGTCCACAGTAGGCAAGAACAACTTGGCAAGAGTATTCCTGGGGCAACATTTCTCTTTTTAACAAACAATGGCATCTATTTCACATCCGAAATTCTCCATACACATTTCCTAATGCTTTGTTGGCAGAGAAGTTACAATATCCCATATCGTATTCTCTTTTGCCCCCAACATGTGTGTCGTCTTGAAGGAATCAAACGATTAATGGATCCCAATCCACACATATTGGCCGCATTGTGTATGACGATTCGGATCCGCAGAAATAACTGCCAAGGCAGTAGGGTCACACGTTGGCTTCCGGGGATCCACACATGGTTATAGATGTATTTACCAACCCGCCACTGAACCGTAGTGTAGCGTAGCGTATTCCCCTCTGTTTATCCTAAATATGGTGAATACCCGACTTGGCTCTAAAGCGAAACAAAGCCCTAAAGACTAAAATTGTCCAATATGTGTTCAATCCAGTAAACACTACATAATTGATGCATGTCAGAATCCAGACAATGCCTGGCAGCCGCCGTAGTCGTTGCCAGAGGAGGAGTGGCCGGGCAATGGCAACTGTGGCCTTGGCCGGAAGGGATCCTTGACCGGAACGCTCTTCCACCTTTTGCACAATGTTGTTCTCCCTCACATCCGCGTCGTTTGTTCGCTTTGTAACACGGAGAGCGTACCAGAGACCCAAGGGTCCTGCTGGCGCACGCACCAATAAAAACAATACGCATCGAACAATCAACCAAAATTCATACGCCTTGCCCGTTTCCTTGCCCAGTTTTTGCATCACCCACAAGACATTTGTCGCAACCACGGTTAGTTCGCTTGGTAAGAACACGGCTGGAAAATAGCTGGCTACTTTGTAATGCCGCATGAAACCCGCCCCCAGGGCTCCAAGAACGTGGTGAATCCAGGCAGATGGATGCTGCCTTCCCACGATCCCCATTACATAACTATCATATAATGTGTAGCCTGTCATATTTGTTAATTTAGAATAATTTGGTGCTGAATAAGCTGGAACGAAACTTACCGATATGGGCAGCAAGAGTTCGGTCCAAGAGTTCAGGATAAGGTTCAATAACATCCTCAGAGTATGGTTGACGCTTCAATAGTAAGTATAAGGAACTAACGGAAACAGTGAGTGCGTTCACAGTCGATGGAAGCTTTTCTGCAAGGAACAAAAGATCGGCGGAATTCAGACGCGCAAGTGTTGCGGGGGATAGATAGTGTATAAGCTGAGCCGCGATTTTGTGGAGAATCAGGTGGAAACCTAGCGGAACTAGGACTTGGGCATCTGCAAATTGCTTGAGAGGAAGACTCGGGACAGGCATCTTGCGTTGCCTGTCGCCATTCGCCGCACAAGCTCCGGGATCGAAGAGTCCGGGAGTCCGCGCGCAATCGCAGCGCGCAGCAGTCACGTGCGATGCCAGCTATCTGGAACCGCCCGCTCATTGCAGTCTCCATTTGGTTGCTCAATTCCGTGTCAAAGCAGAACTGTAGCCATGCTCGACGCTGTCACAGTTTTGACCAAGGGGGGTTTGGTCCTTTGGTCTAAAGCGTACACCGATATCCGCGGCCCGCAAAATCCCATTGACAGTCTAATTCGCGACGTGCTGATCGAGGAGAAGGCTAGCAGTGACGGATATGTCAAGGATAACTGGAGAGTCAAGTGGACCTTTGCCAATGAGCTGGGATTGATATTTGTCGTGAGTGCCCCCACGTTGAACCGAGCTCCGTAGATTGCCTCGCTCATGGCTTTGTGACGTGACAGATAGTATATCAAAAGATCCTTCAGCTCGCGTACATTGACGAACTCTTGGAAGCTTTTAAGCGTCTGTTTTGCAAAGACTATGCGTCCAAAATTGCCACCCCAGACATTCTCAACTCATATGACGATTTTGAACAAAAATTCGACACGCTATTAGCCGCATTGGAAGCAGACGAGCTGAAGGTAATCCACTGTCACCGAACTCCATGCTCATTAGAAACACTGATTGGATTGTCAAATTTTCAAGGCCAAGAAGTCAAAGGGACCTAGAAAGTTTGAAGATACCAAGGGATATCAAAACACGCTGGCGGGATCCAAAAACACTGACAAAGGTAGCTAAAGAATATCTGCGTGATGCTCTCCTTGCCGCTATTGACCTCTATTTGCTTCAAACATGTAAAAGACACGTCAAGTGCACAATTAGCACCCGAAGACACCGATAGTGAATCGCACTCTTCCAAATCGGTTGGAGACAGCCTGGACGAAAAGTTGAACGCGCTAGGACTGACTGGCCGACGGGGTGCCAAGGGAAAGCGGAGAGGCGGGAAAACATCCGGAGGGTCCAGAAATGCAAGTCAAGAGTCATCACCGGTCGAAGGGTATGTCTCATTGTGGCTGCAATCTGGTTGTAGTTATCGTATTGAACCGCTGTGGTGTTTCCAGGCGAAAGTCAGTTAAGGCATCGCGGACATGGGTGGGTGGCGTTGCGGGATCAACAACGTCGGGGAATTTGGACTATAGTGATTCCAAGGAACCCACGTCAGTAGTTCCTTCTGGGGATCTGGTGGGTTGACCAGACATGCGCAAGGAACGTCTGGAGTGGTCAGCATCTAACCTCAACTCTTAGGTTGGGACAGCCCTTGGAAGCCGAACAGCGGACGGTTTGTACGACGCATTAGAAATGGACGAGAGACCATCCGACGATGAGAATGATGAAACCACAGAATCAACAAGCACCAAGCCAAAGGGCATCCTTTCCTTCTTCCAGAACCTAACTAGTGCCAAAGTTCTCAAGCGAGAGGACTTGGAGCCGATCATGGCCAAAATGCGCGAACACATGGTCAACAAAAATGTAGCAGCAGATGTCGCAGACCACCTCTCTGAATCTGTTCTACAAGGTCTTACTGGCCAAAAGATTGGAGCCTTTTCATCTCTAACATCCGCTGTCAAATCCCAAATGGAATCTGCACTTCGTCGGATTTTGACTCCTCGCACGTCAACCGACGTACTACGCGACATCTTCTCCGCACAGCAATCTGGACGACCTTACACAATCACATTCGTGGGTGTGAACGGAGTCGGGAAGAGTACGAATCTCTCCAAAGTGTGCTTTTGGCTCTTGCAGAATAATTTAAAGGTTCTGATTGCCGCGTGTGATACCTTCCGATCGGGTGCTGTGGAGCAGTTACGAGTTCATGAGAGGAACTTGAGAATTGTGAGACCTGGTGCGATTGTAGAGTTGTTTGATCGGGGGTATGGAAAGGATCCAGCGGGGATTGCCAAAGATGCCATTGCCTATGGTAAGGACCATTGTTTGGATAGAAACCGCAAAAGCATTGTTCTCATTTCGGTCTCCGCAGCCAAAAACAACCATTTCGACGTTGTTCTCATTGACACAGCGGGCCGGATGCAAGATAACGAACCGCTCATGCGGGCGCTTGCAAAGCTTGTTGCCGTTAATAACCCAGACAAGGTCATCTTTGTCGGTGAAGCCCTCGTAGGCAATGAAGCCGTAGATCAGCTGACCAAATTCAATCAAGCGTTGAAAGATTTCAGTGGTCTCTCAAATCCCAGGCAGATTGATGGAATGATCTTGACAAAGTTTGATACCATTGACGATAAAGTGAGCCATGGACTATATTTTTAAAACTATCTTTGCATGATGAATGCTAACTCTGGTCGGAATAGGTTGGCGCGGCACTTTCCATGACATATATTACCGGACAGCCGATCCTCTTTGTGGGAACCGGTCAGACGTACACGGATTTGAGAAAGATGAATGTTAGGAGTATAGTTAATTCACTCCTGGCCAAATAGGTGTAGGGGACGGCCCGTTTGGAGGGGCAGCAGGCTGTTACTTTGGACCAGAACGGTCATATTCCAGATTTGATGTTGGATAACGTGTTGATCGTGCGGTCCGCGATGCAAATAGATGGTTTCATTGCAGGAGAAATACGAAATGCTTTATTGCATTGCACTGTCCCACGCAACACAACACAAGAGTTATATTCACAATAATTTTTGTATTTACCGCTTCTCACATCTGAGAATAACGGCAGCATCATTATGGTCTTCCATGGAGAGTGCTCTCAACCCAGTGTCGGCTGCATATGTTGAAACGCGTAGCCAGGACTGAAACCCAGGCATCACCGATGCAGACTCTACCTCATCATCGCCATCTTTGGCCCATGTTTTCAAACCCCCTACAAACGCCAACTCTGGCTCGGCCAATGATGCCGCCACGATAGTTTCCTTTTTACCGCGACCAAACAGTCCAGCCAAGCTCAATCCTCTCCTTTGCTTTCTTTCACCCTGCTGTTGCCCTCCACCAAGTGCTATCAACGGATCTACCCCGAAATATCTCCCCAGCATAACCTTGGCAGTCCCTTCTCCAAGACCATAAAACATTCCTTGGAAGAACGGGGTAATAACAAGGGAAACAAATGCGCGCAAGTTGGCATATTGCGCCAATGTATCGGTTTTACCATTATGTGGGAGAAGGTCAGATGCACTTGGAGGAAGAATTTTCGATTCGATTTCAGCTGATGAATCGGTATCCGTTCCCCCCACGTCTGACTCATCGTCCGCGTCCGATGGGTGCGTGAACTTTGACCGACGCTTCGAATGGGTCGTGCGGGTAGCATGCTGTGTCCTTCGCGGGGAAATGGGTCTCGGATGGGAAAGGATGGTGGGAGATGGGTCTGCGGGAGCGGTGGCTGCGGTTAGACCGGGAGATGCTGGTGTTGGCGTGACAGGAGTGTTTGGAGGGACTTGATGAACCGGAGACGATGCCGTTTGAGGTCGACGCGTAGGGTCGAGAGGTAGCGTATGAATCGTCATGTCGTGCTGGCGTTGAACAAGCGCTCTTGTGAGAGGGATGGAAATTCAAAAGAGATGATGGTGACGAGAAAATACGGGCTGACACTCTGCGTTGATCGCCCCCGTGGCCGACTGACTGTAGTGGCACAGTCATCTTATGGATGTCATTCCAAGTTCCAAACCCGACGCCCGTCAGGTAGGCGCACATCTCATGTGAACAAGGACATGATGAATACACTTACTGGAACCATCGCCGTAGAACACGGAAAACTGTTCTATACGCACACTCCCGCATATCCTGCAGTCACCCAAAGACCCCCGTTGCTACTCATCCATGCAGGTGTTGCTGATCACTCAATGTGGGAGACGACTGTGGCTCACTTTAGCCAGAGAGGACACCAAGTCATCACATATGACACTAGAGGGTACGGCCAAACCCGAAATGATACTACAGCTCCAGAAACTGCGTCATACAGTAATGTCGACGACGCGATTGCATTGCTAGATCACCTTGGAGTGAACCAAGTTGTTGTCGTCGGTAACTCTCGCGGTGGAGCGATTGCCTTAGATATCGCATTACAGTTTCCTAAACGAGTAATTGGGGTCGTCCATATTTGTGGTGGAGTGGGCGGGTTAGAAGGTCCAGAATATGATGAGACTACCAGCGGAACGGACCTTGAGAAGGAGATCTTCACCAAAATCCTTCAGGTCTACAGTGATAAGAATTGGGATGCGTTGGAGGACCTGTTTGCATCTGCTTGGGCAGATGGAGTTGGACAGCCTTTACGCAGATCAGGACATGTGCATGACCGTGTCAAGCAAATGGTCCATGCCAATTTGGCGGCTCATGAAAAGAGCGGAGAAGCACTGGCTGTTAAACCCAGACATCCGCAGCCGTCTGCAGCAGAGAGAATTGAACAATTGATGTCTCCGCTGTTGGTGATTGTTGGTGGGCTGGACACCTCTGCTACCATTAGAACTGCGGATTGGCTGGTCAGTAAAGTAGAAAAGGTTACAAGGGTGGACTTTCCGCAGTGTGCTCATATGGTTAGTTTGGAGGAGCCTGACAAGTTCCATTGCGTTGTTGAGGAATGGTTGGAAAACAATGTTGGCTGTGTCAAGGCTATATGAAATAATCGGTTACTATGTGAATGCGAAGGACATAGACTTGGAAACAAGCACGTCATTCGTAACCCATCAACTGACATTGGGCTAGTAGCAACAGCCTTCTGTTTGTAACGACGCCTACTACGCAAGCCCATAAGCCAAAGTCAACAAATCCAATTCTGTATTCACAACCCTTTATCTTAACGAGAACGATGAAGCGAGGTACACTCGAATCTCAATGATATTGTGTTATAGCACACAATGGAAGTAGAATCCAAGTGCCTTCCGAGAGATATACAATTTCGCCACATTTCAGTAGAGGGTTGAGTAGCGCCATATTATAGGCAGTTTATGTGCCCATTAAAGAATACAAGATGAACCACATTTTGGCAGTCATTGATATGAAAAGGCGCTGACGCCCGACCAAGAGAGGCATTCACAACGTTTGCAAGATGACCTATGCAGATTTCGATATCATCATTTTACTATTACTATACATGACCATCGTCACAGGTACTTCCCCTGCACCTCCAATGCTCCATTGGAAAATTGTTGCCACTGACCCTCCAAGTACTACAAGATACCATTGTGTGTTATGAATGATATACTCGGGCGCTAATTGCCGAGGCTTGCTGCCGACTAGATCCAGCTGCTGTTTCATCGGACGTACACAAATTTTCTAACAGACTACAAGGCAAGTCAATTCCCTAATCCCCAAAAAACCCACACTATCCTCCCCGGCAAACAACGAAAAAGTAAACAGAAACTAACAGAAAGCAACTTGTTCTCACCGTCGTCTGGCGGCTGCGGCATTCTGCTGTACAAACTTTGGTATAGCGTACAGATATATCAGGTTTGCAGCGTTGTAAAGTAAGAGCATGACGTCCCCAAAAACCATCCCGTATATCGCTGCATCGGCCAAGGTAACTATTATAGCCAATCCAGAGAAGAGGATCATGAAAGATAACACAAAGACCATGCTATGTCCGCTAATGATCCGGTCTTGTTTCTTTTGGACAGGCTTACGCATCGACGGATCGACGGCTGAAGAGGCGCGAATATCGCGTGTGGAGGGTAAAGAGCGGACCGCCGACGAAGGTGCGCTCTCATGGAGATCTGTCGTCGATGTTCCGCCTGCACTGGATTGGAGTAACTCGGAGACCGCAGTAGGAATTGCCAAAAACAATGATTTAAATGTCCAAGGTTGACGAGCCGGTGGACTTTGTCCAACGTCTGCAGCCGTTGCCCGACTGCTAGCACCAGGATCCACTACATTTTTCCGCATCTTCAATACCAATCTCAGTGATGCAACTGCGAGGGCCCAATCAACAAGAATGTCCCACACGAGTGGAAGCCCAAGGGCACCCCATGCTGCATATTTCTCGAATTGGGTGACCCTTCCTTTTGTAAGGATGAGGGCCCATGCTACGGCGCCGTATCCCCATCCCACGGCGGTGAAGAAGGCGGTTAGGGTGAGAAGCAGGATTCGGAGCCAGCGGGGATAGAACGTAATGTGATCGAATACGCCTGGAGGTTATCAAGGGTTTAAATAAGGGAATTGGAGAATTGGAAAGGACCAGGCAATCAGTCAGTACGTACCAAAACGGACAATATTAATGACGTTTACAATGGCACCACATGCAATCGTCGCCGTGCTAAAAAAAAAATAGAGAACATGTAATTTAGCGCCCTGCATTGCCATCAGGCAACGACGAAAAGCAAGTAACTTACTACATCAAAAAGGTCCATATGCCTTCAAAGCATCCTACGCCCTGCCTAGTGACAACATGATCGACCACGAACCCCAGCATGCTCATCAAACTCGTAAAAATGGCAACCCATGACACTATTAGTGCCAAGTTAAATTTCGACTTTCGGGCCATATATCGACGGACGGTGTAAGCTATTCCAACTAGCGCTAGACATGACCCAAGAGCGAGGAACGGCACGCTGATGTGCATGACACTAGCCAAAAGAGAACAAGGTTGACGTTAATTCTAAAAGTGTCGCCCATTGACACTTGTTTGAGGAGTCGCCTACTTTTGCGGGTATTTGGCTACGCAAATGTCGAGGTTATGAGGCAAAGAGTTGTTGTGCATGGTTGCAACAGTGAGCGAGTCTCTTTGACACCGCTATCAAGACTTTTTATTTCGCAGCCTTGTTTAAAAAAAAGAGTAAAGTCCATAAAAACCCGAAAGTAAGCTTGCCGCACGGGCATTTTGATAACCGCTAGCTTTATGCAAGTCCGTTGTTTGTTGAGCGGATCCTCTGATTTACTAAAAACTCTTTTTTTTTCTGGGTCATGGAAAGTAATCAAAAAGATTGCTATTCATTGCGTCGTATTTCTGGACACCACCCCATTACCTATCAAAAGGATCTGCCCAAAGTGCGAGACGGGCACAAGAATCAAAACAAAAGATTGTTTATTTGAGGCACCATCAACAAACCATTGAGAGTTCCTCAACTGGGTACTTTGTTAATTCCCCATGTCTGCCGTTTTCTAATTCCAACCGTCCATTCTTCCTTTATGAATTTACATTGTACTTGTCACCCATAACATGCTTAACCTTGTTAAACTTCCGCCGAGGTAAACAAAAGCCCTCGAGGGTTGCGTTGATTTTAACTTTAGATTTGGTTCAATCCGTCACATGGCCTATATTGGATTAATTGCATTTGAACGATTGCATTTAACAATTTAAGAGGGCGGAGCTAAAAACTTCACAAAGATTTCAAGCACCGCAAGAATCTTGGCACCGACAAGAAACGCATAAAGAATGCACGTTATCCTACCCTCATTACCTCATCTAAGAACAATATTTTACATTTCAAAGGCTATGCTATTCTACAAACACATACACTCATTCCCCCACTATGTTGCAAAGACTGTATGCTGTGCTACTAACGCCGTGCTCTTGATTCATATGGATGAAACCTGCGGGTAGAGTTAAGAGATTGTACTATGGAAATGCGTCCATCATGCACGAAACCAACCTGCGAGATTGGGACTTTAGAGGCACATCGTCCCTCGAGTTCCGTCTCACAGGCCATGACAGCTCTAAACCACTATCTCTACGTTCAAATTTTGTGGCGGAGCAATCGATGGTTGACGAAATCGGAGATGAACAGGATTCACTTTCTGAAATTGGCGACGGAGAGGAACATTGGCGGCGGCCAAGAGGCCCTGAGCAGTTCATATAGGGAAGGTTCTTTTTCGGGAGATCCAAGCCAATTCTCGTAGTCTTCCGGTTCGTCGCACAGGTTTCCCCGCAGTACCATGTTATTTCGTTAGAATCTGCCCACACTGAATCCGGAATCTTTCCATGACATTCGATGTGATACGCTGTCGAATCGATATGAGAAACACAGCCCCATACTAGCGTGGTCAATAAATCTCACCTCGAGGACAGCCATCACATTGAACAAGAACTGTGCCGTTCGGGGAAGTTCTCTGGAAGCACACAATGCAAAAGTCTTGCAGGACAGGACGACATCGTTCACCTAACGATTCTCCTCGGAACTGAGTCAGATCGAGCCTGCTTTGCTTATCAGCATATCCATAGCCTTTGTAGTCACATCCATGTTTACTAGAGTTTGATGCGTTAGATCCCAGATCATTGGAGCCGACATTAGCATGATCCATAACCTACTTGCACAAGGTCCTCCGTCCCCAGGGACCAGGCCTGAACGCTGCAGTCTGTCCAGCTTTGGTCACTCCACAATACCGACACCAGTCAATACCCTTTTGAGTAAACTCCTCATATATAGTTGGTCTATGCGATTGGCGTACGACACAATCCTTGACAGGTTCATCATCTCCATCAATATCAATCATTTCGTCTTCTACGTCCACCTCCAGTACTCCGTCTGATATGCTTTCGATATCATCATCCTCCCTACCCGCGATTACTGCACTCCCATCCGTAAGATCATCCAGATCCGAGTCACAATCAAGAATCTCCAGATGTTCACTTTTACATGGAACACTCTCTGGGGGTTCGGGACTTGGCGAAAACAACACCGGATCTGACAAGTCGCCAAAAATTCGCCCGGATGTGATCGTGTCATCAACGCCGTTGTTTTCAGCGGTCAGATTAGCTTCCCTGTGATATGTATCGTATGTTAGCAGGTTGGCATTCATAACGCTGTATCGTGGGAACTTACGCATCTGCCGCCAATCCACTGAGCAAGTTTTCACCAAGTCCAGCCTGCAGCGCCTCCTGCAGAGGATTCAGCTCAAAGGAATCGCTCCTATCAATCACGTCTGAAGGATCGATGTCAATATCCTCTGCAGCCTCTTCGACCACCGCTGCTGTGGCGTTGGGCGGAAAAAGGCACGGATTCGGCAAGCTGGATGACTTTAAAGGGCCCGCGGGTATCACTATCGCAGTGAACATGGAGTCACTGTAATGGTGGGTATATTCGTCGACCAAGGCATCCGTGTTGCTCGGCGGCTCCAAGGGAAGGAAGGGAAGTGTGTGATACGGGTGCGTTGGCATTTCCAGCATACTTGTCAATTGTCTTTTAGTCTTCTTCTTTACACACACTCGTCTGTTTTGCTTCCAAACCCTGGTAGCAAGCTGTAATTTCTTGAACGAAATTCGTTGGCAAGTTGACAGCTGAAAGGGGAGTTTCCCTTCAATCTGACACCGCGCGTGTGGCCATGGAGGTTGTGGCCATTACAAGTGTGAGGTCATTCTCTCGGGCGATGGAAATGGCCAGAGATCCAATCAAACTTTCCGGTTTCATATCTGGATGGATTGCATGCATTCCATGGATCCAGTGTATTATAGTCACATGACATTTATGAATTCTTTTTGACGAGCGTTCAAACTACCAGTAGGTCTTGTTTGCTTTTTGCAACATGCCGTCTTCGTCCTTGTCCGCGCAGCTCAAGCAGCTGGCTGCGGCTCATGTGCCCGGTACAGGAAAGGGAAAGGCATCGCTTCTATTTACGGCCAAACAGGCGGCAGATATAGATATCGATAGTTTATTTGTAATTGGACGAAATGCCCTCGTCGACTTGTGTACCCACAACCCGGCCTTCAAAGACTTTGAAGAGACATTATTTTCAGAGAGAATAAAAACCTTGGATAGGACATTGCAGGTTTGCGTCTCGCCGTGTCATCAACAAACATGAAGCCCCATTTTTGACGCCGCCCCTTGTTCGATAGACAAAGGCGGACAATGAAAAGCTGGACGAAAGCATTAACAAGTTCTTGCGCCTTCTCTCGCCATATTTCCTTTTGCAAAGTACCTTCAAAGCTCTAGAGTGGCTTTTGCGGCGATTTCGGTGAGTATCCCGAACTGTGCATGATCCGTGTTCAACGAGTTCATCGACTTTCTTGTGATATAGAATCAACGAATTCAATGTCGACGTGATCGTGGAATGTATCCTTCCTTACCATGAAACGAAGCAGTTTGTGCAGGTGGTCGGCGTACTCGCCCTACCGTAAGTATCTGCGTCTCTGGCCCTTCGTTAAACTGGATTCTGAACGTGTCATACACAGTGAGGACTCGCGGTGGGGTTTTCTCAAGGCGATCCAAAAGACCAAGGTGCCTCTGGACCGGGTCACATTGATCCAACGATTGACAGCTGACAGAACTGTGTTGGAGTTCATTTGTGGAATGGTATGAAGAAATATGGTTTTGGAACATTTGGAGATACGCTGACATGACTGGTTTTTAGATTATATCCTCCAAACAAGCGGGAGTGATCAATAGAACTTTATGGACTTTCTTCGCCTTGACCGTTATTCAATATATCCAGAGTTTGACAGTAGTGTCTGATGAGGACATACGCCTGCTTCTGGCCCCACTTCTTTCCCTCTTGCGTATCGGAAATCCCCAATACGCGGATCTCTTGGCGACAGCGCAGATGGTGTTTGCTCAGATTGCCAACCGTGCCCCCCTGAGCAACGAAGTTGTGTTAACCATTGTGGAGAATGCGGCGGCGGGTGTTACCCCCACCACTCTGCAGTCGTCGATCACCTTCCTCTTGACAATATATCGGTCCCAGGAAATCGGCGCTATACCTGCCAAAGCATTTTCTCGTTTATTGGATGTAAAGGGATTTGAGGAAACGCTGGCACAAATAAACAAGACGTACGAGGCAGATAAGCTGCTCTGCCCAATGTTCGAGGCCGCCGTTAGTGCACTCGGCAGTCCTGAAAGTGCCCAAAAACTTGCAGCAAGGGCCGAGCAATTTATCGAAGTGATCCTTGATCACGGGGAGCCATCCAGTGAAGCACTTTCCTTCTTCGTCAATGCTATTCTCCAGTCGTATCTGGAAAACAGGGATCCCGACGAAGGTTCTGCACTGAAGCTTAAGAATATCTTGCAATCAATGCAGCGTAGGCACGGTCATGCCGTGGACCAAGTTGTAGAGGCAAAGTTAAAGGATTGCGAACAGCGCGGTGACAAGGAACAACAGCAGGCTCTCTACGACTTTGTAACATCAACATTTAGAGGAACAGGCGGCCGGGTTGTAAAGAATGCAAACACCACGTTATACCTTAGCCTCCAACACGTAAATGCCAACATTCGTTTGATGGCACTAGAAAATTTGACGGAGATGTTGAGCAACGGTGAACAAGAAGATATCGAATTTGCGGAAGATATCCTGTTAAGCCGACTACAGGATGATGACGACCGTGTTCTAAAACACGTACTTGAGCTGCCTCTCCTAACCGATATCGTTGAGCCTTTGAAATTGGCCCCTGCAATGCAAGCGTTGTTGCGTTCTGAAACAGTTTCATTGAAAAACAAATGCCGAGCGTTTGATATATGTGTGGAGCTATTGAAGTCCGACGAAACGCGAACCCTATCCTCTCTCAGGCACGACATATTGGGATGCTTCCTCCTCACAAGGGAATCTCGTCGACTCAACAGACACTCCTTCGCATGTGCCGCGAAACCTGGTTTCCCACTTCAGGAACTTGTTCGGAAATGCGAGAACCTAGTCTCTGACCTTGACACTTTGATCGAGTCTAAGGATGGAAAGGCTGCAAAGAGCGCTGCATTCGTCCCTGTAACAGCACGCGCAATCTCTACCTTGGCGAATAATCTGAAGAAACCAAAGACCGCTGCAAATATTGATGCCTACGTGGAAGGCTTAGCATCGGCATCTTTCTCTACGCGCCAGTTGAGCGCATTGGTTTTGATCAAAGCTCTTCAAGCTAAAACCGCCGGAGAACAACTGCAATTGGCTGATCGAATCGTTGCCATTGTTGCGAAGCAATTGAGCACAGTCAAACGTGATAGCCAAAACGATTGTACTATTCAAGAGGAAACTGGATTGCTCAAAGATATCGTCAACGTCCGTGCGAGCAATGCTTCAAGTCATGCTGTCGAGTTCCAGGTTGTTATGTTTGTACTGAAAAGCGTAATTGACACCATTATTCGACCAAACGCTGCAACTATTGCATGGTTATCAACCGAGGATGAGCCGAGCGAAGATGCTAGCCTTTATCGACGACTGATCGTACGTCTTTATGAGACGGTATCATCTCTGAATGGAAACGCAGCCGAGGTCTTGCTGACGACTCTTCTTCGGAAGCACTTGGCAATGGACGCAGTGCAGTTTTGCACTGCGTACTGGGTGGATAACGGTAGGAACATATTCTCTCCCTACTACTCGTTAACTTAACCTCATGAACCTTCTTTAAATTGCTAGATAAACCTGTATCCTTGCAGATTAACAGCTTAACAATAGCCACCTCGTTCATCAACATCGCCGCGGATCCTGATGTTGTGCTAAAATACGATTTCCAATTGGTAATCCCTTCTTTGTTCACTGCCCTGGCCAATCCGGAAAAGGCAGTACGGAGTGCAGCTCTAGACTGTCTGCAAGCGATCAAAAACAGCTACGCAAAATGTAATGGAGAATCCAAGTCGAAGAAAGTTCAGACTCAGATCTTTGCCTACGACCAGTTCTACGGTCAAAGTTCCAAGCAGGTCCAGTATTTGACTTTGACCGCAGCTGCAACCTTTGTGGGAGCAGTTCTTGAAGGAAAGGAGGAGCTGTTGACGGATGCGGGATTTTTGGAGCGCTACATTCACGATCTTCTTTTGACAAGTTCCGAGAAGAAGATGAGCTATAAGGAGGACCTTTTGTCTTTCCTTTTATCAAATATCCTGGCATTCCCGAAGATCGGTGCTCAAATCTCACTGGTATCCACATTAAGATTGGTCGATTCCTCCACGAAGATGAAGACGCTCCATCCTTTACTGGAATCGTTATTGAAGCGTTTGAGCGGGGATCAGACTTCCACCGAAGAGCTTCGATTGATTGGTGCACTTATCCAGTGCTTCACTCCTAAAGCAACTACCAGCCTGTTCAAGATGAAAAATGATCGATACGTGCGCATTTTCTGCAGGCTTCTCGGCGCGGGGGATGATGTTGGCTCCTTCAACCGGGCACAATTCGCCGGCGGATTGTCTGTTGAACGTTTGGCTCTGCAACAAATTGACAGTAAATGGTTTATTGCTATTCCTGCCGACCGGCAGAGTGAGATATTTTCAGCTGTTGTGCGACTAGCTTATGAAGGAGAGCAGTCTGTGGTGCAGGATGCGAAGACTGTTTTGAAAACCATACCAGCGTCATACGAACTGATTTTGGCTCAGCTCTTATGCTGCCAGGAGGTACTGTTACAGACTGAGAAACGACCAAGCAAAAAAACCAAGGCCGCGAGGTGGGTGCTTTTGCCTATAGAATGATCATATCACCGAAATTGTGTTGACGCGCTACTCCCAATTCGTGTAGTCGTGAGTTGACAGAGGCCTTCTACCGCTTGAGCACGATTCTCGAGCTACTTGAATACAAGGACGACATTGCTGGAAAACAGAATCTCGTTGTGCCACTATTCGACCTGCTTGGCCATATTTTGAATGCGGAAGTTACCGATATTCCGGTTTCTGTCGAATATGTGAAGCAGTTGATCCTGTCCGTTGAGCTATCGCTGTTCAAGGATATTAAGGTAGGTGACTTGCCAAATTTCCAGTATTTCAACAAACCTGAAAATAACGGCTTTGCGTAATTAGAAATTCGGCTGGCAAATTGACGAGGCTGCGTTGCGTGTCGACCTTATCGTACAATGCATCCGAGTCACAGATAATCCACAGACACACAATGCATCCCTTCTGCTCATGGCAGCCATTGCCACCGTGTACCCACAAAGCGTGCTACTCAACATTATGCCCGTCTTCACATTTATGGGGGCGAATGTTTTGCGGCAGGATGACAATTACAGTTTCCATGTCATTCAGCAGGTAACTCATCTGTTGCAGAGAGATAAACAGCGACGCATGTATGCTGATCTGCTCCTTTGCTAGACCTTGACTACAATCATCCCTCCGCTCGTGCAAAGACACCAGACGGCTGGAGAGAGTCGTGAGAGGATGTTGCATGGTAGGGCGAGCCATCTCTGATACCGTTTGGACATATACTCACTCATGCCCTGCCATCTTTAAGAGGTGAAGCCCGTCATGGGAGTGTTTGTGGATGCTCTTTCCCACATTCCCAAGCATCGCCGTCTCAGGTATCTCGTTCTATTTTCGCAGTACATTCCCGAATGACCGCCTAACCTCTGTCATAGATTGTTCACGGTACTGATTTCTACGCTGGGAGCCGACACCTTCCTGGATGCCATCATTCTCATGCTCATCGCGAAGCACTCGGCCAAAAGCAAACTCCCTGTCAACGCCACCGATGGACTTGGCGAGTTTACTTTGTCGGTCATGTTACAATTCCCCGTCAGCGTCCAGTTGAAGGTAACACAGTCGTGAACGTCTGTCTTCTCGATTGGTCGCTAATATTCCAACATTGATAGGCTTTGATTTCCATGCTCAACACCACAAGTGCCCTACCATTCGACCAAGCCGAATTGGATAAGGAAAAGCAAATGGACGCTGATGAGTCTGGAATTATTGATTCAAAGTGAGTCCTCCTTGGATATGGGTACCGGATACTAGAGACATACTTATGCGTGCCCTTGTATCGTAGGACGCATTCTGCAAAAGAGCTTCGCCACATCAAACTGGCGACGGTTGACTTTGCTCATCAGCTCTTATCCAACCGGTTGTTTGTCAGCAAAGTCCTTGACCTGCCTACAGAGGAGATTGAAGCTGAACAGCTGAACCTTGTGGAAGCTATTCTGGTTTCCACCTCCAATGCGAATTCGTATCAGGCGGAGAGTGACGCGCGAGGACATACCGTTGGAGTCAAGTTTGCAAAAGGTTAGACAGGCTTTAGATGTGTGAATTTTAGCAACGGTGATCTAACTGGATTCTTTTGCAGCCATGTCCAAGATATTATATGATACGCTGGGCAAGGCGAATGGACTTTTGTCACTATCTTCGTTCTTGAACGTGGTCTCTCGTTTGATGAAGCACGAGAATCATATTGTAGGTTCTCCCTCTAGCGCGTCTAGTGAACTGCCACTGACCATGCTTGACGCGCTATCCTCCTTGCAGATTCGACGAAAAGCTATTACGCTTTTGGATGCCAAGGTGACGGCGATAGGCGACAATATTACAGATGACATGTTGCCGCAGTTCGCCCATATCGTTGAGGGTTTGAAAGATATTTTGTCGGGTGCCAAGGACGTCAAGGACCAGGAGGTTCGTATTCTTCTCATATTTATTTTATTTGACACCTCATACGCTGATACTTTACAATTTAGATGCTGGAAAACAAGCAAACCGCTCTTCTCTGTTTGACTACCATGGCAAATACCATGGCACAAGCAGATCCAGACACATATGTGGCGATTTTGGATGTGCTTGTTAGCGAGGCAGCATTGTTGAGCGACAACCGTCAGATTACCGCTTCTTCCATGGTTTGCCTGACCTCAATCAGGTTCGCATCATACCAGTTTCACACGTATTCCAATCCGCCTTTGTATTAATATGTTTTTACAGCATGCAGTTGGGATCGCGGGTCCTCCCGTATCTGCCAAAGTTCATGCCCGTTATTATTGCAGCGCTCAAAGACGGGCTGGCAGAGAAAGGTTCGAATGCACTATTGCACATTTCCGGTGTATCTGGGGCAGATAATAATGGCGTTCTCTCACTTACAGAAGCAAGCGATGCAAAACAGCTTGTGATATTGGGCGCTTTAGGGTCCCTTCATGCTTTGGTAGACACTGTACCGCAGTTTATAAGTCCTTATGTTCTACCATTGCTTGAACAAGCCCTCCATCCTGCTCTTCAAGGCACTGCTGAGCAAGAAGGTTTTAGCAGTAGGGTAAGTAATCATGAACAATCGACAGTTCTGATGATGCCGCAGTCTAATGTCTATACTGAGTGCAGGCGATAGAGAAGAGTAATGATCTTCTAAGCACCATTGCACGAAAAGTCGCACCACGCATCCTCCTCCCGGCAATCTTCTCTCACCTCAAAATTGCACTCCAGTCAGGGCGTCAGTCGATGCTGGCGCTATTTGATCTTGTCGGCAACACGATTGCTCACATGGCTCGTACCGACTTGACTCAATATCGAACGGAGCTTTTCCGATTCTTTTTGGTTTCATTCGATTACCGTCGTACATATGCCAGCAAGATTTCAGAAGAGGTATGTAGCATAACTGCTTTCACTTTCTTGTGCTTTAGAGACACTAAATCATATGGATTGTGTGTCAACAGGATGTGGAAGCTGTCGAAAACAGCATCATATCGTCGTTCTTGCAGCTCGTTATGAAGCTGAATGAAACTTTGTTCAAACCTCTGTTCCTCAAGCTGGTGGACTGGGCAACTTCGGAGCTTTTGATAAAGCACGGTGAGTGTTTGGTAGCTGAAAGCGGGTTAAACTTCCCTCCAGCTTATTTTATCCCTACTTTAGGTTTGAGTGAAGAGGGTGTCAATGCGCGCCAGCTGTTCTTCTACCGCTTGGTGGATAGCCTCTTGGGTCGCCTCAAGGTACGTCCGGTGGTGAAATCGTTAGAATGTAGAATGAAAAGCTAATCGCGACGCTGCTATAGTCCATCTTTGCCCCATACTATGTATACGTCTTGGATAATTCCATTGCAAAGCTCAACGCATTCACGAAGCAGGACTACCCCCACGCGCTATGGATGTACATTGTCAGTTCGCTGCATAAATGCTTCCTTTATGATAATGATGGTAAGCAAGCTGTTTCCTGTGCATTCGTCATACTATCGTATACTCATTTGTTTTCAGGAATGATTGATGCTGCCAAGTTTGATAAACTCCTACCACCACTTGTCAACCAAATTGAAACCATGGATCACCACGGCAAGGATTACATGGATCGTATGACCGGCTACCTTGTGCCGTGTCTCGGTCAATTGGCAGTGACTGCAGGGAAAGACACAATGTGGAAGCCACTTAATCACCAAGTGTTGTTGAAAACACGCAGCGAGCATGCGGAGATCCGTCTTGTGGCCCTGAAAGTTTTGCAAGAGTTGTACACCCGCTTGGGTGAGGAGATGCTCATTCTCTTCCCGGAGACGATCCCCTTCTTGGCAGAGTTGATGGAGGGTAAGTTTGACATCACGTTGATCGGCCACTGTACGAGCTCCACTAATACTTGAACGTTAATGCAGATGATGACGCGCAAGTCGAAGCACTATGTCAAGAAGTTTGTCTACAGATTCAGCAGTATATTGGAGAAGATATTCAGCAGTATTTTAATGCATGAAGGGACAGTGGAAGATCATCAGTCTATATAATGGGGATGTCTGCTTCCGGGAAACGGTCCTTTGGGAAGATGCGGCATGTAAATATTAGCAATTATTTTCATAATAGAACATGGGTAGAGCAGGATGCGTTGTTAACTTGCAGTCGAATGTTTTCATTTGGTTGTTGCTACAATACTCGCAACTCAGAATAATAGCCTCTTCACAACTGGCCACACCCCAGTCTCCTTCTGCCCCTCCTTCACTTCCACATCGGTGTCTGTTGGTATTTCAATCTTTGGCAGGTATTTCACTGGATGAGATCGATACATTGGCCAAGGTGGTATGGATACCTATCATGCAGACTGGTTATTGAAAGATACAAGACGACACACTAGGCCTAAGCATATATCTTACCAATGACGCTATTATCCCACCAGCAAGTAGAATGTATAAGGTTGTTTGGAGTGACTGTAGCGCAAAGCCCACCAAGAAGGATACTATCTGCAAGGGTGAAAGGATGGGGCGATATGAGCAATTTATATGCCATAGTTTGGAACCTTAAGAACACGCACTCCACTGAATGTAAGGATGAGGTGAAGGTATCTTTCGGAAAGACGCTGTCCCTCAAAGTCCTGTAAAGTTTGTCAGACTTGCGTACCCGGAGAGAGAGAAGCCTGCTCTACTTACTATTTTTGCGTCCAGGTCGAGCATTGTCAAATGGCGCTCTGAAGGTGTGTCGGGCCACGGGCTGGTCAAGGTGAGATCGGTCACGTGTAAGTGATGAGCACATCCTGCTGGATGGTCTGCTTGCATTGCCGACTATCAGTGATGCGACGGCACTCATCGTTGGCACTGGTTATTTCTCGTCGTCTCCTTCGCGCGGCTCACGGAATGCACACAGAACATGAAGGTTCTCAAGGTGGTCTAGTGCACCGCCCCAGTCTGACGGGGTCTTCTGGAACCGTGCGTCTTCGCAGTGTGATGACGTCCACTCAAGGTCGTGCCCGAGAGGTGGAGACGGGACATGCAGAGTCGCAAGGAGAGATAGCCTTCGGGGATAAGCATGTGGTCCGTTCCTTTGAAATAGAACGACATTTGTCTTCTGAAGATGCGAATAATCACAAGAATTTCGAACAGAACGCTGTCGTGACAAGGACGGGGTTGGATGGGCAAGTCGTATCCGCACACTCCCACGTCAGCAAACGAGCGAGGACAGCTTTGGAAGATGCTGACCACGGATCAATTGCGGAGGGAAAAAAAGTGAAGGAGCGACCAAATTTCTTCCTCTCAATGCGTCTGAACGACCCAGACATTCAAGGCCACTTTCATCATTTTTATGAACATATGCACACACAGCATCCGATCCTGAAGCCATGTCTTATTCCACCGCAGCAGGTGAGATGCTCTCAAGAGCTCAGCCAGAACTGCTAGGATCTCCGCTGAAGACGCATGGCTTCTTGCTTGCAGATGCATCTGACTCTACTAGTTATGCACCTTGATGACACAACCAAAGATGAAGCTATCAAATGCTTTAATAGTTCGCGTGAGATTGTACAGAATTACTTCAACGGCAGGCGTCCGTCCTTGCATTTTCGGGGAACTGGCTCCTTTGGTAGTCGAGTCGTCTTTGCCACACCGGAGCAGAATGCTGACCTAGACATGGTTCGAGAAATGGCGGCAGCTCTAAAGCAGCATTTTACTGATTGGGGAATCTCTCTCCCGGGTAATAAGGAGGCGTTCGTTCCCCACTGTACTCTCATGGTAAAGTTCAGTTGGACACGTCTTTAAGAAGTTCAACATCTGAAAGAACTCTGTTTAGAAAATCAAAGATAGCCGCAAATTGAAATTCATTCCAAAGGAAGCTTGGAAGGAGTTCAAGGAAGTCGATTGGGGCTCCTCAATCGTAGCCAACTTGGAGCTCTCCTCCATGATTGCGAAGAAAGATCCCGATGGGTATTACAAAGCCATTGCTACCTTGCCTTTCGGTAAATGAGGAATTGCGGATTCCTCGTTGATGAAAGAACACGAACATCAGTGGAAACACTTACGAACCACCGCCATCTCTCCAAAGCACCTCCCATTCGGCCAGATTCTGAGCAATTGCTCAACAGGCAATGCATATGCGAGATTGGCGATCGGTTGAGGTTCCACTTGATTCAATTCAGATGGTTGCACCCTGTGGCTGTCTTGAGAGTCTTGAGTTGTATGCGCTCTCCTGCAGTGGATCTTTGGGTGCCATGGGGGCCATACGATTTTCAGGCCTTGCGAATGACGCCTGGCGACACCTGGTACCTGTTGCTGAACTTGAAACTAGGCGACAAATGACAGCGAAGTTTGCATCAGAGCTACGCAATGCAAATACTCCAATGGAATTTGCCCACTAAATAAATAGAATAGAATTACATGTGTCTCTCCAAATGGACAAAATCGGCATCCCTTCTAGCCGATACTGCTTCACTTTCGTTTCTTTCTTTACATCTTTGGCAATTGTAGGTTTCGCACTCCCCCCAGTCTCAAAACATACAAACATGCATGGGTGGCAACGTAATCGTGCCCATATGCATCGAGGTACACTGCATCACGTAGAGTTCAATGCTCGATGACGGCAAGGCCCGCGCTTGTCCCAGCAGCGGCTTTCTTTGAGCCGCAGCTCAGCTGCTGGGCGAAGGTCAAAACGCACGAAATTTTAGATTCCGATAATCCCGATCAATTTAAACCATTTTTATTGCATTTAAATGTAACACTCGAATATCAACACGTGATCAGACGATATTGTTCACGACGAGATGAGCGCTTGCTTCACAGTCGGAGATCCTACAGCGAAATGGCTGGTCCAAAGTTAAACCCCAAGCTAAAGGTTTGTCGGGGTTTGATGGCTATCATACACTTACTTGTTAAAATTGAAGTTCACCCTCCTTCAAGCTCATACTCCTGACCATTACAGGCCTGTATGGTGGATATGGTAAGACTACTTTCGTCATGGCAAAACACCCAGACTCTACCATAACAAAGTTTTACGAAAAACAGCGATACACCAGTTTACGCAGCGACGAACAGATTTAGAGGTATGTTCAATACTATTGTGAACATGCATGTGGGCATGTAAACTGACGCCAACATATCAAGCTTGAACAAAAGGTGCAGACTGCCAAACGGTATACAGACGAGGAGATATTGGCAAAGTAAATATTTTGACGACCTTCCCGTGAAGTTCACTATAATTTAACTTCTTTCCGTTATCCAAGATGGGAAGCGGATCGGGCAAAGCAATCCAAAACAGCATGATCTTCTAATTATGAAGTCCGCATCGTACCGGACCGAGGCGATCCATTCCCCAGTTTAGCTAATGTGCCCATGCAGCTTAGAAGTCTTCGCGACCTATTAGCGGGTTAGAAAAGTCCGATTGATCTGACGTATCAAGCTAAGGCAGGAATGTCAAGTTGCTAGAATAGAGGTGGATGAGGGTTGTATCCACGGGAAGTTATCCAAAAGTGCCCCTCAGCAGGTACTTACAAAAGAGTCAATTAGGGGTGACGGCCCCCAATAAATGATGCTGTGCTTGTGCGCTGCAGGATGGAATCTGAGAGGCTGTTTGAATCAGCAAAGAGCCAAATAGGCATTCAAAACTCACCGCACGTCCATATATACGACATCAAGAACTGCCAATCATTCGCATCCTCCTCGTAATGGAACTTCAACACGGAAATAACCTTTGCCGACATGCTAATTAGCGACAGCAATGTAAAACCAACAAAGGCGTTGGCAAACCTTCAGCTTAGAGATGCTCCAGGTCTTTGAAGCGCGGTCGATGACTCCTGCCACGTCGGCTGCAGAAGGCATTTTGAGATCGGCCTCCAGCAACTTGTCATGGAAGTATGATATCACCTAGATAGTTTGCAGGATTCTCATATGTCAAGTGGCGCTTCCAGACTTACGAAAAAGGAACCTGCTAGCCACATACCCGATCAATATTTTCTACCAAATCGCCAAACCGCGGATGGAGTTTGAATTGTGCAAAAGCTTCGCGTTTATGCAATAGCGCATATACTAGCTCCGGGTTATGTTTAATTGAATACGTAACCACCGAGTTGATCATCTCGAGGAGCACTGCCACTAAATCCCCGTAAATAATAGTGTCGGGGTCGTCTTCTGACGGATCTGGCTACACGCACATATCGATGTTCAGAGTGGAGAATGGCATTGCGGATGTGGCACAATCCTACAAACCTGAGCAGATATAGGTGTGCTAACATCTTCCGATGACTCGCGAGCTAGTTGTCCAGTGAGCTTCAAATACCGTTTTGCAACCATATCATAAAAGCTAGAGGACAGAAATATAAGTATGCCTTATTATCCAGACAGGATCAGTTAACCATATATGCACTCACCTCACAACTCTCTGAGCGACAATGGATTGGATTCCTGAAATGTTGCGCGCCATATTGGCAAGAATGGCCACACAAACCGTATGGGAATATGTATCCTGTGCATACCGGTCTCATGTTAGCACTGTTGCAACCATTCGACATTCTACCCGCAATATAAACGGACCTTAAAAGTCGACAGGTTTGCTTGGATACACCGAATCAAGACCAGAATAGTCAAACCGCCCAATGACACAGATTTGAGGACTCTTTCGGTGTACCACGGCTGAGCAGGAATGATCTGTACAATCAATATATCAACGCTTGATCAATAACAGTGCCCTAAACCAGGGGAATGCAAGGCGATGCCATACGATTCTCTGCATACTGTCAGTCAAAACATCATCCTGAGATAGCAGTAGGATGAGGACAAGTAGGATGTACAGCTGTGGATAGTTCATCCTCTGTTCCACCAGCTCGTATATTTGCCTCAGAATTGGCAACAACTTTAATATAACAGCGGTTAATGGATAAAAAGAAATGCAGGCAAGATGGATTGGTGGTCTTACCAAACCTTCCGGATCGGTTCGTGACAACATGTAACTTCGAAAGCTTCTATTGTGAAGTAGCAGAGGGTATAATATCAATCCAGCTTCTTCACTTGAAATATTACTAGCATAATACCAAGGTTTAGTTTGGTTTGACGCGTGGAGCAGGTCTGTCGGCGGTAATACCTGCACAATGTTTGATAAACATGTCGAAAGGAGACGTTGATGGAATGATCATCCTCAGCCATTTGTGATGAATCCGAGACTGCACCTCGCATAAGAAATCGGACCGTCAATCTTAAAGACAAGCCGCATGCCTACCATTACTATCCTGAAAACGTTTGATGGCCTCTTTAAATTCGTTGGCAAAGTGCTTGGGATTTTGCGCAGAGAGAATCAGAAAGAGGATTGCACTTTTATCTCCTAAAGGAGATGGCGCTGCCCCTTCTGGCTTCTTGGTGGCAAAAAGGTAGGAGTATGCACTGTAGAGCATCCCTATCGACAGAACGTCCGCAGTGCGAAATCAATTCGTAGAGCCGTATAAAAAAAACAACACAGCTCTCACAAACCTCCTGATGAGCCAACAGGAGGTGGACGATGAACGAAGTTCATAAGCAGTCGCTGCATCGCTCCTCCTGCAAAGTGACTTTGAACGACTTCGTTAGTGTACGCGCACCCCACTGAGAACCGAACTGATGCAATACCTTAATCTGTCCATTACAATATCCATGAAATATGACCCCTCTACAGCGCTCGATAGTGGCTGATATAATTGTGCAGAACACATCACTATAAGAAGATTCATCGCTTCCATGTAGAAATCATAGTTGATAGCGGTACTACGATGGCATATGATCATCAGCCTCAAATACACAACGGAGTGCCGTAGTTCCTTCCCACCTAGCATCCGCGTAGATAATAATATGAAACAGCTCTTCGAGAAGTTGTTGTGCTCGGAGCCGTTTGTCTGACAAGTGCAATCCGTTATTCACCGTATGCCGCTATATTCCCGAACCTGCAACACCGTACCATGCACCACATGTGAGTCGAGAGCCATTTGCGCCTGATCAGATTTAAACTGGGAAGTCGTTTGGCTTTTGAGGGAGAGGGTCCTGTCCACTGGGAATGATGAGTATGTTTAAGTGTACAAGCCTAAACACCATGGTCCACTCACTTTCGAACTGCTCGTGAATCTGTATCTGCGTAAGACTATCAACAAAGTGCTTTGTGCACAATCGAACCAGGAACAAAGCATTATATGCTTCTACCGTCCAAGTTCTGTGAACGCACGTAATTGGCACGGATGAGATGCTCTGATTTGATTTTTGCACAACAAGCCCGAACAAGCTCACCCATCATACGCCATGACCCGCATGAATCGCATATGGCTGAGAAGGTACAGAAGCAGAACATTGAAGTTTCCCGTCATAGGATTGTTCTGTGCTGTTCATTACACATTACGCATAAGCTTTATTCGCAAGCAGCAAAAAGTGATTACATGGTGGAATTACATACTAAAACTTTGTCCAATCTGAAGGGTCAACATCTCCAAATCGAGTGCCTCTTGACTAGTAGAACGTATCACCCAATTATTATATGTTCAGGGCAGTCATTGAATCTGAGCGATGCTGCCTTAATAGGTTGCCACAGACTTCCATTCGGCTGACGGGATCGCTCACCAGGTTTCTCAACAACAGGTCAAATTCAAACTCTTACCTTGTTTGCGGTTGAGGTAGTCTATCTCCTGAGAGAGCGGATTGCCATATCGTCTGATTGTCGATGGAATAGCATTGGTTCGAGGCAATCTGAGAAAACGTGGCATAATGCCGAGATGATAAATAGCGATTGTCTGCAGGTGTTCGCACGTGAGGTAGTGTTGAGGGACGCCTGGTGGGTGAGGATGGAGTTTTTGGGGATGATGATAGAGGACCTGACGCGTCCTGTGAAGATGAGGGAAGTGACACCGTTGCCTGAGCCTGACCTTCCGCGGGGCTCGACGTATCACCAGAAGAAGGCTCAGGTACACTACTCAGCGTAGAAGTTGCTGGTGGTGTCGAAGATGGAACATTTGAACGTTCCTGCGACGTCGAACGACCACTTTCACCGCGTATAATAGTCGCGGTTTCCGTTTGCAGCCGATCTCTACTTGGGGTTCTCGCTCGCTGTGGAACTTGCTGCGTCCCTTTCCCTTTCTGACTGGCAAACGGTGTAGATATGCCTCCTTGGGATATTTTCCGCACATGACGGACAGTGCGAGTGTCTGTCAAGTCCCCACTGTTCCCGTGATCTCCCCACAGGACCGTCGTCGTCGAAGCAGGACTTGCAGTTTTCGTTCTGGGGTCCTTCCCGGCAAAGTCTACAAGGTCTATTACTGACCCAGTTGCCCTTTCTGGGGTAGGTCGTTCTGCCGTCATCTTCCCTTTGCGATCGCCCATCGCCTTGAGAAGCGAGGCGCGCAAATGACTTCGAGTCTTGCTGCGGAATGTGGCGCAGACCGCGCTGAATAACCATACGCGCTCCGATCGCGACTACCTTTTGTGCATGCCCGACCTTTGCTTGCACAGTCTCTCTCGCTTCGGCATTGCTACGGAAAACTACAGGAAAAGGCTATTCTCATGATTCGAACTTCCTCTGAACTATTCTTCAAGTAAAGACGAGCGGTTTCAATGCGGCCCCACGTTCTCTTCACCCGCCCCTATATGTTCTTTGTCGCCCTGCTTGTTGCGGTGTTAGTTATTCTCTGGCAAACGCAGCGGGGAAATGAAGAAACGGTTCCAGGCTTTCGTAACTCAAAATCCTCGTCAAACCAAGAATCGATAAGTGTATTGCGAGATGAGCTGCGTGCCTTCCGCAAAGAATTACAAGAATCACATAAAAAGGTTCGAGCTCAACACCACTGTAAAGCGCTTGCGCTCGTCAGTCACAAGCTGTACTCAATTCTGTCCTCAGTCTCTGGAATCAGCAAACAAGACAGTGCTCGTTGGCCTGTTAACAGTTCCAGATAAGATTCAACGACGTGCCCTAATTCGAGCCACGTATTTGCAACTCAAACCGCCTGGGGTCGACTTTTACTTTGTTTTCGGAAAACCAAAGGCCCCAGAAATCGCGCATCTCCTTGCATGGGAGAAGCGTATATACAAGGATATCATGATATTGGACTGCGATGAAAACATGGACAACGGGAAAACTTTCCACTTTTTTGACTTTGTTTCTCATACGTTTCCCGACGGCCGATATGATTTTGTCATGAAAACGGATGATGATGTGTTTCTGCATCTGCCGAATTTAGAGAAGCGATTACGTGGACTGCCAAAGCATGGCACATACTTTGGACGAAACCCTGGTGGGACTGGGTTCATGGCCGGCCTTGGATACGTGTTGTCGTGGGATCTTGTTAAATGGGTCGGCTCCGATCCGTATCCACAACAAAATAAAGAAGGCCAGGAGGATGGAAAGGTAGCGAGTTGGCTAAGGTATGGCAACAAGATCACACATTGGGTTTCAGAGGATGAGGAAATATATGACGATCCGGCGAGCGGTCGAGGATGGGCACATCCCTACACCCCAGGGACGATCTTGATACATAGACTTAAAGAGGATATCCCTTTCCTTACAGCTTGCGCACATTTTTTGGATTCTGCGTTAGCCGATCTGCAGATATCGTAACTATTTATCCTTACGTTAAAAAATGAAATGCTTATCGCGGGGCCAATTAGGGCACCAGACTGTTTACCGCCATCCACCTGTCACGATTTTCATTCCCTAACTCTGTTCCATACCTAACCAATCTGACGCTTATCTATTTTTCTTGCAGCCTATCCACGAGCTTACTATGCAAGAACTCGCTCAACTGAAAAAGGCCGTTGCTCGAGACAATGCGGTGCGTCGGCATCCTGCATACCATGGTCAGTCCATTGACAGCTTTACACTGGGCCGTGATACACAAACCTTTGGTAAGATCCAGGCACCATCGAACCTGGACAGTCTCTGCGTAAGACAAAGGGTCACACGCAAAAGCGATTCAAAATATTTTCTCTCACCATCATCCAGCTGAACCGTTCCCAAAATATCCTCAGGATCGCTGTTGAAGATATCAGATTTAGCAAAGGACAATCGCAACCATGGTGTGAGCTAAACCGTCAGTGCGCACCTCACTCGGCCCCACGATGTGTATGTCCGCTGGTCATTTATGTTCAAATGACCGATTTTTTGATGCAACGCAAGTGCTGTCAAACAAAGCATGAGGCCTGCTGTTAAGGACAGTTTATAGTAGCAGTCCTAATCACTACGGTCTCAACCTTTGATTCCCTCGTCTTCGTCAATGTTTTCTTTGACCACCTCATGAAGCACGTCTACGAGAACCGAATAAGCCACGATCGCGGAATACGACCCTTCCATGCTCGCTCACCTTCAAAAGTTGGATTTGTCTGGAAATTTCCAGGTTTCAAGTCCGGTGTTTCTGTGTCACCCTTCACCCAGCCAATGATACCTTCCTTCCGTAACTCTTTCCCAGGCACATCTGAGGGACCAAGGAAGCTAACGGCCATGACCGTTCCCTCAGGATGGAACCACAGTGGGTATGGATAGCTTCCGCCTTGCAAAGCGTTCCCTCCCGAAAATGAAGGAGTGGCGCTGAAATGGCGGCTGAACAATGGAAGACCGTGTCTTGAGGGTGTCGAGATGCGTCGTAGAATCATGATCTAGAGATCTCGCAAGTTCCGTTGGCGGGCGCACGCGTTTGAAAGGACTAAGCGCTAGATCCAATTCAACCGCCTTGCTCATTATTTCATGACAAGCTGCCCTAGTTTCTAGTGCTGTTGCAACAATGAAGGCATTCAAAGGATATGCAATCCAAACTGTGATATGATCAACCATGCTTGTCAAGATCCCCACGGCAGCTCCTCTAAATAACACTAATTCTATTTTCCAATCATAGAAAACCCATATAAATATGTGCAAGTACCGCTGTTTTTCTGCTGCTTTATACACTTTGCTATATTGCTGCTGCTGCCCGTATGCGAATGTCATGTTATGGCGAATTCTTCCTCGGCAGTTTTGTTCTCAAGTCGGATGCTTTTCAATTTCTTGAATTTTAAATGGATTGCATCTCGGGCTTAAGTAATCAATCCAGAACGCGAGGATTGTTTACTTCCACTGCTTTAAAAGGCCTTCGACCAGAAGTGCGTTGCTGTCAAAGTGTTAAGCAGTACCTAGTGCCTTCTCACATAACCCCTTCAATAGAGACATACCTATCAAAATGCCGTTCATGTCCGGGCTCACTACGTTTTCCTTCAACAAGGAGAGCTTCTGGGCCGCTGGAGGATTCATGTTTGTCAAGAACTTGCTGTTACTGATCAACTTTCTGTCAATGGTAAGTGGAAAGTGGAAAGTTCATATACTGTTCCTACATAACGGGAGCTAGGATTGCTTATGTCCACTCCCCTCCAGTTGGCGGGTCTTATTCTCATTGGCGGAGGTGCCTACCTTATTTCGAGCACAGGACCCGAAGGTGCAGATTTTATCAACTTGGGTGGAACAGTCGCAACGGCTGCCGTCGTAATCGGTGTTATTGTCACAATCGTCTCATTCCTTGGATGTTTCGGAGCTGCCAACGAGAAAGGCATGCTGCTCAAAACCTACTTTGCACTATTGATCATCTTGGTCATTCTCGAGATTTCTGTTGGAATCGCTGCATACTCAAAACGAAACACTGTTGAGAATGCATTGGAGGGTGCCTGGAAAGAGGCGCTTGCTGCGAAGCACACTACGGCCATCATGCAGATCGAAATCACGTTCGAGTGCTGTGGATACGCAGACAATTCCACTGCCTGGCCCGAAGAGAATTGTCAAGAATTCTTCCATTTCCCTACCCTGAAGACGTGCGCAGAGGCTGTCAAGGGTAGCCTGCGTGGTTCTTTGGGTACAATTGGGGCTGCCGGCCTGGTCATTGGAATTATCGAGCTCATTGGACTCGTATTCTCAGCAGTAATGTTTAGGAAGATTGCACAGAGAGAGCAAGCAGCTGGTTCGCTGCTAAACGAGGCATGGAGAATCAACCGAAACAAGATTCAGTACGGATACCAGAACTATCAATATGTGTAATGGACCGCCTTCCCGCTTGAAAAGCATTCTATGGTGATTTTACGTACAATAAATTGAGCGTCATACTATAGTCAGTAATACAATCATTCAAGTCCCCACTCTCTGCTATGTTACAACTGTCCTTGGAGCAACGTTATAAGGAGAGGCACCTCTGCAATACCTAACACAAAGCTATACCTCACGAGGTCGGAACCTCAATAATGAAACGTGGCTGATATGTGGGGACCATCAACATGAATATAACGATCCCATTCATGTATCGTTTTCCCAAGAAAATGGGATGAGCACATCATTCAGTGGAATAGAACTGATGTTGTGGAACTTCCTGTTGTTTCGGTCGACGTACGCTCGCACATCTTTTTGAAAGTCATCCAAGGGTGACGAAACTCCGATGATGTTCGCGCACACGTGTTTTAGCGCTTATCACCACTTTCCTTGGTGTTGGATGCCAACTGCAGCACATTTTGAAATTTCCATCTCCACTTTTTAAATCCAAGTTGTCGACCACAATTTCATCGCACGCTACTAATATACCCGCTGCATTCGCAGCAACCATGTCCCCAGGTAGGTCATACTCTCGGCAGCACGCTCTGATGACAAATGTGGTTCTGACGTTGTTGTCAGCAACCGCTGCCGAACCGAAGAAACGAAGTTTGGCTCCCTGGCAGAACGCAGTAAGCGGTGCTACTGCTGGGGTGATATCCCGATTCGTCATTGCCCCCCTGGATGTCATAAAAATCAGGTATGGTGAGGCCGGTTTGTTAGTGTGCAAATAAGGAACGTCACTTATCGTAGTTCAGATTTCAGGTGCCTCCACACCGCGAGTTCAAATGATTTCTGTTATCATGTAAACTGACAGTTTTCAATACCTCGAAACAGCTTCAAACTGAGGAACTGCGACTTAGCCGGATAAGGGGTGGAGAAGTTCCAGCACAAGTCAAGTACAGGGGACTAGCGCAATCATTTACGCGAATCATTCGGGAAGAGGGTCTCAGAGTAAGCTAGTGCTTTTTTTTGTACTTAGTTGGGCTGTGGGTAATGGTTATGGTCTCTATTGCAGGGGTTATGGAAAGGAAATCTTTCCGCCGAATACTTATACCTTGGATATGGGGCGGCTCAGTTTTACGCGTATCCCGAGTATGAGCGATTATTGAACCGGACAGTTAGTATATATTCAACTCATGACACTGGTTGAAAGACTCGCTCGAAGCTGATCTGTCACCCTTTCTAGACGCAATATCTCAACTTCAAGCTCCCCACAGAGATCGTTGCTTCCTTGGCTGGCGGTAAGGAAAGCTGACAATAAGTATGTTTGCATCAGACGTTGAGATAAGGCTAACTCGAAAAATAGCCTTGGCAGGATGCACTGCAACGGTCGCTACATACCCATTTGACCTTCTTCGGACGCGTTTTGCGGTGCAGGGACAACACGGACCCTACTCCGGCCTAGTCGATGCGATACGACAGATTGCAGGAAAGGAAGGGCTCCCTGGATTTTACAGGGGTGTCTGGCCTTCCATGTTGCAAATGATGCCGCAGACTGGAATCGTATTTGCAAGCTTTTCGTTTTTTAAAAAGCATCTAGACGGGTTGAAGGTATGACACTAGTGCAGTGGTCACTATGAGGATGAGGGAACTGACTACCGAATAATAGGCGGGAGGAATGAAGGATTTCATAAGCGGGGGTTTGGCTGGAATGGTAGGGAAGGCGGCAGTGATGCCTTTCGACGTAGTGCGGTAGGTCCACATCGCCCCATTTCTTGTGTCGCAGACAGTTGATGAATTATTCTTGTAGAAAACGCCTTCAGGTACAAGGACCCGAGCGAAATTCTTATGTAGTAGGTGACGTGCCACGGTATCCAAAGGGATTCCTTCGGTGCTGCCGCCAAATCGCCCGATATGAAGGAATATTAGCTTTATACAAAGGACTGCTCCCTAGTTTGCTAAAGTCAGGTCCATCAGCTGCGGTAACGTTTTTGGTAGTCGGAGCATGTCAGAAAGCTTTTGCAGCAGTAGATGGCGTAGAACGACAGTAATTTAAATAGATGAACGTATACAGTGTTGGTTATTTATAACCAGGCCTTCGAGTGTTTTCCATCTGTGGGCAAACAAGAGGATGTTCGGTCCGACCCGGTGTATCCTTTGATTGATACCGCATCTACTCCTCTACTCGCATGTGCAATCTTCGTACATTAATCTAACAGTGGCCAGCAACAGCAATATTGTGCCACATACCAGCGCCGAGCTTTCAGGTGTGGACGTGGTACCCACCGCTAAGAACAGACTGCTGGCCAGGCTCCCCGCGTGCTGGCTTACCGTGGCGTGCGCCATGATCCCCATCCTTGCACTATATGTCGTGTCATGATGAGCCTCGGCGTCCAATTCGAGCTTCGTCCCATGGTCCACGGATCTCACTGACAAGCGTGTTAGGCACAACATCATATTCGCAAAGCCATGATGCATCCGTACCTTTTATACTTTTGCGCATGAATGAGCCAGTATGGGCAAATCAGATTGATAAAAAGCATGCCAATCAAGTATATATTGACCAGTGCGAGAGATATCGGTAGAAAAAGTGCAACCGTCAGTGGGCTGAGTAACGTGATGATGATCAAATCATTTCTGGGTGAGATATTCTGTGCATAGACTTCATTAGATCAGGTCGTTTCAACTGCATATCAGATGACAGTACCCGAAAACCTCTCCGAAACATGGGAAAAAGCACGAACGTGACAATGGCAAATAGCATCAACCCCAATACGTGCATATTTGAGGGCAAGCGGGAACTCAATAAGACTGAAGCAAAAATTCCAGCGTTGATCGATAATGAATCTGGAAATCTAATAACATATCAATAAGCAACTTCAAATGCTAGCACGTCGTGTCATCAGTACCTGACTCTAAGAACGTCTTGCGCGCTATAGTCATGAAATACCAAGTTGGCCAGAATCATCATGACAGTCAAGGTCCACACTGTATCGCTGCTGATCTCTTTAGTTAGGGTCTTCAAAACGGGTGTAAGACCGATGAGAATAGCCAACAACAATGCCGCTGATTTGAAGATCCTTCCTCCTAGTAGAGTCCAACTTATGGCTATTAGAACCGCGAATTCGATATAGCAAAACATAATCATCCTTACGATATATAGCTGCCTTCAGTCGCTGCCGAAATACAATGATATCCCATATGGCATATCCAATAAAGACAGATACTGCAGTTATTATGAGTAGCGTTGCGGGGGATAGCAATCCAGAGTAGAGGTGCACAAAGATTGCGGTAAAGACCATGATGGAGCTGATGTGTTGGGTAACCGCGCAGGTTCGATGAGCAACAGTCCAGTAATAGTGCGTTCTGACATTGACTAGAGTAAAAGGTATCAGGTCGGGGTCAGGTCAGCCAAGTCGGCGGGACGAATAATACCATTCTTTTGCATCTGCTCCAAGAAACTTTCGTCAACATAGTTATCCGGATAGTCTTGCCTAATGTAGAGAAGCTTTTTCCAAGGCTGGAAAGCTGAGAATGATGCCACAGACATTGGGTTTCGCTGCGACAAATCCTTGTTTGCACCACCTCTTGCGCCCGTTTTCTGAAGTTAGGAAGGCACTTTAACGACAGACGGGTTCGCTCAAGCTCGTATTTCGTAAGCAGTGCTGGCCCTTCCGTCTAGATTCTTGTAAGTTCCCCCTGAGGTGCAGTTTAGAAGGGTGGTCATCCTGCGGATCGCGGTGACGAAGAAAGGGAGCGTGAGGCCAGCAAAGCATCAAGTCAGCAGCGGTTGGAGCCGGATCGATGAGTCACAGATTAGATGCAACAACTTTCAGCTCGGTTTCCATTCTGCCATCTTTCTACTGCATTTGCACACAGTTCACTGTAAATTAAAGCAATCATGTCTCTGAATCTGGCAATCATTGGGCCTGGCCTGGTCGGCTCAGAATTCATTTCTCAAGTTGCGAAAACACCGTACATCAAACTGATCGCGATCGCCAACAGCACCCGGATGCTTCTCCATCAGACGGGGACGTCTGCCACGACTTGGAAAGCAGACTTGACAGCCTCGCAAACAGCTACTGATTTGAAGGCCCTCATTGACCACGCCGCTGCACGCCAACCTTGTGTTGTTGTTGATTGCACTAGTTCGGAAGCCGTTGCGACCTCCTACCCAGAGTGGTTAGACAAAGGGTTGCACGTTGTCACGCCCAATAAAAAGGCCTTCAGCGGGGATTTGGGATTGTGGAAGAAAATTACAGAAAATAAAAAGTCTCTGGTCTACCATGAAAGTACGGTCGGGTAAGTGGAAACTGGGAATCGACGTCGGGTGGAAGAATTTCCACTGATGTGCTGGATGTCACCATAGGGCTGGACTCCCCATCTTGAGCACCCTCAAAGACCTAGTCGAGACTGGAGACGAGATTGTTCGAATTGAAGGCATCTTTTCAGGGACTCTATCGTACATCTTCAACAATTTCTCTTCCACAGCGGGATCCTCTGGCCAGTTTTCCAAGACGGTCACCGTCGCAAAGGAGCTGGGTTACACAGTGAGTACGGTTACAAATCCTATCGTTCCGTCATGCTAGACCGCAAATATTCACAGTGAGCAAGTAGGAGCCAGATCCGCGAGACGACCTCAATGGAATGGATGTGGCACGTAAGGTTGTCATTCTTGGACGAGTGGCTGGGATTGATTTGGATTTGAGCACCCTTCCTGTGGAGAATATTGTTCCGGAAGCACTTCGCGGTGTTCCCACTGCCGATGAGTTTATGTCAAAACTGCCCACCTTCGATGATCACTTTGAGCAGCTGAACCAAGCTGCTTTGAAGGAAAACAGTGTCCTGCGATATGTTGGACTTGTGGATCCCAATGGAAACAGTTCTGTAAAGCTAATGAAGTAGGTGTAAAGAACCTGATGACTACAATCGCGAGCGTTCGCTGATCATCGAGTTAGGTATCCTGCGAGCCATCCTTTTGCTTCATTGAAGGGAAGCGACAACATCATTGCGTTTACCACAAAGCGGTTCCCCAATCCGCTCATTGTCCAAGGCGCTGGTGCTGGAGCGGCAGTAACTGCGTTTGGCATGTTTGCGGATGTACTTAAGATTGCCCGGATTCTAGGATTAGCTAAATAGACTGATTGATGTACAGATAGTACAATAAGTCATAACAGAATAAATATTAACATCATCCCATATATTTTATCTACTGCTGCCTGCTTCGGACGGATCGTCAAAGAACTTTAACGCAAGAACTGTAAAAGAGAGAAAACGATACATTCAAGAAATACACAGTGGTGCACGAGTTTGTTAGAAATATAAATCAGCAAGAAAGCAAAGAGTCTAGTTGTAGGTACCCCTTATTTGTTAAATCCAAAAGGATAATCTACTTGTTAATTAACTTACCTGTCCAAACCCCTCCCCCTCAGGATTTTGAAGATCTGGACAGAAATGACATAGCCGACCGAGTCCGACCGAGTGACTCCACCGAGAAGAACCTTCTTTTGGCCGTGCTTTTGGCAGTGATAACGATGCGGTCGTGAGTTTGTATGGCTTTTTCATTCGCATATCGCACCAATGTGGCCGCATGGCTTTTCATGATGCTGTATACTTTCTGACACAATCCCATAAGGTACTAAATACTCTATACTCAAAATATGCTATAATATACAGTCTATGTACAATTTAAGGCTGATGAGGAACATTCAATGTGCTGATGTACTTGTCGGGTACCTGCCATAAGAAAGTTCAAGGTTCGAAATATTTAAGAGTAGTATGAGTGAAGTCACCATACCATGAGAAAGTACCGTTCCATGGCTTCACGGAATCTGTTTTTATATTGCCGAGGCGACACGATGGTTGGTTCTTTGCCCCCGCCCCCCAGGAAAGCGGTTTCCTTAACCCAACTTTCCAATTTTTTGTCCCATGTGAACGTCCGGATATAATCTGGGTGAACTGATCAGCTACATGCACACCGAAGGCATAGGATGCAAGTTGACATACCAACAATGCCAACTACTAATTCGCTCCGTTCGACGTCAATTCCAACCAGCAAGGAGTAATCCATGACATTCAATTTCGAGAGGAAGAGGGTATCATTCCACACCGACGCGCGAAGTAGCTTCTTTGAGTGTTCGCGAATGAAAAGGGGTGATTCGTAGATGACTGGAAAAAGGTTAATTTATAGTATGGCCAAAAAATACACGCCAAGCATTGTCCTTACATTCCACCAGATTCTCATCGAGAAGGACCTCATTCTGACGACCAGTTGATTGCACATGTCTGTTGCGCATCGATCCCTTCAAATCAAATATCTGAAGCAAGGTGTGATGAATGGAGAATCCATTGTTATGCTATCCAATCCGCACTCACCCGCGAAATGGTTCTTTCATAGAACAAGTTCTCCATAACGAAGCAGTCAAAGCGCATCGAGCGACCGGTAGTTGGATTTTTGTACGATATACGATAGAAGCCAAATATTTTGGCCAAAACCGTGGGCAACTAAAAATACCACTGTGAGAAGAAGAGGTACCATAACAAAAGGGCTAAAAAGAACCTCACCTCATGGAAAATCGCTTGGGACATGTATTCAAAGTAGGCGGGTGCAAATTTATACAATGCATCCATCTCAAGGCGTGAAAGTTGTTTGATGATCAAGCGGTCATCTATTCGTGATAATAGGTCACGACGATGTTGATGACCGAGATCCGCCAAAGCTGCACTAAGCTCACCTCTTGTTTTCAGGAAAGTGGAACCGGATTTACCTCCTAGAGCATCCCATCTCATACATCTAGCGAGCGACTGGACATAATTTTCATCAATACCACAATTTTGTCGCAGTGCTTCGAATTGTTCAGCAAAGAAAATTTTGCAGTTCATGCGCGTTGGTCCATCCCAGAATTCTGTGATTTAATATGAGCAGGTTTATAGAGAGTACCTAACATCACCTTTATCCACTCACGATATCGAATGTGGGTTCCTGTACCACGCAAAAGAGTTTCTTCCATTCCACCCGTATCCGCGTACTGATCATCAAACTCGACAAAAACTCTGGTATGTGGGTCTTCCGACGCATTCGGTTTCTCCTGAGTATCCACGCCCTGTCGCATGCAACGCAGCTTTTCTTTGTAGTGCTTGGAGCTGATGACGCAATTACAATTAGTGCTATAGCCAATGGATGAAAACAGGGGTTCACAGCACATACTCTAGTGTGAATGCAATGATTGAGCTTGGTTCATCCTCTCGAACTACGACATTGGAGTCTGGAAAGATATGGTCCGTGGGTGCCCTATGACCAAACTATCCTTAGCATTGACTGGTCCCGTTGATTCTAACTACTGAGCTAATCAATCTCTAACTCACAGGGGACACTCCAAAGGTAGAAAATTGGCTGCGTTTCCGGTCCATAGGCTAGTAATTGTCTTCATGATTGAGGTTCTTTCACCAACCAGAGCTTGCAGCTCCCGTATATCACGATTCACGGCGGGTGGGGGTACCTCCCTTTCCAGCATCTCTCCAGCAACCCCGCTGATTATATTCCACTCTACTGGCATATCGTCGTCATCATCATTTATGCCCGTCCCCGTTCCGTAAGAGGAGATTGACGGCGCCTTTTTAGAGAGGGCCATTGTTTGCTCATCTCCAAGCATATCGGTAATCGGTTCGGCGCGAAGCTGGTTGACGTTCGTCAGAACGTTCTCGTCAGACGGACCTGCGTCCCGAAGTTGGCCTGGAAGAGCCAGGTCATTCCCATTGGCGGATGCCGAGCTGCAAATAGATAATCCTTCGAGACCTCCGCAAGTGTTATCAGGAAACTCTGTCATTACAGGACTGTCCAAAATGCCAGGACCGTCGTACCCCTCCTCCGAAACGAAGACTTGGGCGAGGTCCCAATCACCTTCCTCCCCCGCCGGGGCCGTTACAACCGGCGTCAGAAGCGAGACGCCCTCTGATTGGGATCTTTGTCTTGCCTTGGACTCTTTCATCAGCTTGATCGACATGCGACGATTCGTCCGTGCCTGTGACGACACCATGGGTTGTTCGTTGGCTCGCGTTGCCATCGACTTTGCGAAGATTTGAGAGGTGGCGGAGGTCGGCGATCGGCCTAACAAAGGTAGCGACGACTCAACCCCAGATGGATTCACGCCCATCTCGATTTCCAACGGAGCAGTATCCTCTGGAAGGCTCAGTCCGGGGCGGGGCGGGAGTTCCTTGTCCGCAAACATGCGCTTAAGTTGGGCTGCAGTCACTCTGCGAATCTCTTTCGTATCAGCCTGCAGAAACCGCCTTGCGAAGGCAGTGAAGTCTGCGTCCCACTGGGTGACTTTATCTTGGAGGACACGCAATACGCCGTTTAGGGCAAGTATATCGGTTGGAGAACTGCTAATAAGAGTTTGCTGAAGGAGCTGGAGCATGTACTTTTTCTCAGACACCGCTCGTTTGCCCATTTCGCTCATCGCTTCCTTTGAAGCCTGAATCTTTCCAGGCGGAACGATATCGAATGTAAAGCTTTTTATCCGCTCCGACACGGAATCAAAGTAGCGAACTAGTTGCTGTTTGAGAGTCTCATAATCTTGCTGCATCAACTTGGAACTGATCTCGGCGATGAAACGAAGGTGTTTCGGCGGTACCACAACTTCCAGGAGCTCAATCATCTCGTATTCAAAGCGGACCGCCAGGTTCTTCAAGGCGAAATACCGGATGTGATCGCGGAAAATATCGTGTGGGCACATGTCAGCACGACAGCTCAGTCGAGTATGATAGTACGATAGTTCAAGGTACTTTCCAAACGAGTACTTCCACGTTTCCTCCGACATTGGCACCACAGGAGTTACTTGGTTGCATATTTTGCAAAAGCTCCACATGAGTATCGTATCCTCCATCCCTTGCACAGGGGATGCAAATTCTTCTATTACCACGTTGACTCGTCCTTGGCCGTGCGCATAACTGCGGAAATGCATCAACATCTTTCGATCGCACATCTTCGCCGGACATAGATAGTCTGAATTGCAGCACAGCTCCTCCAAGTACTGACCGAGCGTCATGTCCGTTCCACGGTAGTATTCTATTAAATGCTGCTCCGGAGCTTGACAGGGGATAGTGGTAGCTGCACAAACGTTGGAGTACAGCACCATGATACTTTGATGACCAAATGGACTCAAGCTACTAGCATTCTCAAGAAGATTGTTGATGCCGGCTCTAGTCTCAATGGACGACAGCCAGCCACTCGACTGGTCGAGAATCCCCAGAATGTACTCTCGCTCATCGACATCGATCGTTTCGCCATTGGAACCTATTTCCGATCCCTTCCCGCCATTCTGTTTGTTCTTTTCAGCGACATACTTCTTCTGGAGATGAGCTATGTGCTGCTCCTCCTCTTTTAAGCGAGTGAGCAGGTACGGTAGTGGAAACTTGACATGCGGTGAAGCGGAGAGAATGGTCTCCTCATATGGCTTGATCGCTCTGCTAAAAGGTGTGATTTCTGTAGTCTTTGAAGGGGATGGTTTGCAACCAATTGTATCTGATTCATCCGCACCCGTGGCATTCGAGGGACCCTGAAGGCTTTCAGGTTCAGCCACTGGTTCCATTGCAAACTGATCGCGAAAGAGGAATGTCTCAAGCTTGAGGTTATACACCACGAATGCCATCAAGTCTGCGATCTGCTTGATCTTGCCTAAGGTTTCCATGTTGCCACCACGCAGCACAATTGTGCATCCGAGCTCCTTAGGACACCCAGAAAAGTACATGTATGTCTTTCGATACCCTGGCATCTGGTCGTTCATGAAAGTTTTGGTGCTGAAGGTATCGCAGGTACCCAATCGAGGCTCGAGCGCAAGCTTATCCATTGACGAGATAATATCGGCCTTCGTGCAACGGGCAATCGCTTCTATCACAGACGGTTTTACGTTGTAGGCGACCACCACATTAGCTTCTAATAAGAACTCCAATGCGAGTCGTGAAATAGTCTTTTCCACTAGCACAACGTCCGGTTTCAAAGCGACCACACGCGCCACCAGATTCTTCAAGTGTTCCCGTTCCTGTGATAGGAGAGGCTCGAGAGAGAGAAATTGGTTCTCGACCCGCTGATATTCCAGAGCGAAAGTGAGCAGCAGAATCTTTGGGCGGAAGATTGTCCTCAACATCTTTTTATGTGCCACGTTCTTCGTGCAAACAACCCCGCAAACGTATTCACTGTCAGACGGGACCCCACCAGGAATCTTTTTAATCTTGACATAATGACGTATGTCAATGAAATCGCCCGCGCGAACTTCTGGTTGAATGTTGTCACACACTTTAAGCATGATCTTCATTAAGACATCTTCCCATCCGCTACTCAATGGAATCTCTGATTCCAAAAGAACTTGATCCAGGAGTTTTCGCATGTGCTGAAGAGACGCTGCGTTTAGCTCCACATTAGGAGGGCAAGATGCGGTGCGACGGTGCCGAGATACGCGACCATTATGTGCTGCTGCGTCCTCTAATGGCTGAATGGTCCCATCTGACGGCGTTACAAGCGTGGATTTACTGAGCTGACGACTGATTGCTCGAGCCGAAAACCTGGTGGGTCTTGGATGCCCACTAGAAATGCTTCGCCGCTTCAATTTATCTTTTGTAAACTCTATGCGCAGCTCGTCATTGCGGGATATGCGTCGCTGTGTCCTCCTCTTACGCTCTTTCACATCACCGTAATCCCATGTATCACTATCTTGGGCTGCTTGCAATGATTCTGTTCCAGTGACTCTGGTACTTGGAATGCTGATTGCCATAGCACCTGCGATGGTTGAGGGAAAATTGAGAAACGGACTGGTAGCCCAATCACCGGGGGTTCCATTTTCACTGTCCTCATCCGTCATATATGCGGCGATCTCAGGATCCAAGAAATTGTCGGCATTTGGATGCGCAACAGCATTCTTCGCTTCATCAGGAGCGCCACGAAAAGGCTCAACGGGCTTTGGCAGAGTTGGTGTTAATTCCTCAGACGTGGTAGTGCGGCGATTCTGAAATATAGATGATCCAAGCATTTTCTTGAACCCTTCCAATGATGCATCTGGTGACGCTGAAAGAGCCCACCCTTTTGCAGGAAGATGTAAGCCAGCTAACGGAGTGGACCCGCTGCCACTTGGAGCTGGAGGTTTGTTCTCGGGTTGGGCATGCTGAGCTAACGAGCGTCTTCGTGATACGGGTAGTGGCAAATTCGCGGGAGCTGAGCTCGGGTGGTCATTCGGTGTAGTTGGATCGTCATGTCTGTAATCTTGCATGATCTTCATGCAGAAATTGCACACACGCCTTTGAACCACATTAGCCTTACTCCATATCGGGTCGACTCACAAGCACTCTTACATTTCTCCGGGATAACCAAAGCGCTCTCCAGGAACTATCCAATGAGTCCACGGTTTGTCAGAAGGTGGAATTCGGTCGGCAAATAATAAGTAAAAAACTTACCAATCGACGATGCACATCTGTGGCAGAAAATTTGACCTGTACAAGGTGAGAGTTCGATCGCTTTATAGGTACGTCCAGTGTAAGCAAACATACCACATATTCGGCAATGATGTTTCCGGCGGAAGGTCGTAAATGGCTGTTTACACTCGTAGCATTCCTTGACCTGATACAATTGGATATTTTAATTTTAATTGGCAGCTCTACAGATGCTTAGTTTTTTCTACTACCTTATCATCTCTCATCCAATAGTCCTTGGTAATCCCGCTTGAACCGATATTACGCATACGGCGTATAAGTTTCAGTGAGGATTTATTCTTCTCTACCTCTTCAGCATTTCCCGTGCCTCCATTTGCTGATTTATCCGCAACTTGGAACGATATCTGACTAGCAGTCTCCGAAACCTCACTATCCATAGACTCTACCGAGCCGGCAACAGAGACTTTGTCAGCATCAGCCAAGTAGCTTGAGGAGGCATGGTCGGCGCCGTGATCCCCTTTCCCTGGCACAGGAACTGCTGAGCTTGTTGCGTAGATAGATCCAGGTAGAGGTGATGTTGGACTCGGTTCATCGCTTGATCCGCCCGTCTGTGCGTTGAACGGTAGGGTACTAGCGGCCTCTGTGGCTCGACCTACCGCTCTCCACAGACCGGACAGAAAGCCCCGCTTTTGGCGTTCATTAGCTCCGGGTTCGAGGTTAAAAGACTCTAGACTAAAGTCACTTCCTGAGCGAGCGGACGACACGGATTGATTAGATCGCACACTCATCGAGGCGATGTCCAGGACACATGTTTGGGTCCGTAAAGGTAGCGCTGCGACCGACCATTGCCCATTTGCTGTGGTGCTTCGGGCTTGCTCAGTGAGTCACCCTTAACTAAGCAGTTGGCAGCGGCACAGTCATAAGCGCAATGTAACCTTTTATGGCAAGAAATTGGGGAAACAAAAAAAACACCTCACTGGAAGGTGCGACTTTCCTTCTGGTCTGTGCGATTTACATCGTTCCTTTTTCCAAATCCCAGTAGAAAAAGGTGGGTTGAACCTCTTTTAGAACGTGGGGAATGGGCATGGGAAGATGGGAGCGGGGAAGGAAGTACAAGTCGCTGGTTGGCGAGATCGGCTTTGTGATGCCATGATCACTGATCACTCGGTCGTGTCTGCAGAACCTTCCAACATGGCCGACGAAGAGCACCACGAAGAGTTCGAACAAGCTGGGTCTGGTGCCTCCCTCACCTACCCCATGCAGGTACGCTGATCTTGGATCCTCGCTGGACCTTTCATCAAACTGACCTTGCTCAATTTCATATTACTTGTGTATAGTGCTCTGCATTGCGCAAGAACGGCCACGTTGTGATCAAGGGTCGCCCTTGCAAAATTGTGGACATGTCTACTTCCAAGACTGGAAAGCACGGTCACGCTAAGGTCCACTTGGTGGCCATTGACGTAGGTCCCGCCGGTTTACTCCTTTTGGATGTAGCTTGTGTTGATATTCTGCATCGGATAGATCTTCACTGGCAAGAAGCTCGAAGACATCTCACCCTCTACTCACAACATGGATGTGCCTAACGTCTCTAGGACTGAGTTTCCTCTCCTGGACATTGATGACGGTTTCCTCTCTTTGATGCACGCTGATGGAAGTACCAAGGATGACGTGAAGCTTCCTGAGGGCGAACTCGGTGAAAAGATGCAGGCCGAGTTCCAAGACGGGAAGGAGCTCATTGTTACTGTTGTCGCTGCTATGGGCGAAGAGCAAGCCTTGTCTTACAAGGAAGCGCCTAAGGGTGGGTAGTGGTGCATTCTTTGGATTGTAAATTCCCTTTGTTAATCTGCTCTCCCAGGCAACTAAATCATGTAGCGTAATCGATTACTCCGTTTCCCTGTTCCGCAAAGTGTACAGCCTGGCCCCTTGGATAGGTCCCCTTGCCTGGGTTTTTGAAAAGGCACCATTTTTTTTATAAATTTTTTCTTTCTACTGTATTCTTGCTCTTACCTGATGCGACACTTTACATGCGAATACCAAAGCATGCTGGGAATCATTCGTATCCGTGATTTTTTGATCGAAACGGCCCTGCTCTCCATACCATCTGTGTCCAGACAGCAGCCTGTTTATTCTGTTTAAAGAAGTTGAATGGATGATACATTTCGGTTGCACATTATCAACTTTAGTGTAGAGGTGACAGAAACTGGCACTAGCAAGGCGCGTAACCGAGATAGCCTCCATAATCAACGACCGGACAAATCGTTTGGGCCCGCAAGAAATCTTGGCCTTTTCATTGCTATCGAGCTACCGTTTCAAGCGGTTTTCATTATTATTGTCCGCTGTGATGCATTTTGGGGGCAAGACTGAAGCGAAAGGGCTTTCCACAGACAAATGCACGATCGGCGTGTTAACGTAATCAACCTTGCCCAATGGCACAGTCAAGTGTGAGCCAGAATACATGAACACCATTACCTCACTGTAGACTTTTCCGAAATCAGAGTGAATAGCAAACATGGCAGACCATCCTTTCCAAATCAAGCCCTCGATTGTGAGCATGCGCACCAGAAATCCTATAAGGGCCATTGGTGAGGCAATATCGTGTCCCTAGTCGCATCGCCCGCTTGACGCTTTTCTAATTTTGTGATCTCAAAGTTGATAACCTCAAAGTGAAGCCCAACCCCGAAAAGGAATTCATCTCTCTTGCTTTGGGTGATCCAACGACTTTCGGAAACTTTAAGCTGCACGAATCCTGCTTGGATGCTGTAAAATCGCAATTAGAAAGTTACAAAGCGAATGGATACCCACCATCGATAGGGTATGTATGAGCCCGTCCTTTATCGAGAGTTTGGCCAGAGGTGCATGTACATATTGACTGGATTGATCCACGACATTGTGCTACGAAGGGATACTGGAGGGCGGTGAGCGGATGTGGCCGTCCCTGGGGGAGGTTGGGCCGCGATAGCGGGTATGATGTGGAGGTACGGTGGAGGTCGTATGGAAATGGCACGAATACAATCCTGGCCCCCCCCCCCCCCGGGGAATCGCGGAACTGAATGCAGCTCGTCTGACTTGCTGACATCTGATTTGGGTAGAACTGAACAAGCTCGTGCTGCGGTGGCTCAAGCTTATACTCACCCCCAGGCGCCTCTGACATCGGCAGATGTTATACTTGCTAGTGGGTATGTCGATCCCATACTTGCGTTTCCTTGCGATGGATTCTGCTTTCCTGACTCTTCGTAAATAGCTGCAGCGATGCCCTTAATCTGTGCATAGGCGCGTTGGCCAACGAAGGGCAGAACATTTTGTTACCTGCTCCGGGATTTTCTTTATATGAGACACTAGCAAGCTCCAAAGGCATTGAATGTCGCTTCTACGATCTGCAAGTAGGTATAATGATCAATTACACGTCCGAGCCGTCTGTTGACAGTTGTATTATAACATCAGCCACATCGTTCCTGGGAGATTGATCTGAATCACTTGGAGACCTTGGTTGATGAAAACACTGCTGCCATTTTGGTCAACAACCCGAGTAACCCGTGCGGTTCTGTCTACTCGAAACAACACTTGCTGGATATTCTTGCGGTTGCAGAGAAGCATAGGCTACCTATCATTTCTGATGAAATATACGCGGACATGGCATTCACAGGACACGAATTCCTTCCCATCTCGACACTGACAACCACAGTTCCAATACTGACTACTGGCGGTCTCGCAAAGAAGTATCTAGTGGTACGTAGTAACGGTTCTCTTAACGAACGACTTTGAGTGCATCCGCTTCAACCTTCTTTACGTCAGCCTGGCTGGCGGGTGGGCTGGGTTTTAGTTCATGACCGAAATGGAGCCCTTGAACAAATTCGAAAGGGGCTGATAAACCTCAGCCAGTTGATTCTCGGACCCAATTCACTGGTTCAGGCGGCACTACCGGATATCTTACAAGCCCCGAAATCTTTCTATGAACAAACTATGGAGCAGCTTGAAAGAAACGCCAATATCAGCGAGAAGCTTCTCACGGGCATTCCAGGACTGCGTCCAGTTTTTCCACAAGGCGCGATGTACTTAATGGTCCGTTTTGCGGGATTCTGAAGAAATCGGGTCCAATTGATACTGACATGCTGCTTTATACAGGTTGAGATCGATACAAGCCGCTTTAAAAATATCAATGATGACTTGGATTTTGTCGAGAAGCTCGCGGAAGAGGAATCCGTCCTATGTCTTCCGGGCAAGTGTTTCCGTTGTAGAGGGAACTTCATTCGAATCGTTTTTACACCGCCAGTGGAAAAGTTAGATATCGCCTATTCGCGCATACGATCATTCTGCGAGAGGCACCTGGCTAGCTCTTGAACAACATGTATGAAGAACCCAATAAGCTAGATATTACAGATTTGAATAACTAGACCACGATCGATGACATAATCTCATTTATCCTAATTGGGACCAAGGTCTCAGAGGTTTTCCCACGTCTCCCTCTAGCAAGTACAGTATTTACAAGCAGCATGACAAGCAAGCACGGAAGTAGGACAGCAAAGAAACCACCACCCAAGAAGCAAAAGCTTCTTTCAGGTTGGGCAGTCTTTGCATTCGCAACGATACCATGAACTCAAGCAAGTATTTTCAGAGCTCCTGACTGTCCCGCGGAATGCAAAGCAAAGAGCTTTGATGGAAACCGCCCAGGAAGAGAGTGATTATGAAGAGGAGGAGCCTCTTCCTGGAAAGGATGACAGTCAGAGGTCGGTTGCCTGTAGTCAGCAGGTTTGTCAGATATCCTGAATTCCTTTCAAAAGCAGTCAAGGATTGTCCGACCTGCTTGGACTTTTCCAAGGTATCGTCGCCCAAAGTTCTTTCCCATTGATTTGAGCGCTGCGTGTAAGATGTATTTTTTGTGAAGCTCAATTTAAGAAAAAGAATGCTCAGCGCACCAAAAAAGCCGAATCAGAGCACGATGCAAAGTTACAAATGACAGTGGAACAGGTATGTATTGAGAGCACGAATGAGCATTTGGTCCATTGGTTGTGAATTGAACCATCCTAGATGAAGAACTATATTGCAGAACGCGAGGAAGAAAGGTATCAATGATAACTACAAGTATATGAACGGATTTCGATGCAGAATTAATGCGAGCGGTCCAGAGATGACAAGATAGAAGGGCGAAAAAGAAAGTATGAAGAAACATGGGAACACCAAGGTTGATATACCGATTGCACGATGCCATTGATTTCAGATTTACCTTCTGATTGCTCATGGGCGCAGCTACCACGATGACCGCGTTCACGACAGACTACGAAAGAGTTCTCAAGGGTTGGGCAGCCATTATAGATCTGTTGGATACGCATCACACAGGCACATTTAAAGCCCGCCAAGAATTTCATATGGACATGGACGAGCAAAGTAAGCCATTCCCTAAACAGTCGCATGCTGACCTAACTGTAAACCGTATCAACCTGACAGCGAAATCTCATGCGGTGCAAGCGGCACATCAATTCACCATTATCCAGAAACAAATTCATGCAGCCAAGAAAGAAGCGCAAGAGCTAATCAAGGTGATCAATCTATGACCTACTAAAGATTGCAAATGGCGGCTCAGATTGGGTTACTACCATAGGAATCATACGATACATCGCATATTAGAAAAGCGATCCAACTATTATTGAACGCGTAATGTCTTCCTATTGTGTCGTCTATTAGCGCAATTGCTGCCGGCGTATGCGGCAGCAACTTTCGCGTCTATTACGAGGGGATCCACGGATATAGGTAGCAGAGGCAACGCGGCGCGGCAGTCACTCCGGTTGCCGACTCTTCTTTCTGGCATGATCAGTGTCATAATAAAGCAAACCGCAAACTGACTGAATTCCTCACACGTTCCGTGCTGGCGGCGCGAGGCATTCATGCTTTAATAACTAGGAATCGCTACGGAATGTGATGGGCTCCAATGCAAGCTGATCTCAGAGCAATACACGGCAATCGCCAGATCTGTCCTTCAGACTAAATTCATTCTGAGGGGGGATCAACATGTTCTGCAAAAAATCGTAGCGCCTTCATGCGACTGCGTTAATCCTTCGCCATATTCTTATAAGACCCGAGACCCAACACACCTGGTGGGGACACTTGGAATATATGACAGATGCGTCATGCTGGCTGCGCACCCCTTCTTTCCACTTTACCGTCACACGCATCTTCAATGCCGAAGTAGCCGGCTCGACGGCTTCAATGCACTCTACAAGATCATCCCACAACTCGGTCTCGTCTTCGTTTACCGATGACTTTTTCTCTGTCTCAGAGCCTTCGTCCTGCGGTGTACTCTTCTATGGAAAGTGAGGCCTTCATTCAAGTTGTCACATAGGCACATGTCACGTCCACCCCTCCTTACCACGTCCGTATGGGAAAGGGTATCGTTTGGACGTGGTTGTCGGGTCTTTTGCCAAAATTGGGCAATTGTATCGCGGCACTAGCCAAAATAATGTCTTGTTGAGTAAGGACAGGATCGACTAGGTCGCCAAGTGACTTATATTGCAGCTACATTGTCCAGGTTCTCAACGTTCTCCCAGGTATTGTCGCTGGAAGGATAATTCTTCCATTTCACATGGTATTGGTGGTTGCCCTACAAGAGAAGGTAGTCAATTATAGATACAAGATGTTACCAACCATGCCAGATCTCTTACGTTGTGAAATCTGTACTTGACAATACGTTCCACTTCATACAAGCTCTCTTCTTCGTCACCTTCTGACCCCGCCACGGAATCCTCTTCTGCGCTCTCCTCCTCTGAATAGCTGTCTTCGGGGTCCTTCTGTTTGGACATGATTGCGCGAGATTGTATGCAAGATGGAGAGGCCAGGAGCTTGCCAGAGATCTAGAGCGCAAGCCTCACCGTCACGTGTTGACGAGACCAGCGTCAGCATAGCGGAGTCTTCGTTCCCAGATGACTTACTTGATGTGATTATTTGGCGGCCCTGGTTGATGTTAGCGGTAATCCACCTTGTTTGGTTGGCCAGGCTGTGAACATGGTAATGCAGTGTCGTTGCGGATACATATACATTAAAACTGTACACTATTATCACAAGAGAAGCTGAACACCTCATGCTTCGTGGGACACATATATAGGAGCCACCGCAGGTACGCCCTTCTTCACCCTCCTCCATATTTCAGAACGTGCGGAAGGTTTACTCCTCTTCTTCCCCCCATTCTGTGACGCAGGCAAAACGGTCAAGTTACCCGGTGCAATTACACCGCCCAGAGCGTTCGTCTGCGGTGCAAACGTCAGCTGCATATATAGGCGATAAGGGAAGTTGCCTTCAATTTTCCGTGCATTGGTCGTCACAAAAGATCGTAGAGCTTCTCCAACTCGCAATGTGTGTTGTCCGGTAGACGCATTGACGTTGTTGATCACAAATTGCGGATATTCTTCAAAGTAATCAGATGCGAAGAAAATTGATAGAAGAACTATGTCGACAATACAAGGTTATCTGACCGCATCGTAGCTTTGCTTTGCAGTGAATAAAATCATACCATATCGCGGAAAGTTGGCACCCTTCTGATATGTCCAAGTAATGTTCAAGTTCTCCCCCACTCGGACCTGCTTGGGTTGGAAGTCCAAGTTTTCAAAGTAGGTGTATTTAACAACAGACGCCCGGATTTGCAATCAAGGGGGCAAAATGTCTGCTCGCTGTAGCCTTCAGGATTTCCGAGTCCGTCTGTGTCGTTGCCATAGGGCATTGACGTACTGAGGCTGGCATCATAGATGAATTCTGATGTTCTTTCTCAACGGCAGGATGATGGAACATACCATAAAGGTTGATTAGTATAGTTCACCAGCCCGTATGGACCATACCGATACCAATCAAAGGGGGCCTCGATATTCGGCTCGGACAGCAAGTTTGTTCCAGCTGGACCCGTAATGGGCGTCTGTTGTCCTTCCACATCGATCAACGCATTGCGGGCATACACTTGCCATGAGAATACCCCACGAGAGGGTTTTCTGGGATCCTCGTCGAGTTCCCATGTAATGTTGACTGATCTGCCCAGATATACATCGTTAGGCGAGCAGGAGACCTTGCGAAGCCGTGGAAGGCTGTTCACTGGGGTAGTGATCACGAAAAATGTCAAAAACAAAGCAAGTGCCAACATGCTGTTGAAAAATGAATTTGATAAGAAGAAACGCTAATGGAGTGCGTCCGTTTAAAGAATCTTTTGGACACTCTTTTTGAACTCGGACAACATTGCCCACAGTGGGCCATCTACATGAAGGCGCGCAACGCGACCATCGCCGTAAGCAACCCTCGATCAAGAAGAGGTCTTTTCGATGCTTTTGCACATGATGATGCAAGATCTACCTCTAGGGTACTACTAGCATGAGCTGCATGTACAGGAATACTCTTAAAATTGGTAGATACTCTTTTAAAACATTGACTGGTTAGCGTCGATCCATTTCATCAACTTGTTGGAAGCTGGTAGTTATGCAGCCGACGCAAGCTATTCGTGCGCTGCAATGAAATTTCACCACCTACTCTCTGAAAGAACACATCTCGAGAGGCCAGTATCCCAAAGTACGTCTTGAGGTGACCAAGCACAGGAGGGGGCAGAAAGTTGAAAACAGCCAAGATCTATCCACGTGACCAACAAGTGTGCTCAAAAGGATGCTGAACTTTTCTATACCTGGTCATTGATAAAATAACGACATGTCCTCGTTCAAACGGCGCACGCCGACCGCAAGTCCCATTATTCCAGGCGTCCGTCTCTCCCCTCACACGGGAACTCACCAAACCTCAACGGGCATTCCAAGTCTTGATTCCCTTCTCGCAGGTGGTCTCCCACTCGGCACCGTCACCCTCCTCCAGGAAGACCAGTTCACTCGATACGCACGACTAATAGCCTCCTACTTTGTTGCGCAAGGCATTGTTGCTGGCCATGCGGTTTGTTTTGCATCAGCTGAAGAGGGTATTGAAGAATTTATGGGCGGGTTGATGAGCGTTGTTGAAGGACCACAGCCAGTAGACGAAGAGGAGGCAGACACGCCGAAAACGGAAAGGGTGCTGGGTGGGTTAAGGGATGTGGATGGCGATAGGATGAGGATCGCATGGCGATACCAGAATTTGCCAATATTGAGTACGGACAAGCGAGGGGGCAGTAGCATGGCGAAGACGCCATATTGTGCGATATTTGATCTTACGAAACGCATGGATGAAGGATTGCTGAAGGGAACAAAGATGGCTTTTATCGATGTCTCTACTTGGAGTGCTGACGACGAAGAAGATGCAGAGCAACAAGATGCTTACGACAAACTTTACTGTCAAATAGAGACTCTAATCACACAAGGCGGCTTCAGGTTCTCACCCACAAACCCACCGCAAACAGCACTCCGGATCTTCATACAATCACTGTCATCACCCCTCTGGCCTACTCCAACGCACCACGCCCAACGTCTACACAGATTCTTGCATACCCTCCGTCCACTTCTTCGCGAATCTGCTGCAGTATGCCTAATTACTCTCCCCACGCCGTTTCCAATAGAGCTCGCCCCGCTCCATCACACATCGGATGGTGTACTTAGCCTGACCTCCTTTGCATCACATCCGAGTGTGTACGAAAGTATGTATAATGGTTTCCTCGACGTAATCAAAGTTCCCCGTGTGGGGTGCCTTGGGCAGGTGGATGAAGAGGTTGGGGCTTTAGGCTTTAGGGTGAGGAGAAAGAGATTTGAGATTGAGAGGGTTGGACTCCCACCAGAGGAGGAAGAGAAAGGACGAGGGGAGGTGAAAAAGGTAGGCTGTGGCAGCACAGGTAACAGTGTACTAGATTTTTGAGCCCAACAGGCTGAGACGATTATCAGCCCCATACGAGGGCTCGCCACAACAAGCAAGTGCATCTAGCTCCGATGGTGCACACCCAACCCCTCAAATGTACAATAGCATGTTGATATGTCACATATAAATAAATTCTAATATCAATCGACAGAAACACCTCTTGCCCGTAAATCTGTCCTGGCGTTTTGAATATCCTATCGGCCCAAAAGTCGTTCAGCGTCTATCAATCTGACTCAAGAATGCACAAACCCTCAAAACAAACCTTCAACAAGCTCGCGTGCGCATCTGGACTCTCGCCTACGTGCCTAGACTCCACCCGATATTTGCCAGCAAGGATGCACCAAATGTCACGAGAGGCCAGAGGGCAGCTATCCAACCATCGGCTTAGACGAGCGATCGAACGAACGCTACAGTGGACAATTCAGCTTACCACTGGTATAATCCTATCGTATGGGTGAGTGGTTGCTAGTGACGGGTGAAAGAGGGCCAGCAGCCAGGTCACGGCGGACACAGTAAAGAGCGTCAGGAAACGTGTTGCCCGGGACATGAGGAAGAATGGGGAAGCAAAAGTACACGCAAGTAGGTGAAGGCTCGCGTTTTGGGAACACGTCTGTTGCTGACTCACGTGATGCTACTGGCAGATGCAGCCAGGACAACCTTTCAACCTTCTTTGCGATTTGACATATATCGGTGAGTCCTTGCTGGAACATTGTAAGAAGATCCTTGAAATTTGCTGGCGTCTACATTCGTGCCCGCACCCAGATGCACAAACAGGATACCGCGCATACAGGTAGTTTGGCGGTCGGGCATCAATGTGAAGACAAAGCACGGCCATACATCTTATTGAATTACTTCCTGTGTACCAGCCAACCCACTTCCAATCTAAAACTTGTAAAGTATTTACAGCTATAATGCTTAACGCTATTCATATGTACCATGAGAAACTCCAGCTACGGCATAATTCCCAAGAAACAGCGCGCCACTGCCCCATCCCGCCAGCACACCCGCTATTATGGGTACATTAAACGTGACACACAAAAGTACCACCATCACAAAAAGAATTCCAGATAACAATCGAAGAATCATCCGAGCGGCGCGGATACTTAAATCGAGACCCACAGCTTTCACTTTATGTAATGTCCCTGATCTGGCGCTCGTGGCCGGTACCCCGAGTAGTGGCCCGCGCTCGTCCAGATCGTCGATAGGACCAGTCGTAGTACTGCGTCGCCCAAAGACACGCGAGGTGGGTGAAGTCTCCGCATCAGACGGGTCGTTGTTCGCAGCTATGGGCGATGCTGTGATTTGTGCAACGCCGTTGGATCGTTCAATTACTGCCACCCATTTTTGCTCGCAGTAGATCCGGAGCACATTCACAAGTTCATGTGTGGTAGCAATCAGAAAGGCAGCGATAACAGCTAATGCCAACTGCAATGTGCTTCGAGCTACAAAGAAAGGTAATATTATATATTCAGGGCCAGAGAAATGGAGATAAGGTCGCCAAGTTGGAAATGGGAGAGTATTATTCGGAGGCGGCGGCGGAGGTGGCGGTGGAGTCGGAGGCGGGGGGCAAAGGTTGCTAGGCACAGATGTAGAATTGCACAGCTGCAGCATACTTGAGCAGGAGGGGCTTTCAGGAACTTGACGACAAAATTGCGAGTACACTGCCAATGGCTCGCATACTCGCTTGACTCGCTTAAAAGAAGCTTCACTTGCTTCGCACAACTCACATCCGTCCACCCATTTTTCTGCGCAAAGATCTGGTACCATACGTTCCAGTTCACTTGTGCTAGGCAAATACTGTAGAGGAGCCTCGTTCGCACACTGCCGAACCAGAGATCCGTGTCTGCATAAAGCAGCATATGTTCTACAGCCATTGAGACTTGGAGCATCGCTTGCACATACTGTAGCAAGGAGAGAAAACGGCGAGCAGGTGTTTGTTCCTAGAAACGCAGCAGCGGTGCGACAATAGCGCTGCAAGGTGCATCCTGTCGAATTGCAAAATGGTTGAAGCTCCAACTACTGCTATCAAGTTAACATGATACCGCATACCAATAAGCCTAGGGTCTTCCTTGCAAGCTTCAGCTAGCATCGCGTTGGCCTTGTCCGAAGGCAAATTAAAGTTTACACATTCAAATCGCGTGGGATCCATCATGCAGTCGAGATTATCAGGTTGGGCGACTACTCCTGCAGGAAGCAAGCCGACAGAGCACAGTAGCCATGACGTCCAAACACGACCTTTGTCAAGACGCATCTTGTAATTGCTTCCCAGTAGATGAAAGTTATGAGGTGAAAAGGACGTGACGTTGTTGACGTGAGGGTTGGAACCGCTTGATCTGGTTAGTAATGGGTGTGGTAAGCAGCACGAACTGTCCTCGCGCTGTTTCTACTGTCTAAACTTTTGGCTCTGCCCATTTACTCAACGAACAATGGAGGGGCCCGTACAAGCTCAACACGCCATAGATCATATATGCAACGTCTGTTCAGAGCGAATAGAAGGATCCCACGTAAACGCAAACGAAAAGCGTTTCCACACATCCTGCTTTGTGTGAGTGAACTTTGTGGGTGTACCTGCCGTGCATGTTATGTTAACTTTCCGTGTCTGGCTCCAGCTGTCATCAATGTCTCGAACCTTTCCCTGAAAATGCATTCTTTGAAGCAGAAGGCCATTTCTTTTGCGATTTCGATTTTACTGTGTTACACGGGTAGGTGACCAGAACCCAGGGTAAGTGGGTTGTCAGTGTCCTTGCAGAGCTCCGGTAACCAATATCTTATGAATTCAATCTTCTCGTTTGCCACATAGTGCACGATGCGGCCGTTGCGGTGAAATCATTCGAGGAAAGTGCATAACTGCCATGGAAATGAAATGGCATCCTGAACACTTCACCTGCGAGGTGTGCGGAAAGCCCCTGGCCGGGACCACTTTTGTGAAAAAGAATAATAAACCTCACTGCAAACCATGCATGGAGAAAATCAAGACAAGAGGTACAATTCTGTGATGTCTGTTAAATGATTAGGGGAATGCGTTTGCTAAGAATGCACCACATAGAACGAACACAGGACGTTTGCGATCGTTGCAAAAAACCATTTCATGAACATGAATACGTCCTTGTACTCAACAATAAAAGGTACCATGCGCACCACTTCAATTGTGCACTGTGCAAGCAAGCTCTTGGTGCCGACTGCAAAGAGTACGAGGGAAAATTGTACTGCGCTGCTGATTTGGAAAGAATGACAATGAGAGTGTGTCAAGCGTGTCGACGACCAATTCAGGGAAGAAGTATTACTGCTATGGGGAAACAATATCATCCAGAAGTGAGTTGACAGTTTTCTGATGGTCTCAAGTCGTGTTGGTACTCATTGGCGCGGAAACAATTGTAGCACTTTGTGTGCTCCAAATGCGAAAAACCGTTTGGATCAAGTGTGTATTGGGAATACAAAGGCAAACCCTACTGCGAAGCACACTATCATGAGCAACTGGGGGACGTATGCGGCCTATGTTATGAGCCCGTGGTGGGCCGAAGTAAGTGACAACGCATTGAAGTACCTCTCTCACATTTCTGAATCTTTACTTCCAACAGCCATCACCGCCATGCAACGGAAATGGTGTGATCACCACTTTGTGTGCATGGGTTGCCACACCTCGTTAGCCTCGCAAGATAGCAAAATGGCGTTTGTAGAATGGAATCTAAAGCCATACTGTAAAAGATGTTACGAGGAGCTTCCAGGGGAAGTGCGGAGGAAGGTTGGAAAATATTATGATAAGGAAAAAAAAGCCGCAGAGAAAGCACAAAAGGCCCAAGCGGCAAAAAAATAATATACGTTCGAATATTTCTTCCACCGCTCGCTCTACCATGTGAAGAGTTTGTCTAGTGCTGTGCTGCTCGCGCCCATTATATATCCAGTCTGATCAGCCATGGACAGCGAAAACAGTTCCAGCAGAGCGTACACCAGAATAATGTTCAAAAGCCATGCCATTTCGAAAATGAGAGCAAGCTTGGTGCATTGGCCACAGTCTGCAGCAACGGACAGACGGGAGCCATCAATCGTCCGCTATGTGTGCTATAATGACTCTAGCCGCCAATTTGAGAATCAGCAGATGTCTAAATATTTTATTAAGGCGGGCCTCTCCTTCCCCGACTTCGGGATCTCGACCGTCTGCGTCTGTCTCTTCGCGATCGGTACGACCGATCTGGACTACGTGAGCGTGAACGTGGCGTCCGCGATCTTCGGCTCTCGCGGCGTGGGCTTCGCGCCCTGGACCGGGAATGTGGTGATCGCTGCTCGGTCTCGGTTGAGCGTGATGTGGGTGACCGCAAAGGCACATTGCATGGCGCTGGCGCTGAGTCCAACATCGTGTTTTCTGCAGTCTCAATCGGGTTCGCAGGCTCGACAAACGACATAGTTGCGCCACTTTCCAGGAAGGTCTCTAACTCCGTGACCGTTAGGGGCAATCCCTTCCGCACCGGTTTGCGATAGAGGCTCAAGATGTGACCCGATACATTTTCCAAATCTTCCAGGTCTGCGTCAAATACCTCCCACCAGGGTGGGTTGGTAGGGAGCTTCACCTTACATACGCGAGCGGCAAGGTATATCACTGCACACGCAATCGTAGATGGCTGGTAGCAGACATATATGCTGGTTCGCAGCCTACCTTGAACGAAGTAATTACTCGGAAGTTTGAATACTTGCTATTATCGAGTCCTGCTTACCCGTCGTTCATGTAATTCCATGCCCGTTGCGTCAAATCCTCGTTATCCACCATATTCATTCCTTGCAGATAATTCATCATGAATCCGTGTGGTTGCTGTACTTGAACATTGAATCCAAGTTTACAGAGAATATGCAATTCGCCTGCTATAATCCCTTCTTTCAACTCATTGAATAGCTATAATAATGAAGATGTTGAGGTGCCCACCCTGCCTGGTCAGCAATCTTATGGCACATACCAATCCAGCATAACTCTCCACTCGTGGTGTTATCCCTCGATTAACATCAATGAGCCAAGAGAACACATTGACTATATCCTTGACTTTACGAGGCGTTTCTTCCACTTTTGAAGCCAAGAAGACGGCTCCCATTGCAATGTCCTGGTTCCAGGTTAGCTCTCTGAATTCACAGTTTAGCGTTCAATGTAAAATGCCTCACCCGCACAGCAACGAGTTTCAAAGACGCCATGTAGTAGAACCTCTGAAAGAGGACTTGTGCCGTTGCCGTTGCCACCTGCGGTCTGTAAACCAATGAGTGAAGATTCGTTACTGACTGCTTCCACTGGCCTCATGCCGACAAACAATACACTCACAAACGTAGCAAGATTCCTGCAGACTGAATGAGTTCGCAACCAAACACACGCAACTCTGTCTCCAGCTCTGTAAGATCGCATGCAATTTAATATTGGGGCAATGCGCAATCATATTAGCCGCGAACAAAGATCTCACCTTGTGAAATTCCGTCCTGTCTGGATGGACTTTGCTCCAATTGCTCAACAGTCAAAACAGAGTTTCGCAGAGAGAGTTTGCTAACCGATCCTGCTCCCAGGACGGCCATTGTAACTGGACGAGGGACCGATAAAGGCTATTGTATTGGGTATGGGATGTGGTGCGGGTTGTGCTCTGGCGATCGCGGCTTTGTGGGTTGCAGATCAGGGCGAGTAGATCACTGAGGCAGGAGGCGCGAAGCAAAACTCTTTAGAGTTGCAAGAGCAAAATGGGGATGCTGGGTTTTATTGCATGCTGGCACCTTCAGCAGCCTGTCCCAATACTATTTCTACCTTTAATCACATATGTCCATCGTTGGTCCTCCCTGTGGTCATGATCTATCATAGGTTCATGTGCTGGCCGGTGACCCAATACAACTGCAAAGGTACAGTAAAACATCCAGAAACTACCACCTTATTCATATGGTGAGTATTATTACCTATCTACATCGCATAGGTGAGGTATATCATAACAGGTGTTGTGGTAATGATGACAGCCGATCTGTATCTGTATGACTATATAGTGAGAGCTGTGGAACGATATCTCAAATGCATGATATTACACCTTCTTGCCCTATCTTTGGCGACTGTTTGCATAAAAAGAACCATGGTAGAGTTAATAGAAAATACAACGGACTCTGGTGTCGGCTCCACTGACGAAGGAATGCCCATTTCCCAATGCTAACGCGACCAGGAGTCTTGTAGATCAGCTCTGCTCGACATGTGACAAGGCAAAATGCACCGGCCTGAACCCAGAAAGAGCGGTTCTAAACCATACAAGATTCCCTCCAGCTCGTCCAAGTGCCAGCAGAGAGAACAAGGTTTACATCATGATGCGGATGGTTCCTAATTGCTGTTTCGCTAAAACTATCCCGTTTTTACAGGCAACCTCCAAATCGCTGACGATGCTTGGGTCAATAAGTGGCTTGATGAACCTGCTGTTGCTGAAAAAGGAGCTGAGTGCGCGGCAGCACGGAGTGTAAAGCTCGGGGAATATATGCAGACCTTGCTCAAAGCAAAAGAAATTCGAGAGTCACTGGAACAACTTACAGAATCCCAAACTGGAAGCGAGCGCCACGACCCAGAACTGGCAGAGAACCTTGAACAGCGGGTGCACGCTGAGCGGGTATGTTAGCGGGACCGCGAAAACTCCAAGTACCACCCTCTGACCTCCAAATCCTCATTCAAGGAAGAGCTGCGGTCTTTATTAGCTAAAGTAACAAACAAAGATGTCCTCAGAAATGTTAAATACCGTCTTGGAAAGTTACGTAGAAAGAAGGTAAGAGTAGGTCCAGGGGGTCAGAGTATGACTTGGCATAATCAAGAACCCGTCTTCGGCAGCGCTGGCAAGAGAAGCGGCAGAAGACCTTACGAGAGATTCGGGAAGAAAGATTGCGCAATCGAGAACGTCTGCACGAAGAGACTGACTTGTGGCTCGCACGACGCCGTGCAGAAGAAGCCCAGCTTCTCGATGTACGTTTCACATTTGATGGTGTCGTTGGTGTCTTGTAACCAATGACGTTTCGCAGGACGCTGAACACGCGAAACAGTTGGAACAAAAGATTAAAGACGCCCGCATAGCAAAACGCAAACATGAAGATATTGTGTCGTTGCTCCAAGCGCTGGAGCGCTTGCGAAATCTACGTAGAGATAAAGCCAAAAAGGCTGGTAGGTCACTGATCTCCTTTTCATTGAAACATTCGGCATTTCTCAATCTCTTGGTTTCCAGGTGAGGTCTTCCCTGAAGAAGATGACGAGTTCTTTCGTATGGTAGAGGAACAAAGTACAGCAACTGTCGGTGGTGATGAACATGAGAGCACTCCGCAGGAGGATGAAGAAGCCCCATCAATTCGCATAGTAAGGCCTTCAGGCTTTGAGGTCAGGGATATAGATGACCTAATTCGTGTCAGGTAAAATCGTTATTTGTGACTGAAGGTATCTACTTTTCTAATAGTTATTCCCGCTGTGGCAAATCAGACGTCAATGGGATAACTATATTGTACCTGCCGGTACGCCGGGGGGTTCGCGAGTTCCACAACACTTTGTAATACCTGGTGAGAGTTACATCGATGTGAGATAAGTATTATGAAGTCACTTATGATTGCTTGGTAGGGCCACCTTCCAACGAGGATTGGGCGGGCTTTGTGACGGGGGGTTCATGATTTGTGAGCGTTGCAGTTGGTCGTATTCTTAAATACGCTGGTTACCATTGCAACCACTGAACCTTGTGCACAAAAACGATCTGATCTATTGCCTACTCGTCACTTTTGTTTTCTCTATCTACAGCTGCTAGTCTTGACTGAGCCACCTCGATCAGAACTTCTATGTGCTCTATCTGTTCGAAAACGGACTTGAGCTCCCCCTGCGCCCCTCTCTGACGAGTCTTCAAGTCCGCTAATTCCTTTTTGCGCTCTTGCATGATTTTATGTTGTTCTTCAATTTCAGCCTAGAGGTAAAAAATAGCATTCAGACTCCATTCGAGGACTTTTGCTTGTTCTCACTAGACACATTACATTGATCTTCCTCATTTCTGGTGATTCTTTTGGTTGATATATGTCGGCCAGATCCTCACTCTCCAGCAGCGTTTGATAAAAATCTGGCTGCAAATTGTGTTTCTTTGAGTGCCCCGACCAATTAAGATGAATCATCGCCGTGCACCTACATTGGCTTCGAATTTTGTAAGCAGCTCTTTGAAGACGTCTTCGTCTGCAGCCTTTTCATGCATCCACTTATCTACCGACGCCCACCTATCCTTTGAGCGTAGTAGCTGCATCTGCTTGTCGCTGAATACGTCCGACGATACATTTTGAACAAAAGATCGACCTAGTGTTGTCAGAAACTTTGTTTCCTCCTCTTCGCAGGTTTTCTTCAATCTACACCAGTAGTAGTGAAATTCCGCTCCATATATCAAAAACTAGAACATACTCAGCATTTTCCTTCTCGATCATCTGTTTTCGAAAAGTAAGGTTGACCAACAGCGACCTAAGATGGTCGAATTCCTCCTCGCTTCCGTTTTCGCACATTAGCTTTTGGCACTTTGACCGGAGATAGACTTTTTCCTGTACTATATTGAGCAGTGCGGCAATGCACAAGTCATACTCGCGCTGAAAAATGGGTGCGACTCATGAGAAGGTACTTTGGGTCCTTGAAGCAGTGAGAATATCCACCTTGATGTCCGCCAGAATTGGCCTATAGTTGCGAAATTGCGCAATAACCCGATCATAGATTTGCTGGAGGCATTCAATCCTATACGGATCTAGCAAGTTGCTTTCGAACCTGCGCAGGGTTTGTAGGTCATCCTGATACTTTGCTACTAGTAGGTCAGGTTGTTGGGGACATCTTTCCACAGTTGGGTCGGAAGCCAGCCACGCTTTCAGATGATATGGCAGAGAACGGAGATGAAAGCATGGTTGGGTATCATTGCGCACGGAAAAGTGTGTTGCACCATTCAAGGTCATGATACTACTAGTGATGGAAATACGCAGATGGATCGGAGATTTTCTTATTGTGCACACCAATATTGCTCAATTCACGCATATATAAATAAACCACCATTTTCTACTGACATGGCCAAGATCTAATCATGATATTGGCGGATTCATCTGGCAAGATGTCACTTTCTTTGCGTCCAAGCCATTCCACAATGGGCTATAGCAAAAGTTCTGCAGGACCATACGGGTGAACTCTCTCACCACACCGGACGTGTCATTACATAAATATCATCTGCACGAGCACATCATGTAGCTCCGTATCTCGCATGGGTACCAGGAATACCTTTGGCAAAAAAGGTCATTGGTGGTCATCGTTCAAGTGTAAAGCCCTCCAGGCGGAAGTGACAAAAGTTAGTGTAGAGGTGACAGAAACTGGCACTAGCTACTACACCAGGGAATAAACCGGCGACAACCGGTTTGGAAAAGCTAACTAAGCTACTACTAGGCAATTATACACGCAATACGTAACGGTTGGTTCTAACCGGATAATTGCCCACCACCACAGGCGGTCCCTACTAGGCCTTGATCTGGAACTCTTGATGGCATTGAAGCCAGACTCTTGCATCCAGGAGCGAATCGACTGGGCAGCGTCACAAGCCAGAGGATGTTCAGTGACAAGGCTTGGAGACTAAAACTGCATGTCAGCGACAGAATAATATGAAAAGAGATGATGCCATTGGTACATACCAACCAAGCTCAACTAATGTGGCAGCATAATAGTAGGTTTTGTTATCAGATCTGATTGGTTGCCGCTGGTTCTGATCACGGTTGCTGTCGGGCGGTCGAGGTCCTCGGCACCAGAGCAGTATTCTCATGATTGGACTGAGACTTGTTGGGCGGATGCTTTGAGTCGAGGATGGGTAAAGAGGAAAGAGGGAAGAGGGAGCAGGTCCCCCTTTTATAGACCTTTGGCATGCGCCTCACCGCAGTTTAAAAAAAAAGCTACATTAGCATGCCACACCGCAGTTTGGAGAACATTAGCATCCATGCCTCCTCACCGCTTTGAGCAATGATGGGGGTTCTGATTATGCGATATGACTAACCGGATTAATCCGGATAATAATGGGTCCTAGTGCCATTTTCAATCACCTCCACACTATGGACATCACGTCACTGGCACAGTCACACTACAATACATGACTATGCCGTCATTACACTCAAACCGGAATATGAGAAAGATTTGAACCGTGCAGATTTGCACGAGGGGCTGACGTCTTCACACCTTCAAATATCGAACCCCCGCTCTCGCCCCCCCATCTTTTCCCATCATCTTTTGCTCATCGCAAGCAGTACGTTGCAATCTTTTGCGCACTCCAACATTATCAGTGTTTTTTAAAGGTATGGAAGCGCGTGTGTCCTTGGGATTTTATTCTGGTTTGTTGTTGGAGACTCTGCTAACACGGTGTTTAGAATCTATCCTCATCTAGTATGGCTAACCAAAGCAAACCTCAAGCTGCCGGCGGTATCTCCGCCTTGGTCCAATCGGCTAGCGGCCGTGTGCTTCCCCTTATCAGCACTGCTCAGTCCTATGCCATTGCTACCCTCTCAACATCCAAGGCCATCCTCGACCGGTACCCCCCGCTCAAGGTTTGTGTGCCGTAGTGGTCCTTGTTTTGTTAAGTCACTTGGACTGATCAATTCCCCGTGAAATTCTGCCAGGCCTTTGTGTACACTCTTGGTGGTGCCGCCGCTGTACCTCTCGCTGTCTTCACAGGTTACGGTGCTGCCACTGGCGCTGTCGTCCTCGGTGTCGCCGGAACCGCTGTAACCTTTGTACAAGGCGGTTTCCTCGCATTTGGAGGATTCATTCTCTTCTGGTTCTTGGCAGGAGCTTTCGTTCTCGCCTCGATCTTGACTTTCTGGTAAGGGTCGGCAATAAGTTACATGACATTCTACGAGAGCTTATCGTGCTCCCTTTCCTTTTATAGGTTCACATTGGCCTACTTCGCCTTCCAAGTCGCCAAACGCCTTGAGGGCACTGCTTAAGCAGCTTTAAACCTGCGGTTCGATTTTGGTTTTCCCTCATTTTTGCGTTTAGTTTTAGCTTAGAAACGGGCCTCATAATTTGATACCTGGATTACAGTGTTTGGATTGCTTTAATGTGTATGGGGGGCATGGGTTGCAATATTATATTACTCTGTTGAACCGCCGTCCTTGCAGCAAGTCTTTTGCCTTGAGATGTCCTATGATCCGCATATGCGGTTCACCTACTGATATTATTTGATGCCTTGGCAGAGTGAACACAATTGTTTTACAAGGTCACTGAAAGTTGTCTTGCTCGACGACAGCACGTTCTGCATCAAAAATTATCGAATCAGCGTGTTGGGACACAGCTCGCAATGTACGTGTTCGATACAGGGGTTTGATTGGTGGTACCTTATAACAAGTGTTATCCCACGTATCAGAGTTGGAAGTTAAATCCAGGTGGGCGTAAACGCCATTGGAGACATAAAAAACGGTGGAGTGCAACTTAGAACTGGCTGGTCCGTAACTGAGACTGGGATAATGCGGGGGTTGAATCTATGATATGCTTTTGTGGCGGTGGTCTAAGTCGCTGACTAGCCGCGCAAGAATACTCTATAAAATAATGGGCGAACAGACACCAGCTCCTCGGTGCCGACCCAGGTCTAAACTATTAACATCTACCCTTAGCTCTCGTATACGAACGCATAGCAGCAGCTTGAATTGGGTAAGAGCCAACTTTTGCGGGCTAGTAATAATGGGCACCCTGTACACAACTGGGAAGATCCGGCGAGAAGTGCGCAAACGGAACACAATGCTGCCTGCTGGCATAAAGGACTCATCCTCTGCATACGCGGCTATATATCAGCTTTGAGTCACCTCCCCTATAGCGGCCAATGCTTCCGCTTTGCACAGATCGCGGTAAACTTTGAAATGGTGATTCAGGGACGGGTGAACGTGAATCTTGTAAGCACTACCCAGGCCTCCGTGGCACTGACGAATTGCGTAAAACACGCGGGCAATACGAGAATGCACTAATGCCATAGAACACCTAACATAAACAATCAGAAGTCGAACGTCCCTGCTGCAATGGGACGACGTCACTCACATGGCGCAGGGTTCGTTTATAAGATATAGGTCAAGACCGCTACAAAGATAGCCTGATTTATCTGCTCCAGCTGCAGGATTTACAACGGTCAGCAAACGACTCTCGGCTTCGCCGTCCATTAGCTTTCTCCTCTTTCCTGTTCCAACAAATTGTTTGGTGCAATTTGCAAGTTCACCATTACAATCTTCGTGGATCCCACTATCTGCGATTGTCGATTCGCTCTCGCGCTTTTTGCGCTCTCTTTCGGCGACAAGGGCGATACAATTCATGACGGCATGGTGGAGTGGGTGATCGTTACGGGTATCGGTCGACGATGCAATTTTAGAGTTGGTGATCGGGGCAACTATAATGGCTACATTCACGATTTTGCCTTGTGCTCGCAATACTTTGGATTCTTCCAACGCATGTCGCATCCAAGTTTGTGCGCTTGCTACTTCCTCTTGCGTCAACGAAACGTTTTCCTTGCCAGAATGTGGGTGGAAGTTCATGGGCCAAAGTTGCTTCCATTCGTCAAACTGCTCACGAGTGACAGCAGCATAACGGGACACCTGAGAAGTGCTTATAGGTCCATAAGGAATCTCGTTATCAGACAAAAACTGTTCTAGTTCAGGCTGAGTGGACGAGTTTGTTGGTGCAAGGAGAACCGATAAAATTGTACCTAGCATGGGTCAGTCAGTAGCTTGCCTCCAAACCAAGCGCTTTATAGCACATATACCATTATCAGACTGTTCTTTCTTTACCCGTTTGAGATGCGCAAGGTCCTCTAATGGATACTGCTGACACACAGCTCTGGGATTCAAGGTTGAAAATGTGAGCTTTCATAGAGAAAGTCAAGAACAATATACACAAAATATGTACCTCTACGTTGGGTAAAGCACCTACTTTATTAGTTTACTCGCATGTTTGGGATCGACAGCTGTCCTGTAGACCTCAACTAAGGGTACCGTCAATACGTGAGGTGGGAGATCAACGAAATCTTTTCGTTCATCGTAGTACCTGTCTGCAGTCCCCGAGTATGCTCATCACCATGAACCTGCTCTATTTCAGACCCAGCAGACTCGCCTAGAGAGCCCTTATCACCCATGTGCAGGACAAAGAAGGAAACAAAGACCTGTACAGGTACAGTACAAGCTCTCCATTGATGATGAGAACATGATTGGATTGTCATTCCAACCAATTCAGCGCAGTGCTCATCAGTTTTGTCACAATCCTAGAGTCCTCGCTGGACTTTTTTCACCAAGATAAACAGCTCGGGTGCCATTGGTCTGGTGTCATGCCCATTCCACAGCCAACACAGGCTTCACCGTCGGAATCACGCGAACTTTATGGTGGGGCCATTGTAACCGATATTCCAATTAGTTTTCTGGACGCGAGGTGGGCGTTGAATTCAATGTGGAGGAAACCTCTCAAAGACATTGTGGAGTGAAACTACTCTCTGTTCAGCGATTTTCGCGAAGTGCCGAGCAATCAGGAAGTCTTTGTGGATCAAAACACCGATCAAAGCATTATCATTGAGCTGCTAGAGCTGGCGAGTGACGCAGACGATGCCGAAGCTGCAAACTTCCATTTCCAACAGTTAGCAGAGGATAATGATGCGGCGGAGAGCCGGGTCCTCTCTGTCGAGTACTTGGATCCTGCCACAGTAACTCCGTCTCTTCCGTAAGTGGACGTTCCCCATGAGTTTATGTCCCTGGTGCTTGCTCAATGTCATCTACAGTTCGACCGTTCATCTCTCGGTTATTGTTGGCGAGCAAGTCGTTAGCAAATTCCGCGAGGGTAATCCAAACGCACGTAATTTAGTAGCTATTTACATGGCTGTCTTGCGAATACCGCATGTTACCACAGATCTGGTCATCTCGTACAATCATCCGGTGGCATTAGGTCAAAGTAGCAGCTCGGCCACAGCTTTGAGAGAGAGTGGAGGGCATGTGGGAGTCCCAGAGGTAGCCATGGAGAATTTTAGGAATATGTTACGTAGACTGAGGATTGTGGACTGGGGACTGTTTGGAGCATAAAGCAAGATGTTTGGATCGGTGTATTTAGTTGTCACGCTGTTACTTTGCCGGGAATATCGAGGTCTTCATGAATATCATTTTTGGGTCATTTGGAGTATCTACTTAATAATCTGACTTGGATAAGACTGGCCATTCTCGTGCACGTTAATCATAGAATCATACCTGAAGGTTGAAGAATAGCGACAATAATCATGAGCAACAATTATCAACTGCTGGTTCGCTTCGTTTACACTTCAATCTCGGGAAGAGCAAGCGATAAAAGTAACCTGTGTAGAGTTATTCAGTCGTGGTCCAAACTTCAAACTATGCCGTGCTGGGGCCTGTTCCTACTCAGTTTGTACAGAATTTGTTCATCCCCGCTCAAGAAGCCAGCCAGGGAAGATCACGTAATGACCACCACGGTGGACACGCGTCGGGATCTCAATCAACGAGCTCCCGGTTTTTTTGAACCTTGAGAAAACCATGCGGACCTTCCAGACTTGGCAAGACAAGGTGTGCATCAACATAGCTCTACGTTAACCCTAGAAAAATTGGTAAATGACTGTCCTCACTCCAAGCCCAGGTTCAAGATAAGGATGGCATCAATCAACCGATCTATGATGTTACGTGGTTGAGCGACGGCAACCAGTTGGTGGCAGCCGCTGGGGCTGAAATTCTGATCTATGATGCCGGAGAAGGGGAGCTAATACGCTCCCTCAAAGCGCACAGGGATACAGTCCTGTGCGTTACCGCGCTCCGGACGGGTTTTGCTTCAGGGGGAGCTGACAAGCAAGTCATCATATGGAATGCGAAATTTGAGGGTGTATTGAAGTACTCCCACAATGATACCATCCAAACCATCGGTCATAACCCAATGACCGGGCATGTCGTTTCCTGCACGGCGTCTGACTTTGGCATTTGGTCACCAGAGCAAAAATCTGTGGTAAAGCACAAAGTAAGCACATCAAATAATGAGATCTATCCCTGCACTCAGAGAAAGTACTGATTTAAGGAATCATAGGTAACGTCAAGGATTTGCGCAGTGTCGTGGACAGCGGACGGACAATATTTTGCCTTGGGATTGTTCAACGGTCATGTTTCCATTCGCAACAAATCCGGCGACGAGAAGGTGCGCATCGAGCGTGGAGACTCCCCAGTGTGGTCGCTTGCATGGAGCCCCTCTTCCGACGGAGAATATGATGTTTTGGCCGTGGCAGATTGGAGTCAACGACTATCATTCTTTCAGCTGAACGGGAGACAGATCGGGAAAGATCGTCAGCTTGGGTTTGACCCATGCTCTGTCTCGTTCTTTGGCACTGGAGAATATATTGCGATAGGTGGATCTGATCGAAAGGTGACGCTCTGGACAGGAGAAGGAATACGACTTGGGCAGATTTGCGAAAGGGAGAACTGGGTATGGTGTTGCAAAGTGAAACCACGTCAAAACTATATCGCAGTTGGCTGCCAAGATGGAACGGTTGCCGTGTATCAAATTGTCTTCAATACGGTACATGGCCTGTACCATGACCGGTATGCCTACCGAGAAAATATGACCGATGTTGTTATTCAACACTTGTCTACAAATCAACGTGCGCGAATCAAATGCCGAGACTACGTAAAGAAGATTGCCGTACATAAAGACAAGCTGGCAGTCCAATTACCAGAAAAGGTCATCATATACGAGTTATTCAACGATGACTCTTCCGACATGCATTACCGGATAAAAGAAAAGATTCAAAAAAAGCTAGAGTGTAATCTCCTAGTCGTCACTCATCAGCACATAATATTATGCCTTGAAAAGAAACTCCAGTCATTCAACTTTGTCGGAGAGAAAGAGAGGGAATGGAACCTAGAAGCGCTGATACGGTATATCAAAGTGATAGGGGGACCCAAAGGACGCGAGGGGCTACTAGTTGGGCTAAAGAACGGCCAAGTTCTACAGATTTTTATCAACAATCCCTTCCCCATTCCACTGATTAAGCTCCAGGCATCCGTGCGATGCTTAGACCTAAGCTTGCGCCGCAGGAAACTTGCCATTGTGGACGAGCATAATACGTGCTTGACGTACGATATCAAAACGAGGCAATTGCTGTATCAGGAACCGAATGCCAATAGCGTGGCATGGAATACCGAGTTAGAAGATATCCTCTGTTACTCAGGCAACGGAATGCTCAACATCAAAGCCAGCAATTTTCCGGCACACCATCAGAGAATGCAAGGGTTTGTTGTGGGATTCAAGGGTTCCCAAGTGTTCTGTCTGCATATATATGCAATGACCAGCGTGGATGTTCCTCAATCTGCCTCGTTGGAACGGTATCTTGAAAAGAAAGATTTTGATTCCGCATATCAAGTGGCATGTTTGGGCGTGACCGAAACCGACTGGAGAAGATTGGCCATAGACGCTTTGGAAGCGCTGCGTCTGGATATTGCAGAAAAATCATTTGCGCGAATCCGCGACATGCACTACATTGACTTGGTTAGAAATATCTCTCGCATGCAAGCCGAAGGAAAGAATGACCAAGATTCATTCCTGGCCGACATTCATGCGTACGCTGGACGGTATCAGGAGGTAAGCTTCAGACCTGTACGGCAAAGTAGTAAGTATTTCATCTAACATCCTGTTGGAACTCCCAGGCTGCCAAACTGCACATAAAAGCTGGCAATCAGCAAAAGGCTATAGATATGTTCACAGAGCTCAACATGTGGGAGTATGCAACAAAAATCGCGCAGGAGACCCATACAAACACGGATAACATCCTTAAACGGAAGGCCCAAATGCAGCAGGATCGCAATGATCTTCTTGCTGCAGCCAATACTTACCTTGAGGTTGGAGACTATATGAAAGCCATTGACATCTTGGGGCCAAACGGCTGGCTGGACAATCTTATCGAGGTTGCAAGGAAAGTGAGCAATTCGGACACCAAAGCGCTCAGCCGCTGTGTGTACTTTTTCCGGAAGCACAATCACCATGCATACGCCGCCGAAACGCTGGTGAAAATGGGCGATATTGCCCACTTGCTGAATCTGCATATTGAACTGCAGCATTGGGAAGATGCTTTCAAACTTGCGGAGACGCATCCCGAGTTCACTGAACAGATATATCTTCCATACGCGAACTGGTTGGCGACCAATGGGCACTACGTTGAAGCTCAGGAAAACTACAGAAAAGCCGGGCGCATTGACGAAGCACTGCGTGTGTTAGAGCAGCTCACTGAAAACGCTGTTACTGAGCGTCGCTATGACGATGCTGCATATTACTATTGGACAATGAGCTCCGAGCAGCTAGATAAACTTCCTGTAGATATCACCGCTGATCAACTAACGCCCGAGCAGCAACGAGTGCTGAAGCGGTTCCAAGAGACATACCAACTTGCCGAAATCTACCATGCGTATTTCTATGTCTCAAGGTATATCGATGAACCCTTCACCGCCCACGTACCAGAAGCCTTGTTCAATATGGCTCGCTTTGTTTGGAACTACCTTAACCATCAGCAGCCACCACCTGGAATTTCCAAGGTTTATACATTGTTTGCATTGGCCAAACTAGCTCGAGCACTTGGGGCCTACAAGCTAGCTCGATATGCTTACGATAAACTACAAACGATGAATGTTCCGCCGATATGGCAGGAAACTGTGGATGTTGGAACTCTTACGATTCGAAGTCAACCAGGTCTTGACAAAGAAACACTTCAGCCGATTTGCTATCAATGCTCTGCGATCAATCCTTTACTGAATCCTAAGGGCGACAGCTGTACGAACTGCTTGGAACCCTTCGTGCACTCCTTTTACTCATTTATCAGCCTACCCCTGGTCCAATTCACTGTTGAATCTGGTATCAGTGACGACGAAGCATCTCGACTCATAAATATGGATCCCCCAAGCTTGGATGGAAAGAGGGACGGAAGTTCGATCAAGCACGATCGTCCACGAGCATCGAGTGCAACAAAGGATGGGCAGTCAAGTGCAGGGAAAGGAGGAATGGTGGGAGCAAGCGGATCGGTAAAAGACGATCCGTTTAGACGGCAATTGGCCGGTCTTGAGCGAGGAGGAGGAACAGGATACACACCAGTCAAAGTAGGCCGAAAAGCTTTAATGACAATGGAGCGTCACGCCGTATTCATTCGACGATGGGGAAAGAAATGTTTGCGACCAGAATACTATCGAATGATGCTAACGGATGTACCTGTGGTGTTGTGCAAAACTTGTCAACATTTCTTTCTGGAGGATGAGTGGGTCTATCAGATTCTTTCGAAGGGATGCTGTTCCTTCTGTAGAGCAAAAGTTGATCTTGAATAATGTGTATATATGTGCCACTCTGAATTTTGAACTACACTTTATAATTGAGCTCGAGGCCTTTAGTTGGATTTACGAGGTCATGGACTGGGAATAACTTCAGCGTGCATCACAATTGACAGTAGCATGACACTAAGGACTTTTACAAAGTATCAAAGTACATACTTCTTACTGTTCATGATCAACACAAATACAGAAAAGCCCGGGCGTTATTGAGGTTGAAGTCTGAACATAGCAGCTATCGGACGTCGCTTACATAATGTGGAGGTGATTGAAAATGGCACTAGGACCCATTATTATCCGGATTAATCCGGTTAATCATATCGCATAATCAGAACCCTCATCGCGACTTGGTCAATCATGAGAACGCCGATGTGGTGGTGCCGAGGACCTCGACCGCCCGACAGCAACCGTGATCAGAACCAGCGGCAACCAATCAGATCTGATAACAAAACCTACTATTATGCTGCCACATTAGTTGAGCTTGGTTGGTATGTATCGATGGCATTTCTTGCATTTCTTGTCATCGGGTCATCTTCTGACATGCAGTTTTTGTAGTCTCCAAGCCTTGTCACTGAACATCCTCTGGCTTGTGACGCTGCCCAGTCGATTCGCTCCTGGATGCAAGAGTCTGGCTTCAATGCCATCAAGAGTTCCAGATCAAGGCCTAGTAGGGCCCGTGTGTGGTGGTGGGCAATTATCCGGTTAGAACCAACCGTTACGTATTGCGTGTATAATTGCCTGGTAGTAGCTTAGCGTTTCCGAACCGGTTGTCGCCGGTTTATTCCCTGGTGTAGTAGCTAGTGCCAGTTTCTGTCACCTGTACACTAAATTATTAATAGAAAACACAGCCACCAGCCCCACTATCTCGCGCCAGCCGATGTGTTTGACCTCGACCACCGATGGGGAAGCGAAGAAATCACAGTGATGAATCCGGTGGCGACGACTCGGAATGGGGTGATGAAAATTACGGCTCGCCTCCTAAGCGTCGGAAGGATAGTGATTCAGAAGAGGACCTTCGCACGAAGAAAGTTACCGCTGGAGTCAAGAAAGCTGTGACCACTAAACAGGATGGCGTTCGCAAACCATTAGCGTTGAGAGGAAACTCTCAAGACAGTCCGAGCCATGGATTGAAACCTTTCACACCAAACCGGACTGTTTTGACACGTCCCTTCAAGGTATACCTTTCTGTGAACGGCATGGACGAGTTGATTTCGCAACTAACAACCATCTTCTGACCCGAAGGTGCCTGCATTTGTCGGTGGACGTCCACCGGGCGGTGGTGGTATAAGGCTTGGCACCACTCTAGGCACTCGGGCTCGTATATCCGTTTACAAAGGACCGCTGCACGATCCCGAAGCCGAAAATGCTATTGTCTTGCACCATCCAAAGGTGTTGTCCGCCACGGAGCAGCTGGAGCAGTTAAAGTCGACTGCTGGGGGATTGAAGCAAGCGAAGGCCGAGGTACATGTAGTGGTTGATCCCATGCTTGGGAACATCCTTCGACCACATCAGATCGAGGGTGTTCGCTTCTTGTACAATTGTGTGACTGGTCAGACTGCTCCCGACGCTTACGGTTGCATCATGGCGGATGAAATGGTAATCGACCTCTATATGCGCAACTTGCTGCTAGAATATTATAGCGTGGTTAACACCATTCTTGTGTTAGGGACTCGGCAAAACCTTGCAATGTAGGTTCGGTTGGTTGACGATGCACATATCCACTCTTATAACTAAAAGGATTACAGGTATAACGTTGTTGTGGACATTATTGAAGCAGTCCCCTGAGCCAGGAAAACCAACAATTGAGAAGGTTTGCAAAATTTGAACCCCGCTAGGCTGTGATGAGGATACTCATTCAAACTGGTTTTACGGAAGGCGGTTATTGCATGTCCGTCAAGTTTGGTCAAGAACTGGGCGAATGAGTTGAAAAAATGGCTGGGTCCGGACAGAATACGACCCTACGCATGCGATAATAAAGGGACGAAAGAGCAGACGGAGAAGGACATGCGAAAATTTGTTTCTGACAAGGGCCGCGCCATCGTGCAGCCAGTTCTCATTGTATCATATGAGACGTTGCGAACCTATAGTACGATATTGTGCCAAACAGAAATCGGGCTACTACTTTGCGATGAAGGTACGATTGCTAGGCAGAGCATGGTTTCGAATTCTTCTTGATCGCTGCATTGTACATATCTGTAGGCCATCGCTTGAAGAATGCAGAGTCGCAAACATATATAAATCTAAACGCTCTGAATGCAAAGCGCAGGGTTATCCTCTCCGGTACTCCCATTCAGGTTAGTGTACAGTGATACTGCCGACAGTAGTTCAGTTTTTATTAATCCGGATAATTGTTTTCCAATGCTGCAGAACGATTTAACAGGTGAGATCCGTGATTCAGATGACGCCCACGTATAACATCTTGAATAAATATGCACAAATTCCAGAATACTTTGCTCTGCTCAGCTTTGCCATCCCAGATGTGCTTGGTTCGGGATCAGATTTCCGGAAGAACTTTGAGCTACCTATTCTTCGAGGGCGGGACGCAGACGCGTCGGAAAAGGACCGTCAAATCAGTGAAGAAAAGCTTCAAGAACTTTTGGCAATCGCAAATAAGTTTATTATACGCCGTACTGCCGAGCTTTTGACCAAATATCGTACGTATGCCAATGATTGTCTGCTGATAGCGTACATGAGCTCATGATTTCCGCCTTATAGTTCCTGTGAAATACGAGCATGTGGTTTTCTGTAAATTTACCGACATGCAGCTGAACCTATACAAGCATTTTACACAATCCAAGGAAGTTAAAAAACTTCTTTCGGGATCGGGCTCCCAACCTCTCAAAGCCATCACGTTCCTCAAAAAATTGTGCAATCATCCCGCCTTACTGGACCGCAAGGACTTTGGGGCGGGCGCCAGCACACTATTTCCCCAAGATTTCGATCCAACCGGATGCCAAAGTCAATTCTCGGGGAAGATGCTGTTGTTGGAGGGGATGCTAGCGAGGATGAGGTTTGTGGGCAGGACGCATGCAAAGGCGTGATCAACAAGTGTGACTTATCATCCGTGATAGAAAAACCACTACGGATAAGATCGTCCTGATTAGCAACTATACGCAAACCTTGGACCTGTTTGAAAAGATGTGCCGTGTGCGAAAGTGGGGTCATCTTCGCTTGGATGGTTCCATGACTATTCAAAAACGGCAGAAGCTTGTCGATCGCTTTAATGATCCAGCTGGACCAGAATTTGTATTTCTTCTTTCCAGTAAAGCTGGTGGTTGCGGAATCAACCTGGTAAGCATCCAGTTGTAAGTCAGTTCCAATCCTTGTACACTAACGTTGTCGCTGCAAGATTGGAGCAAATCGTCTCGTCTTGTTTGATCCAGATTGGAATCCGGCAAACGATGCACAAGCGCTAGCGCGAGTTTGGCGCGGTATGTGGGAACGACGTACTTCAGTGACACAGGCGCAGTGTTTAATCTTTTTCTGAGCAGATGGACAAAAGAAGACTTGCTTTATTTACCGATTTATTGCAACGGGATCAATTGAAGAAAAAATCTTCCAAAGTGTGTACCGCCAAGGCTGCTAGCTTCTCCCTTGTTTTAAAACTTACTCAATATTCTCCTAGGGCAAGCGCATAAGCAATCCCTCAGCAGCTGTGTCGTCGACGCAGAAGAAGACGTCGAACGGCATTTCTCCCTAGAAAATCTCCGTCAACTCTTCCAACTCAACGAAGAGACTCTCTCCGATACCCATGATACCTTCCGCTGCAAGCGCTGCATACGAGGGATGCAAGTGAAAAAGCCACCAGAAAACGAAGTAAACACAGGTGCCCAAGCCGCTGATACGAGTACCTGGAACCATTTCAGCAAACAAGAACTTCACAAGGTACATGATTCGATATTAAAGGAAGAAGGGGTGGCATCCGTGACATATGTGTTCCAAAATAAGTCCCATGAGCAGCAAGTGGTCAAACTAAAATAAGCACATAAGCACATAGATCCTTGTCAAAGGAATTTTTGCTCTCAATTAGAAAATAATGGCATACTATCGCATATATCTGTGGTTTCCCATATTGCAATTGCTGAGTCCAGTGTAACCACCATATAGTCACCATCCAAACGCACCTCAAACTTACGCTACCTGATGATCCTCCATTATTATGATTATTATGCGACAACGTCTTGTTCCACTTTCGAGGATTGCTCTAAATGGATCGAGTTCCTTGTGAAGTACTACCTCGAAGCTCATAATTCATCGTCACCGTTGACCGATACCGATCCCAACGGCCAAGATCATATCCTTATAAACACGATTACAGTGTACCCGATAAAGAGCTGTTACGGGTATTCACCGCCATCGTGGCCCGGTGGTCCCAATGGGTTTCTTTTGGACCGCGAATGGATGTTGGTGGATGCCACGGACAAACCATTGACGTTAAAACGCCACCCGAAAATGTTCCATATCCGAATTTTGGATGTGAACCTTGCCAAAGAGTGTTCTGTGCGTCCAAGCCGGAACATAACCCCCCGCTTCTAATACATTTAGGCACCAGCAAACTCACAACCACACCATCCGGCGAAGCCCGCGTCTGCAACCGCCCGACAAAAACACCACACCGTACATTAACCAAGGCACCTGAAGAAATCCACGACTATTTCTCAAACCTTTCTTAATACGGAATGCCGCCTCATCCGTTCGCTCCCAAGCAAGCATCCCCAACCAAAATCGTTTTGCCAACCAGTACGCATTTTCTGATATCCTCCACCCCATCCTTCACCGACCTCCTCTCCCGCATCCCATCTCCTCCAATCGGGCAACGTTTCAGCTGAATTGTCTCCGAGCAAAACATAACAATAACATCGTTGTCCGCCGTATGTGGAAGACACATTCGTGTCCAAATCGCTCCTGGTTAACAGTGCGGTTTGTCTCTACGTCTCGGATCTTTGCACCCGGTGCCAGGGTGGTCAATGCAGGGAGCCATACAGTGCCATGGCAAGGTATAGAAACGTAAGTGGATGTCTGTTTCGGGGTACTGGCCGGGTTGGTCAGTGGTAGCGGTGCGATGGGTAAACGTTGGCGATAGTATTAGTGTTTTATACGAACAGGTAGCTTGGGTTTCGAATGCGTGCATGGTATTGTATTTATCTGCTGTTTCTTACCAGGGTTTTTTCTTCAAAGTTTTGGAATACATTGTTCACTAACCATGTAATATCGTGACGCCCTTTGGTATCTAATAAGACAACTCTTATATATCGGTTGCCCTCCAAGCAACGGATATCAAAGAAGCATTTTGCTTGATTTTGGACAATAATTCTTTTTTTTGCTCGACATTCAAGTTCAGATGCTCGGGCAACTACTTTCGTTGTCATTACCCTAAAAAAGGTAGACGGTTAGGATACCCTGTGCCCTTAATGAGAGCCCTTGTGGGGCATCGGATGGGCCACTACTCTCATTCTCGCATTGTCCGGAACATCAGTACAGTAAGCGAGCACAATGCCGCGGACGCCTCTTGAATTCTACCGTCCGAAAATGTGTAGTTCCTTGCGTTTGGTCTCCAACATTCTTGTCTGACCTGGACGAAGCTAAAGTCTGAAATAGTAACGTCGAAACCGCCGATGGGAGTAGTTCAGAAGGATCAGTGTGCCGAGTTGTCTATACGCGAGTTCCGGTGCATAGCTTTTGTTGTACATATTTGCTATCATTTTTCAATTTCAAGTACGTTATGGAATGACGGGATTACTGATCTTGTTTTTTTAGCAGTAGCATTGGATTATCAATAAAACCAATTTTGAAGCATCAACAGTTGTTGAATTGCGAGTTTACCGCAAGTGACTGCATGTTGCCACACTGTGGGGTTCTGTCATCAGCGAGATAATTGATTTAAACCGGAGGGGGGTCGAAATACGGTAGTGTGATCATCAACAAGTTTTTTAAATTCAATATATCATATTCTTACAGTTAGGTGTATGAATGAGCAAACTAAGTAGAAGATAACGACATATGCTACAGCCCAATACTCCATTCCGGATTTGGCTGAAATTGAAGCTAATTTGAATGCAATTGCTGAAGAAGAAACTGAGGAAGAATCAACTAGAGTGACATTCCCACACGTACGCCTACGAAATAGGTTTAGGTTCCAACGATAATAGCCAAGCTACGCGGGCACACTTCAGACTAGCTTGCTGAAAACGCTTCGGGCGATATTAGTCAAACCACTCAAACTTTTCCACCAGCGAGAAGCTGATGTATCCAGGAAATAGATGGTCGTAACGTTATAGCCACTTCGAGTCAACAGACAGCTACTGTAATCATGGAAAAAACCTACGAGCCAGACTCTAGGATCCTGATATGGGTTAGGGTCACGAGGAATGTTCCAATCACCCAAATTATAGAAGTCAACAATTAACCAATCGTCATTCGGGATCTGCGTGTAAGCACCTTGACCGATAAACCGCGCTTGATGTTGCCGTAGTCTGTCTCCCTCCCTAGTCAACTCCACCATCCACTGCGTGCCATTCTCCAATCTTATATGAAAGTCTAGATATCCAGGGGAACCGTAGATCGCACCCACGTCGGGAGTTACAATGCCGTGAGAGCCAAGCCGCGCCGTCATTGCCCTATACGTCTCCATCTGCCACGATCTTTCTAATAACTTGCCTTGACGCCCAAGACCCGATGAAGCCCTAAGCGTAGCCGGTTCCAGCAATTGCAAAGATTCCTCCATGAACTGTGCGAGGGACGAAGGGGGTGGGGCGGATGAGAAGGATGACTCCTCCTTACAGAGTGTCATGAAAATATTTGCCGCCTGCAGGGGGCAGGAAAACTTAATGGTAGCTCCTCCATCAGCAACACTTAATACTCCGCCATTAACTAATTCAGTTTCCACCTCTTTTAACATGGCGTCATCGTCATTTTGGAAAGCGTCCCTCTGTCCTCTGTTCAATAGATCAATGAGCATTGCCTCTCCTATCTGTACGGCCGTATCTGGATGTGGCAAACGCCTGATATTTGGAATTACACTACCGAAAGTTACAATTGCCCTTTCCGTCATTACCTAGGGAGCAAATCAATAAATTTTCGAAGATTGGCAATGTTGACAAAATGATCGTAGCTTATTGAGACGCCCTCACCCCTTTGAGCACTTCATGCGAGGTCACTAGCCTCAATGCATTCGCGTTGATTTCTGCTTGAGAGGAAGCTTTCAAAGCATTGCGAACCCAAAGTACAGCTCGGCCGCAAGGATCGGAATACCGTCTGTAAGCTGATGTACAGCGTTTGCCACAGCGGCTGGCATGTTGAAGGGAAGCATAGTATTGAGACTCGAGAAGAGTGCCTGCACTTCCGCCAAACTAAACTTGAGGATATCGCCATTGTAATTCATTGAGAATTGTATTGGCATCGACCGCATTGCAGGACAAGGAATAAGGGTTTTCCGACCGTATCCGGCAAGCAACAAAACCAAAACTGCTGTGCTACTCCGTTTAACCGCTTTAACCGTCGCCCACAATGCTTTCCACTCATCCTGGTAAGAAATCTGTACACTATCGAGTATAATAAGTTTACAAGTCTCTTTTCCAGGTCCGGAAGGGGGCGGGGTAAACAATTCATCAACGCCTAGAATTATAATTCATTAAATTTCCACGTATAATTCATAAGGCGGTGCGTGGTAAAGTATCAGGACGGGAGAGGTCTACGTCTGCTTCCTGCTTGGAATATACGAGCATTTGGAGAGGGTACACAACCGTGGGAAAGTTGATCTCTCGTTGGTTTCAACGCTTTTATAGGCGAGTGCACGTGATTCGACCCGCCACAGGGTTAGGTAACAAATATCCGTTGGGGATCTCGAGACATCTACAATTTCCTGGTAGTGGGATGTAGATCTCATATTGTAGTGTAGAGCACATCAGCTATTGTCATCTGCTCAGTTGGTCCCAGTCTCGCAGACAGCGGCTGAGCGCAAAGAGGTGCCTGGTCGGGCACAGTGTCACACGCACAGAGATAAGAAATGGGTACGGTTGCCCTCCCTCTTCTTGTTTCTTCGGGCGGTTTTGTACGTCAAATCCTTTGGTTGGTTAGTCGAACATAGATTACCGTCAAAAAATGAGCAAACCACTCCCCGCTTCTTGGCATGAGACGGTACATCACACCAAACCTGTACATTGCGCGTGTCACTTGCATGGTCAATCTCCGTAACCTCGACAATCGCAACTTAACCATCTTTTTCAACGCTCAAAGTCGTCTCCGGAACTATCGATTGAACAATGCAACCCAGTGCATGAATACCCAACGCCACCCCTTTCTTTCCGCCCGCTAATGTCTCTAAACGCAGAAAAAATCCGTATGTAAGCGGTAAGCGATGCAATGTCCTGTCAGTCCAGCGAGAATCGTCCCATGTTTAGCCCTGCTTCTTGCCTCCAAATACTGCTGGGCTGCCGCTTTGTAAGCCTTGGCCCAAACGGCCAAAGTATTAGTCGATATCATGGCAGTTTCGCCTTGTACCCCGGAACGGGTTTATAGTTTTATCACCGTGATGTCGATGGGACCAGACGAGCACCTCAAGGTGTGTCCGAATTCGACATCCGCCGTGGGGTAACGAGAGAGTCCATACTTGAGCGAGTGCGACATGGTGGGGAGAGCTGGGTATATTCCAAGAGTAGATTGTAGGGGTGTTCAACTGCTAATCGAGGTGGAATCCCAGAGTTTTGACAGGTTGTTGGAGGCTGGAAAGCGCAAAGTGATTGTCGTGATCTTTCATTAATATTTTTCATCGTTGGTGTGAGCTTTCATGACAAGACGGGAGAACAGCATGGAATATGACTTTCATGGCGCAACGATACCGATTTCAGTCTGGAATGCCTATATCCAATTTGGAGTTGGACTTGCAACAAAAACATAACAGAGATAACTCCTTTGGGTATCATATATTCAAAAGAATTTCCAACCCTCTCTGCAAATACAGCATACACATCTACAGTCTTACTGCCTATCCGCTAAATGCGCCTTGATTGGGGGGCGATTTTCAAAGGCTTCTATAAATGCCTTCACTCGAGGATGCTCTTCTAGTGTCCCTGCCAAGTTACCACCCGTCCTGATACCATTGTCAGCGAAAGCTTGGTACAGGGGAAAGTCTGTGTGCATGATCTCTTTGCCGAGCAAGTATGGACCGTCGGGGTGGCGACCCAGGAAGGTTTCAAAAGCGTTGACAAACTTGGGGAGCGTCTCAGCATGGTACTTTTGCTTTGCAGCTTCATCTTGTCCAAATATTGCTCGAACGTAGGATCGCCAGTCGCTGATGATATCCTGCATTTGATCCAAAAAGTACTCATCTTCGATACTTGATGGCAAGTACTTTTGGATCTTTTTGCTGAAATACTTGACGGTGGGCATGGTTTGGTGATATACCTTGTCCCCAATTTTGACGATGGGCACGCTTCCGATCGGGTTGGCCCCAGACTCCATGAGTTGTTTCTTGAGTCCTGGCCATACATCCTTGGTGGCAGGTGCTTCCTCATAAGGTATGCCGGCGTCCGCAAAGAAGAGACGGAAAACCTCGCCGAGGCCAAGGTGTTTGTAAGGAAAGTAGGTGAGGACGGGTGTTCCACCGAGAGCGTCGTTAACAGTCATGTTGTTTTGTGGAGAAATGTGGGGGAGTTTGTGGGGTAAATGAAGAGCAGACGAGATCGTCCCCGTTTTTAAATAAAGATCTGTGCAAGAAGGTGCTGGAAATTCCTGACGAAAATCAAACGTAAAACCAGCTAAATACATCGTTTTGAATTTGTAATGACATTTTATGATGACAAATACTTGAAACCTTCTTCAATTTTTTTATTTTCCAATGAGCCCATCCCATTCAGCAAATGGCACACTGAGCATCAAAAAACGTTTGCTGACGCATGCATATTAACAAACTCTACATCTATCGTTCACACCCAGGAATCCACACAGGAATGTCACGGCTGTTGGTTTTTGGCATCTCGCCTCGAGTGCAGCGAATTGACTTTTTTGGGACACACATCATAGCTTTTCGTTAAAAGTTGATGGACTGTTACTGTATACATTGTGCGGGAACTAGCCTTTTTTTTTTTTCTGACGGATTTAGCTAGAATGGTCGCTCCTTTAGCAGTCGTTGCCATGCAAGGCTGCAAATCCTGCAAGTCTTCCAGTTTCAAGCACACTGAACAAGGAAGGTTGTGCCATTAGCGTGGGTTGACCTCCGACCGACAGCACGTAATACGCACAAGGACGGCAGGGATCCTTCAAATTTCGAAAATCTGCCCGTTGAAAAAAGCAGGAAATCGTAAATGTCACGCGATGGCAGAATTGCATTACTTTAACGAGTTGATCTGTCGAGGAGGTGAAATGGCCCACCATTATCGATCGAGCACTATCCCTCGTATCATGTTGAACACAGTGACATTCTTCACCCGTTCTGCTGTACTGTACAATGGACGTTATTGGGAATAACCTTTTAGCCAAGTCAGATTTTGAAACGATTCTTTGGCACACTTATGAACAAGTAGGCGACCAAAAAGTCAACACCCGGCCATCACCCCGCCCCTCGTTCGCTCCGCACGCGTTTGTGGAGGTTTGGAGTATTGTCATGCTGCTTACCACGATCATCAATAGTCTAATAAGCTAGCATTCGCAATTAAGCTATGCTTGCTTGCAGCGCACAAGTGCAAAGCTGTACTTTAGATGCTAGCAAACCTGAGTAATGTGTAACGGAGGTGAATTACACAAACGTAAATCTGTCTCGTTTGTGAAGGGGTGTTATGGAGCATCTGGAAAACCACGAAGCAGCTTTCTGATCTCACTTTCTTTGTTGTTGGTTTTGGAGAGCGATGGAAAAGTACATAAAGAGATCCTCCACCATCAGTGATACACTATCGCCGCCTCATCTTGGATTCAGACAAACATGCTTTTCAGAACCTTTTTACAAGATATTGTGCTCGCCAGCGCGCTGCTCTTGACTGCACATACAGCCCAAGCCAGTCCTGTTGCGCAAGCAGCTCAATGCGGCCCAGGATTGACGCCTTGCGGTCCTGATTGTTTCCGTGAATCTGAGGGCCTCTATCATTGTGAAAATGGCCAGCTGAAACAAGGCCCTGCGCCTTCCAACCCTCCACCCTCCAATCAACCTTCTGCACCCGTCGGCGGGGCCCCTCCTGCTAATCCCAATGGTCGCACGATCCAGGTTGTCAACAAGTGTACTCAAGATATCTGGATAGGCATGCAGGGAAATCCCCTTCCCCGCGACGGTGGATTCTTCCTCCCGAGAGGTGGAGTAGAGGTTGGTAGTCTGTTGCATGGTACTTTTTCTGCCTACAAGCTCAACTTTTAACTTGGCACAGAACGTCCAAGTTCCCAGTAAATGGGAAGCAGGTCGCATCTGGGCCCGGACAGGATGCACAACTCAATCCAACGGTCGCTTGGTCTGCGCCACAGGTGACTGTGGGTCCGACTTTAACGGCTTTGGCATTGCCTGCAAAGGCATCGGCGGTCAAGCACCCGCTACACTCGCCGAATTCACTCTTCTGGATGGGGGACGAACCGATTTCTATGATTTGAGTAACGTTGACGGGCACAACATTGGAATCCAGATCGACGCATTTGGCACCCGGGTGAACAATCCAGATTTGGGCAAATTCAACTGTGGGAACCCGACCTGCAGGATGGACACCTCCAAGTAGGGCTCATTCAGTTGAATCCACCTTTTGGATTTCTCGTTAACCATTTTTAAATCCGTTGCATTCGCTAGATGTCCTCCTGAGCTCCAAATGACCGACTCGACTGGACACACTTCCTGCGCTGCCGTCTACGCTGCGGCACATAATGCCGCCCAACGTGCAAAGTTTCCAGCCCTCCAAAATATTTTCAACAACGCCGACACGCTTTCTCTGGTATCCTGCTCCTGCGACTGTGGGCCAAACTGCGGGTGCCAAGATCCCAGATCGAAACATTGCTGCTCGCCCTACAATAATGATCCAAACGAGAGAGGAGGAAAATGTCGCGTTGAAGAGTGGCCCCTTAGCACTTCACCTGGTGCAGGATCTGCATTCCCTGCGAGATACGATCAAGTTTTCAAGAACCAATGTCCTGATGCCTATTCTTGGCAGTTTGATGACCACAAAAGTACATACCAGTGCTTCACAGCTAATTACCGTGTGACCTTCTGTCCCTAGACAAGAAATTATCGATGGTGAGATATCGGCCAAGTTTGAAGTATATTCAGTATGATCATTTGGACATTAGGCCATGTAGTTGATGTGTAGTGATATTGTAGTGGTGTAATACATGATTCTCTTTGTGCTTGTATGTTGACTTGCTGCAGGTATCTTCATACTAAAAAGGATCCAATCTTATTTACTCTAATGCTGGCAGAAAAAGATTGCGACCCACATCTACCCACCAAGACTCCTAATACCTTTATGTTCTACTGTGGAAGAATTTCCCCACAAAGCCATTCTAAACATCTCCCTTGCTGAACTTTGGATTCATACATAACTTCCTCCTGATTGAAGGGACTCTACGTAGTCAGGATCGTCAGAATTATCAAGGCCGATGCTCACAATCAGTCACTAACACACGATCCCCAAAAGGCTCATAATCGTAATTCACGCGGGCCTACAATCCATACTTATACTCCAATCACAACGCTCGTAAAAAAGTAGAGCAACGTTATCTCCATAATATTAGAATCTATGCAAACGTTAACAGGAACTCAACCTCCAATACCGTCCAGCTGACAAGATGCTTCCGTAAATCAAAGCTGTGCCACCGATCAGTGGCAGTGCTGAACGTCCCAAAAGACGAACGCACAGCCTTTTGGTGACTCCACAAGGTAGGACGCTCCGCAAAGGGCTTTGGGCTTTGGAGGGGGGCGAAGTCAAAAGCAAATGGATACCCATCAACTGTAGAAGCTGATCACATTACGCGCGAATATATCCTACTCCTTTTTCAAATCTACAAGTATCAAACGCCATGCGCGGTGTGCGCAAGTGTTGCTTTTGCCTTCCATTGAGGGCAGGCACGTTCGTGCTTGCCCTGTTTATCTCGGTACAGTTCGAGCAAATTATGCGAGGTCTACGGTTGCCATAGTCGAATTCACACGTCAAACTCTGAAATCCCTTTAGACATTCAGTGCTGGAAACGTCATTTGGCGAATTTCGCATAGATCCGAATGTAGGCGGACTAGGACGTGCTTGTTGTAAATTACTTTGCTGGCATTAACCTTCCGCATGTGCATATTTTGAAGGGGACACTTCGGTTTTTGGACCTTGGCCGTGGATACAGTGGGTGGCAGTAGGATTGGATTCTCTAGTGACCCTCGCTGCTCTGATGGGCGCAGTTGGAGTGGCACTGGTAAGTGCTCGTTAATAGCCCTTGATTGTCAATATATTCCCTTGACGTTATTATCATGAACAGAACTCATACAAACTCGTGACTATTTGGGCCACTGTGCACAGCTTCATATTGGGGACAGCGCTCATTCGTGCTGTTGCACTACCCATCTTCATGGTTGTCCGTCGAAACCAATTGGTTGAAATGTGCCAAACTCGCAATCCTACCGACAGAGGCTCGTGCCAAACCGCCGTCAACTATGCGACTATGTTTGTGGCTGTTACAGGTCTATTTAGCTTCCTGCTTTTGGTGTACTTTTACCGCTGCATCCAGTCGTACCGCTGGCGCCTGCAATCCGCCGATTATAATGTCCTCAAAGATCCCGAAAGTGGTACCGATCCTGCTAACGGGCAACGTGCTGTCGACAACCCTTTTAAACATGCCAGTGCTCCTACCCCCGAGGGCAATGTCGATAAGGAAAAGTCGAATCCCTATCCTTATTCGAACGGGGAAAATATGACCCACAACACGGCCTTCCAGACACATTCAAACTTGACTGCCAAACCGAATTGGGAGTCCATGCCGCGGCCATCCTTCGTCTCGGACCACGGTCGCCCTTCCATGGGCGAAGATCCTTTTGAAGATGTGGCTCTTCCTAGAGAGTCGGCGGACTTTCAAAGGCATGAGTACATGCAACCAGTAGGAGCGGTATCGCTTAATGACAGATCTTGGCGGTAGGTTATTGGGGATATAGTGCTGGTGATCTATACCACCGGATGGATGTGTAGCTTTATGTTCGCTCTGGGACGGCCACGAAAGGGCCATGTGTACATAGTTGTATTTGAGCTCGGAGACCAGTAAAACAATATTCATTCTTGTCGTTGGTTTATTCTGGCATGTGTTGTTATATGTGGTGTGAGTAAGCGGAATCGTGGTATCATTAGAAGTCTAAAACAAATATCAAATATTTCCGCTACGATGGTACTCGCTATGCTGATGACGAATCAGGGTCTTGCTCTGCTGGTTCACGTATTCTTCTCCCACGACTACCTATCAACGAACTCGCTTCCCGTTCTGAATCCTCCCTTGCCTCCTCGCGTTCGTCCTCCTCACTTGGCGCTATGGCACTGTCCCCTGAATCCTCCTTGTCTGATTGATTCCGACTTTGGGACGGCATCGCACGTCCATGGCCGCGGACAACCGTCTTTTTACCTCTCTTCTTGCCCGACCCCTCACCACTGAGATACGCTCTTGCTCTTCGATCAATTTCCGCCTGTACAATTGGCGGATTACTAAATCTTGGATCCTCGTGTAAAACGGGATAGTTATAATCCCCAAACGGTAACTTGCGACTACTCTCATACTGAGCTTCCAAGTCAGGATCGCTTTCGGGCGGTGTAAATTCCAAACTTGTCGTTTCCCTTTCCTCATTAGAATCATATTCTCCTTCACCAGATTCCCATGCATTTGCGTCATCGTGTGGTATAGTCCCATACCCGTCGCGCCTTCGCGAATTCTTTGCCCATCGGCTAAACCCACTTGCATTTGCAGGACTATCTGGGCCAAACTCTACATCGTTGTCCCTGATAAGGATCTGATGGCTTCCTCTTCGCACATGTCGAAATCTTGTCCCTCTGAACGTATGATAAGTGTCTTGAATGATATCTTTCACACCAAACGCATCCCGAACCGCGTACAGAAAAGCCACTCGAGATGATAGTCTATGATGTCAGGGAAAGTGAGGATTCAAGCTTTCCAAGGTAGACCTCTCTTTGGACACGTACCGGCGATCATCATAATCGGTCCATGGGAATGCGTACCAATGCAACATTGCAAGGAACGGCATTTCAACACAAATCAAGAAATCCTGCAACGCCAGTGCAAGATTGCTTCCAGAATATCCGCCTTCTACAAATGCATCAAAGATAGGATCAGTATGCTTCCTCGGAAACAGTATGCGATTTAAACGTACTATCGCGTATGAGGCCAGCCCAGACCAGAAAGGCGATACCCAACCCTTGATAAAAGGTAAGAAAAACGATGGATTTTACACAAATAAACTTTGGCATAGGCCTGTCAGTCAGCATTTCAGAGTCAGCCTCTACATACGATGATCAATAACGGAATGGAAAACCTCACCGGTATGGCTGTAAGTCTTTCGAGCACTGCACGTAGAATAACACCAAACAGTACAGGGACCAGCAGACCGACAAGTTGTAAAACAATGATAACCACATGTAACAGCTCGTCCAGCCAATGTAGCCTTCGTGATATTGGCCAGCGAGTTTTAGGATCATAGTCAGGACACTCAAGATTGGTTTCAAAATGACAAACTGCAGGACTCCGCGCCGGACGAAGAGAAATGTTTCTGGGTCGCTCATCTGAAACCAATTGGTTGGTCAAGCAAGATACTACTAGGTGCTAGCTATGCTGTTCACGTACATCCATAGGTGAAAAGCAGTAATTAAACGGCCAAAGATGGTGTGTTCGCATGCGTTGTTCCAGCATCGCAAGGAGAGCACGCTCACCACCGAGATAGTTGATGCATAGAATGAAGAACGAGTATATGACGAATGCCTATTTGTAGTGAATAACTTTGAAATTCAGCAAGCGACATCCTGATCGCCAATCATGCAGATGCCACATCAATCACCTCATATATATCTCGTATTGTATCAATGTAATCTGCAGCGGATCGGGATGACAGGCTCGTGAAGGACGCTACTGCATAGACCGGAACCCTGATATCCAATTAACAATGACATTAGATCAGGATAGAGCCAGATTCTGCATACACTATGTGACGCTGGAACGCAAGCCGCAAGGAATTCAAGCGCTCCCACGAGCTTTGCGTATCGTTTTGCCCAAGCGCCCAAATGACAACTGCCCACCAAAACGAAAATGCTCACATCCACAATATACGTATCGCAAGTCTCTACAAGATTGCCGAGGAACAAGTTTCAGAACAGTTTGTTTGTAAAGCCCATACAACGGGTGACATGCTTACCTGGACCTCCGGTCGTCGATAATTCTTAAAATGTAGAAACATTGTGTAAAATGATATTGCGGAGCCCACAAATGCGGCGAGCCCTGCTATAAAGTATGGAAAGGGGCCCATTATGCGGCCTCCTTCATCCGCCGTCATGGCGGGCTGTAAAGCGAGAACAAGGAATTGTAAATGATTGGTATCAAACTCCACAACCCTTACTACAGGCCTGATTACGGGGGAACATGCGATCGTGAGACACGTGATTCAATTTGATGACAAGAACTTCCAGATGATACGACTGCCAGGATGCCGTATCCATAGATGGTATTTAAGAAAGGATACCAAATAAATGCATGGGATTGTACAAAAAAATCAAAACAACTACAGAATCAAAGCCATCCTTGAAAAGGACCCAACACGGCATCTGGAAAGGGAACCCATATCAGAGGAATGAGTGGAAACTTTAACATCAGAGTCTCTCGAAACCAAACCTTTTATGCTTTCCACAAACTGCGCGGGTACCCAATATAGGAAATAGTTTGACTTATCTGTAGGTCCCAACTGCAAGGCAACAATATGGTATTCTTCATGTCCCTTGATGGACTCTGATGTCACATTTTTGATGCTCCCCAGATTAACTTTCTGTGTACGCTCTGTAAAGGAAGTTCAAAAAAAACATCTGCTAAATTAACCATGGGTTTTCTAATCCTACCATTCGTTCCAATCCACAATTGATCAATTTCAGGTTTGAAAGTCAGCCGTGTTTTGGCCCCTCTCGAGTTTATCAGCGCTCTCAACCCGCCTGGAGGTAGCGGTAGTCGCCTTCCACGTATTCCCGGCTCTGCATCGTCTGGTTTGCCTTTGTCAAGGATCTTTTTATGCTCTGTAAGTTCGCTTAGTGCAATTCGCGGTTTTGAGACTAGTCAAATTGATTGACGTCGTAAGCTCTTTTTACACAACGTTAACATTTCTGACACCGAACAATTACCTGTTGTATCCACTACAGGCGTTGCCGCCGCTGCAGTCGCGATTTTCACAATGTCTTCAACTGCATTAAGATCTATGAGCCAACTTTTTGATGGAAACTAGTAAATCAGAAAACCTTATACCTTTGCTTGCCATTAGCATAATCTTTACCCCATCTTTCACCCCCGCCTCAGACAAAGTCTGATCGTCCTTTAACACTCCTGCGATAGTCATATGATGCTGGTTAGTATCAGTCTCATATATACCTTCCTCCCGCATGGTACCTTTGAACAACAGCTTCTGCATGTTTGTGTGAACCCCTGTAACGGTCGCTATCGTCTGTTTAAGATCTGCGACGCTTCGATTGAGAGAAAACGTCACGTCGTGTGTTATCTTTCCATAAGCGACTCTAAAGGAGGCGTGTGGTTCCTCTCCCTCTTCTGCAGAATGGACAGAATGAGCAGAAAAATGTCAACGGGACAGAATGAACCGACATTCGCGAAAGAAATCATAAGGTCTGAGAGAATGAGGGGAAGCGAGACAAACCACGTTCGTTCAACTTTCTCTTCGTACCAGAGACTGCAGGCTCGTCTCCCTGTGACAAGTGATATGGTGTGCCCTTGTTGGGGTCCTGTGCTGCCATCATCTTTGACTACCCTCAGCACCCTGGTCTCGGCAACAACTAATGAATTGGGGAATTTGCTTGAAATCTCCCGTTGCTTGTTCAGCTTGCGCGATTTGGCTTACACAGACCGAGCTAAGCCACGCTGGTCATCAGAGTGCTTGCCTCACGTCAGTTGAAGCCATTGTGTTTGATGTTAAGTTTGACGTTGCAATCACTTTGGCGTGAAAATGAAGAGGGATACAGAGACGTGGAACTATATGTGAAAATTGCCTTTCGGTCGATAGCGACAAGGCTTTGGAAAAAATCTCCAAGGTTGAATGCCAAATTTAGCGCCAACGGGCACGATCTACAGATTCGATCTACATTTACACCTGAAGCCAATCTCTGCTCGGATGTATTTCAGCAGAAAGCACCTGTAAGCAGCATACGCATCTATACGAATCTAGACATCATTTTCTGTGTAAAAGCTTACTCTCGTCGAGTCACACTAACTGTCGAATCGTGCAGCACGGCCGTCTTCTTCTTGCGCATGCAGCAGTCTTCGCGTCCAATCCGAAGGCACAACTACAAGATGTGCGTGCGTTGGTGTGTCCTCATCTCTTCGCTTAGTCCCATACCTTGGGCATGTCTGTTTTGCTTGTGATTAACAGCATCAGGAAGTTGGGTCTCAACTTCATGGTGCCCATCAATAGCTCTCATTAGCGGCCGGTCCTTGGTCACACCCTGCAGTTCTGGTATACGATATAATTCGAGCTGTTATGTCTCGAACAGAGCAGCACGATGGAATGAAAGTTGCGGTGCTTTCCATCATGCTTCATCTAGTATCGACTGGCTTCGAAAGCAAAACACATGAGCATCCTGCACGCACCATTCCTCTTCTTTCGTGTGTGGTGTATCAAACGATGCCGACGCGGCGCACAATCCTACCGTGTCGGAGACCTAGAGCCCCATCTCCCTTCGATAGACCTCTATCCAGGGTTTGGTAACCTTGTCCTTGCCAGTTCCTGTGGCGTTCTTAACGTGCACCCACCCCTCAGGAATGACGACTCCCAATCGTAACCTCCTTCAGAGAGGTGTTCAGTTTGGTGTATTCCTCTAATGCGAGCGTGCGACGACTGCTGGTACTGAACATGTCTGCGATCTTCTCGGGAAAGGTCTCTGACCTCGCGTTCGTGACCGGATCGCGCTTGAACGCGCTGAAGATTGAAACTCCAAGTCGTTGTCTGACAGATGGACGGGTTCGCCAAACGACGTGATGGAAGTTGCGGGCACACGCCAACAATTATCTTCTTTGTTTTTGATTTTAACCATAGTGGGCATCTCATTGTAGTCTGCGGGGTTCAACCGAGGCCAGTGATATTGCAAATCCATGAGGTATTTCGGAACGGGAGGCACCTTCCTGCGTCGTCTCAACTGCAACGACGAGAGCACATGAACCGGAAGCGTCTCTGTGGGGAGCTTGCGGGGTGCGATAAGCGACCCTTGTTTCCGAACCTCTTTCTCCGCCCGCCACATCTGAGGGTGCTTCGCAAAGAGGAGCCCAGCAACCGACGACGGTCAAGAGGATGCAGGCCACAGCCGACATAGTGGGCTCTGGCCAGCGGCGCTGCTCGTTGGAAATGCCCGAGTACTTGTCCCAGGCTGGTTAGGCTTGCGGTCGAACGGTTGGATGGGTGAGTCGGTAGCAGTAGGCGGGAGGGGATTCGTAGGCTGGAGAGTTAGTGAGCGGGAGCGGGAAAGAGGAGCGAAAGGCGAACCGCCAAAGGTGGAGGAGGAGGGGACGAGAGTAAATTTGACGCGAGAGAGGCGACGCAGTACAGTACAAGGAGGGACAAGCCGCTTACGTAAAGCGCGATCGAGCCTTTTGATACCTTTCAGACAATTGTCATCGATGTGGAAAAGGTCAACCAAAAGAGCGGGTGAAAGCATCATATTAGCTATATGCCCCACTGAATGCAGTTTGCAGCTTTTGCCGTTTGGTTCCGATACGAGATTAAATGTACTTGTGAATGAGCTTTTTTCAACTTTTGCCTCGTCATCTTTTCTATCAAATACTTTTCTAATATGGGAAGTCTGGTTTCGCATGTTGTACGCTTCTGATTCCCAGAGTTGGAACAAGTCTTGTTGAGAACCAGCGGATTGCCACCAAATCCAACATAAGCAAACACTTTACCGACATCCAAATGATGAAGGAATAATGCTTTCCCTGAACAGCGTATTCTAGTCGATAACCACTATGTTGCTCATTGCTCACTTCTATCAATGATGCTGCAAAAATGCTTTTTGCGTCGCATATGGTATATGACAGTCATTCTGGTAGTACTTTTGACGCTAGGTGTTTTCCTCGTCGCGTTGGTTGCGGGATGCTTTGTAGCCGCACACGTATTGGAAGCTTATTATGAAGCGTATAATGAAACCTTCGAGAGGACACGTTACCATGACTTGAAACAAAAGACTTTGACTTGCGAGAACGATCATATCTAGAACGACCAAAGTTGTCGGATTTTAGAAAAGTTGAACAAGAGCAAGTAGACGTTTCCAAGTTGGTCACATCTGTGCAAGAAGCACATATAAAGATAGAATGGGAGGAGCTTGAAAAGTGTGGAGCAGATTTGAGGAAAGTCATTGACCACTGGAAAAGACCTTATAACAAAGGAACACAAGGTTGACAGTCTTTTGAGGAAAGAAGCGAACAAAGAAATCTTGAACAGGTTATGTTTCCCCCACGAGGACTTGCGAGACATGTAAAGGGTCGGCGTCGATATCATTGCCTTCTAGTTGGAGACAAACTCGCGCAGACGACCAAGAACTTTTGGTTGCATCGAAAAGCTCGTTTGGCAGATCATTTTTATCGCGTAAGTAAAGATTCATCCAACCCATGGCGTCCTAACCTCGTTTGGTATCAGCTCTGATTATGAATTTGGATGAAGGGGTCTAAAGAATGAATACTTGAGTATGAATTTTATTGTTAAGGTAAAGGTTATAAAGAATGAATACTTGATTAGGATGGATAGGAAAGGAGAATAAGTAATAGGACGTAATTGTAAGTAAAAAGAATGCTTAATCAACGGGTTCTAATTAAGGTGTTATAGAAAAGTTTAAATTCCACCTAGCAGTGTCAAAGCACCATCATCCTCACCCTTCTTTAAAATGTGCAACGGAATCATATCTTTCGTGAAGATTGAACCATAACATAAAGGTGTTTGCCTCTGTAATCTTCCATGCAAAGGTCTGCGCACAATGCTGCGGACGTTGATGGACCACGTTAGTTTCTTTCCAACGTGCCTTCATACATGCATGGAGAATTGCTCGCCAGTTGCTCATGGTAGGTACCAGGAGACAAGGACGCGGTCTTTGACGGTGGAAGACGATGTGGGGAAGCTACTTTTGAGCTGAGTCATAACCCATTCTCTTCACAATTTCTGAAGCCTGCGTTTCCTGTTCCATTTCATCTCTGCTTGCAAACGAGACGTTTGTAGACGTCCTACACAATGCTCTCTGTTGCTACAAGCTTCATTGCGCTCACCGCGGGCATTGTTGCCGCCTACTATTATTCACCTCGTTCTGTCAAACGGTCAATTGTCATTCGCATTTTGGGTGCTTTAGCACCTCCACCAAAACTAGGAATGCCATATTCGTCTCTGATCAACCCTCATTCGCCTCTTCGACAGCATGCTCGAAATCTCTGGACGGTCGTCGGAAATCTTCCTCCTCGGAACTCGGCGTTGCCGTGTACAATGACTGTCTACCGCTTCCCTGGAACAAAATTCTTGTGGATCCACTCCCCGATCTGTTTAAATGATGAGGTTAGAGCGGAACTGGAGGCTTTGGGAAAAGTTACTTGGATTGTAGTGCCCAATCGCATGCATAGAACATATGTGGAGGCGTGGCATCAATTATATCCGCAGGCCAAGATCGCCTGTCCTGAGAAGGAAAAGGAGGGCGTCGAAAAGGTTGTCAAGGTGGACACGGCCTGTGAGGATGTCTGGCAGATCATAACCTATGATAAAGATGTTCCTGAAAAGGAAACTGCACCAAAGTCAGCAGAGGACAATCAACTCAAAACCACTTCCCCGCGTCAGAAGGAACCTTCGCCCACGGCTGAGTGCAGTGTATGTGGAGAATACAAAACCAAACAAGAATTTTCAGCACGCCAATGGAGACAGGATGAGCAGAGGAAATGCATAGACTGTGTCGCCGAATACGAGCATTCAAAAGACTGGGTGGCAGAAAAAAACAAGCCTCGTCCTACTGAGTTCACACCAGCCTCCTGGCAAACACCAAAAGAGCGCCAAACAACACAAGTCCGCCACCGAAAGGTCTCAGAAGGCAAACGCATAAACGCCTATGAAGAGAATGAGCGTCAGCAACAGGAAGACAGTGGTTCGGGTTGGTCCACATCCTCTGAGGAGACTGGCGATGCCGATTGGAAAATCGATCAATGGTGGCTGCAGGACGATCGCAAGGGCAAACCGTTACCTGACTGGGAGGATGTGAAGAACGACTATGCGTTTGATGAAGATGTCAATAAACTGGAACACGATGAGCAGGTGCTGGTCACTGGGCGGATCGGCCAGTCGTTAGAGGTTCGCCCACGTCGTCGAGCTGTCCGCTGCATTCGTCCTGAAGGATGCTACCCAGAGACCCAGGAATTGCTCTATGTTGTGGAATTGGAAAGGTGCGTTAAACATACGAGCTAGATCCCATCAATGCTAACATTAGATTTCGATTCGTTCAGTAAACCCCCCACACACGCCCTAATTAGCACGGATCTATTCTTCAACATTGATCTGGATGGCGTGGATACCATTACCAAACTCCTTGGCAGCGCTGGATTCTTTGGACCAACACCAATTTGCAAGTTTTTTTGCATCCAAGATGCACATGCCTTTGAGCAATGGGTGCACGAGAGCATTATAGGAATCGTCAAGAAGGAAGCTGTCAAGGTCGTTGTAGTGGCACATGGTGACGTTATCGAGGGCGATGAGGACATAATCGTTGGGAAATTTTGTGAAGCTGCCAAAAAAGCTGTTGAATGAATCCTTCCGCTAGGTAGCTCGATGAGACTTTGCGACGCAAGGGATCTGGTATTGCTTGATACCGCTGGCTTGTCTAAAAACCGGGAAATGCCTTGGACATTTGAAGCATTGGTTGGGAGAACTATAGCACACACAAATCCCGCTTTCCATATTTGGCTTAATTTGCTTGCGTATCGATTTATGCGTCACTATGAGTCATGTGCTTTGGTTCAACTTGAAAGATAAAGTCCGCAGTGTAACCCGCAATCTCTTCGAGTGTGAATTTCTGCCAATTTGCAGTATTACAGCCGTGTCATGCCGTCAAAACGGGCCGCGAAGGTCACTGTCTTGGGAGGAGGTGTCATTGGTTTGACTGTTGGTAAGTCGTTCCAAGCTGCGGTACTCTGATACCAAGTGGAAGATCTAATGTTTATTGTGTTAATAAAGCTGGGTAAAGATCGGACTCAGAGTTCACAATGTTGGAGGGATGAAGGCCTGATACGTTTTCACCGTGCTTTTAGAGTCTTACAAGCGCGAGGCTACAAAGTTACCGTTGTAAGCCGCGCTTTTCCCGACAATCCGGACGACGACCCTTCCTTCACTTCTCCGGCAGCTGGCGCTCACTGGCGGAGTTTTGCTGAGAAGGATGACTACAGGCTTCAAGGTGAGTGAGACGGGCTATTATCCTTAACGCTGAACATTTTGTGGCTAATGCCGTCTGGCCCAGAATGGGATGAGACCACATTTCAGGCAATGGTACGGCTATGCGATGTTCCCGGTACCGGATTAATGATGGCACCAGGTGAGATTGCGTCCTACCGAGTCTATTGGCAGACGAATCTATTCATGCCTGGATGCGTCTACCAGCATACGAGTTTTGGGCCGATCCGATGGAGTCCTGGGAAGATCCCTTCTTTGCTCGATTCACCCCAAAATACAAGATTCTAGATACTGCATCCCTCCCTCCGACCTGCAAATTTGGAATCTCCTATGAAACAAGTCAGTGCTTGGCTGTAGACCTGCCTTGTCGGGTGCTCATCTCATGTTTTCATAGTCTGCATCAATGTTCCCAAGTATCTTCTATGGCTGCTAGAAAAGTTCAAGTCCCTTGGCGGATCCCTTCGAAAGCAGAGTGTAGCTCATATTGATGAGTTGCTGAATGAGGACGTGGATGTGGTGATCAATTGTGCGGGTATTGGAGCGCGGACGCTTGGTGGTGTCGAGGATGTGCAAACTTATGCAACACGGGGACAAGTGCGTTCATCAAACATTCATTAGCCGCTCACGCCGTCTGTTTAACATGTCTGTGATATATTTGCAGACTGTCTTGGTTAGAGCACCACATGTTCGGCATACAGTCACGCGATTGGGCCAGGTTCATGGTAAGACCATGATTGTCTGTCAGAGACGGCATACCCAAATGCTCATTGTGTGACTGGCCGACAGAGGATTTCACCTACATTATCCCCCGTGATGACGGTATTGTTGTCCTGGGCGGCACGTATCAAGCCAATAACTAGTACGTTTGTAAAATCCCTGTGTGTTTGGCATGCATCAGTACTGACCCTGAAGCAGTACATTAGAGCCGGACATGCCAACAGCCGAGGCCATAATTCAACGTTGCTTGTCCATTTGTCCGGAGCTGCAAGTGGACGGTAAACTTGATATCATTAAACATAAGGCGGGCTTGCGTCCAACGCGCGTGGGAGGCGTGCGATGTGAGGCTGAATGGAAGGGTATGTATCTTTTCATGTCGAAATCAAATGAAGACGACATTTTCACTGATGAATTTATAGAGTCAAGCGATAACCGAAAAGTTTTACTGGTTCACTGTTATGGTCACGGTATGCCCACTTGATCGAGACGTGATGTGGACTTGTTACTGAACGTTAGATTTTCTTTTCCCAGGCGGTTACGGATTTCAATCTAGTATCGGCTGTGCGGCAACTGTCGCGATGATAACTGATGGAGAACGTGCAAGACGAGGGGCGCACGGCGACGAACTAACTGTAAAACTGTGACATCCATCTGCTTCGCAATATTGTTAAATGGGATTGTTTATATTTTATACATGGCATTTCTTACCATTTGTTTATCTTGCTCCCGTTTCAATGGGTTAAAGCACAGTATGTCGCACGAATAACTAATCAAACATGCAGTTAGTTCATTTACATATCTTATGCTTGCCCGTCAGCTGTGACCTGGCACTTGTACCTCTCCCACTCTGCAGTTATATGTCCGCGATTAGATCATGATTTTACCCCTAATCCCCTGCGTTCACATGTCTGGCACAACCAGAGAGAAGTCAAAGCTTCAAGGAGTTACCTGACGGACAGTGTTTTGTAGTGTGAGTGTAGGTGTGTGCCCGATGTCAATCTAACCAGAGTTAGTCGGGATCATTTCACATCGCGATTTTTGCATCATGGCTCAAAACGACTTCCAGTAATCCTGCAACTTTGGCACCTTCAACAGATTGAAAATATATTGAACATTTACAGAAGCAGATAATTTCATTTTCTCAGTATCAACGTTTCCGTATTTTGATCCTTTTAGGCTTGCTCATTGCGGTATCTTCAAAGTCGGTTCACATGAAAAGTCAATGAAAAGCTCAACAAATCAGTAGAGAAAGATCACGTCGGAAGACTGTACGGGGTCTTGTCATTTCTCCTTTCCTACATAATTGGTGAAGCAGTGTTGAATGTTGGTTTAAGAACTAGAGCCATGCGCTCATTGTATATGTTATGAACAAACACTGGAGCGACTTTGCCCGGGATGGGCCAAATCAATGGATGGACATGAAAAAACGCGGATTTCGCGATACTACAGCACTTTCCAATACCAAAGTTCTACTTGACCATGGCAGCTTGGCCTTGCCTACCGAATAATATACCGGATTGCGCAAAATGCAAGCTTTTGCGGGAGCACATTGAAGCGTTGAAAGAGGATGTAACTGAAGAGCGTCGTCTATTCGAAGATTTTCAAGAGACATCACGGGAATATGAACAGGAGCTCCAAACCGAGAATACCCAGCTTCATAAACAACTAGAGAGTCTCCAGACACGACTGGAAGCAACACGAACGGATGCTGACGTATGGAAGCAGCGCTGGCGTATCGCAAAGCAGGATGCAGTAAATGAACTCAACATTGTGATTGGAGAACTGGAACGAACTCGAACACAGGAGGAATGCTACAAGAGGCGGACAGTGGATTTAGAGATGGATAATGATTGTCTGGAGGTTTGGCCCACATGAACTTGAAGTATAGGGAAATTTGGTTTGTCTCATCACGAATCGCAACATCAGAGGGCAGAGCGTGTTGTGAAATCCAGCATTCAAGATCTGGACGCTCGATACACGGCTCTATTGGAGGAAAACGTCCTTCTGAAATGTGAGCTAGAGACGGCCAACGGTTACCGCGACGAAATCATCCACTTGCAAGAGGTATGCACTCACAGTGCTGATCCGTTACTCGATTGGGTTTTAAACACTAGTTGGCTTATATTTCAGGAAATCCGAGATTTACAGATGGAATTGGGTGTACTGCGTGATCGTGACCGAGCTCTGGCGACCACGCATTTCTGGCAAAATGCAAGTCGCAATGCCTCCCAAGTGTCCATTGCAGCCAGTCCGACAGCTCTCATGCTTCGAGCATACGGAGTGACAATGAGTAGAAGAAACTCGTCCGACCTATCTACCACAACCCTCGCAAATGCACCTCCATTGCCAAATGGAGGAAAAATAGGAGATTTGGATGCCAACAGATGTGAATCCGTGGATTGTGGGGAACGTTTGGCAAGAGTCGAGACAATTGGTCCTCATGATGAAATCAAGCATTCGACGAAAGGTCTCAAAAGAATTCTACGCAAAGTCGGCCCACCGCTTGCTGCATTGCCCTCCAAGGGAAGAAAGCAGACGCTGAAGGTGAAACGATATTTTTCGGTCAAGTACAAGGAACTTTGCAATATTAGGTCTGCTGCGTGACATTGTATATTAGGATATAAGCGATTTGTGGTGGTTAGGCTTTCCTTGACTGTACAAAGTAAATTTGGTGATAGTGTTCAAGCTTTGAGTCTTTGCTGATTTTTGCCAAGGATGATGGTGGCAGCCGTGAACAATAGCAATATGAAATGTCCAAAACGGCAGCGGGAGATAGCATGGTGGACTGATACCCGAACGCACGATCCCATCCCGCGTCATTTGCCACTATAACGTTTGGTTGTAGCGTACGTGTCCGTTGTACGTAGCCCACATGCCGATTCAAAGCTGGTTTCCCATCTTTTACAATGCATAGCGGGTGTATTTTTGCCTAAATACTGTCTCAGCAAGTGCATGTCCGTCGCTCGGCCCGCTGGCGTGACCCTTGTGCCAAATTACAAGGTGATACCATCCAGCGGAGGTCCTTAATCATGTCAACCATTACTGGATGTGACATTGTTCATCAGCGCTCCGCCTAGTCATCGTATATGATTACCTAATAAACGATAATGCATGGCATGGCAAGCGGGGAAAATAATGCCGACTAATTCAAAATCCACCCACGCACCAAACGGCTAATTTCATTATTCCATATTTAGTAATATCCTTGATTAAGTCATCCAAGGCCCTCGTCTCGGAGCTGAAATGCCGCTCGATGGCGAGTGGTGCGGGCAATGATCGCATACCGGCTCCGCTTGCAGCTTCAGATATAAAAAGCCCTTCACGTCGAATGCAATCGCCCAACAATACTCTACACATTCTTTCGATCAAAGCAAGCACACCCATAACACCGCAAACATGACTGTTATCGGATCCTTCCACGAACTGCAAGTCAACGACAAGCGCGGCAAGCCTTTCGATCTGTCCCAACTCAAGGGGAAGGTTGTCATTGTTGTAAACGTTGCCTCCAAGTGTGGTTTCACGCCCCAGTACAAGGGTCTTGAAGAGTTGTACCAACAATACAAGGACCAGGGTCTTGTCATCCTCGGCTTCCCATGCAACCAGTTTGGTAGCCAGGTACGTTGCCAATTGAGCATCATCATTCCAGACTGGATATTGACATGATGTTTGCACATTTCATTAGGCTCCAGGCTCCGCTGAAGAGGAAGGCGCCGTCTGCCAACTCAACTATGGTGTGACTTTCCCCATTATGGAGAAGGTGGAAGTGAACGGAGACAACGTTCACCCAGTTTACGAATGGCTCAAGGAACAAAAGGCTGGATTGTTGGGGCTAAGGAGGATCAAGTGGAACTTTGAGAAATTCTTGATTGACAAGGACGGAAAGGTTGTTGCTCGTTATGCCAGTACAACTGAACCTGCCTCAGTCGGCAAGGACGCTGTCAAGCTTTTGTAGTGTAGTGTGTAGTGTGTATAGGACAGATTTATAGAGGAGGGTTTGGGAGTACATTTGGGAGGAACCAGCTTATTGTTTATATCATTGGATTATTTTGCATTTGAATATTATACCGTGCACACTTGGGCACATAATCGTATCTCTTTGATGAAGTATGTTTTCTCTTTTGGGAGCAGCAAAGTAGTTATGCATCAGTCGCTGACAGCTTTCCCATCTGGCCGACGTCTGAGTTGGTCTAATCCTACCTCCGGCCATGACATTAAACAAGAGCATTTGCAAGCGTCTTGACACTGCAGCTTTTTAATAGATATTCGGCCTATAGTAACGGAAATCTTCCGTCATTCGGTTATCGAAACGCGGCTTAGCAGTGACTCATCACTCGGATCATTTGCCCAGATTTCCTTCCCGTAGGGTGGGTTATCGGCATTGAGCACACCTTCACTGCCATGCTTAAAACGCTCACCAAAAAGACCAAGAAAGGCGATACTGACTTGACGGATCCTAGAGATCGGAGCAATCAAGAGTTTCGAGATCATGTACTGGGAAATATATCCGTCAACCTTTCAGGTGGGTTGACCTAAATGGCTGAGGATGGAGGACAGGTGGAGCGTTCAGCTACAAAGGGACAGTCTCACGTCTAGATGGAGTATAAAGTCTGAAACTATTTGGCGCCGACGACTTTGGCTTAATGGTGTCAAAACCTAGAGGTTTTGCCTGGGAGATCTCAATTACTTGAGATTTGCTCCATCTGAACACAGTTACTGACAGCATCTTTCAACAGCTCTCGTCCAGAAAGGTTGGATATCGGAACATACTGTCGATACTCTTGTTCAAACACTTCAAAGTAACGGCTTGACTGTTAGCACAACTGCCAGTGTTGCCGTCGGAAATGGTGCTGTGCAGCAAGAGAATCCGCCCCCGCCGCCCGAGCGACCTCCCGCGTATGAGTTGCCTTCCGTGGCAGTAGCGGGTGCATATGTTAGCGGAGATGTTAAAAAGCACATTGATGGAGCTGTCAATAATGCCAATATTACGGGATCTGCAAACGGGGGGAGTGTTGCTGAAGCCACCGCTGCGTTAAATAGCTTTAATATGGCACGAAGTGTTACCACGCCGGCGCTGAGTAGCGCATTGAATAGCGCACCGAACGACAGTGCACCACCTCTACCGCGCCGTCTGGGAGAACGATCTACCACGTCCGCGCCCGCCTCGCGTAACATAACACCATCTGGCCCTCCAATTCCCGCACCCAAACCACAACGAAAGATCATGGTAGCCACAGCCGATTTTGAACCCTTGGAGGAGGACGATCTGGGATTCAGGACAGGTGATTTAATTGCGGTGATTGAAGACGGTGGGTAGATTATTCCTGCACGATCTGGACGCCACCCTCCCACTGACGCTTGTCATTTTTTTTGAACCCGGACATAGTGGACGAGAATTGGTACAGAGGTACTCTACGCGGAAAGACGGGGATATTCCCCAAGAGCTTTGTCCAAGTTCGGAGATGACTCTAAGTATCATTATGACTGCTGTATCTTGGCCTACTGTTTTTTATAATATCCACTTTTAATGTTGACACCTTTCACGATCTTGAGTGTATAGCGTGACGGTGGTCACTTATTCTCTGTGTTCCGATGTACATGTTGATCGCATTCTCCATGGAAGTGGCACGATCAGCGCTCGATTGATGCATCAGCCAGTGCTGTCCAGTGCAAACCAGTCAGAAGGCCAAATACAGGGGACAACCATTACGTAAGGCCATTTAGTGATTGAAATCATCTTACAACCAGACTTTTTCCCCTTTTGCAATCCCTCATGCCTGCCCTGTTGGCTACTCCTGCTGCGACTCTGTCTACGCAGAGTATAATACCCTTGCTGGACGCTGATGACAATGTGATCTGCGGGAAAAAACTCCGACTCACACATGTGAAATCCATATCACTTCCAGGCGGGGGGCGATCGTTGACAGGACTGTGTGCAGTCAGTCTCACCACGCTATTGCAGTCACCCAACCGAGGCCATACAAAGACAGGTAGCCACACTTCAAATGCCAAAGCGGAGCGGAAAGGAAAACATGTAGACGCCAAGATGCCGAAAGCCGGCCAGCTCACAGACATGAAGCTACACAAGGTCGCACTGGCATCTGACAAGAATTGCAGACCAAAATCCGAAGTGCAAGGTGTCAAGAAGAAACCAAATAATAACGCTTCAACGAGTACTAGACGGTTCAGCGGAACAAAACCCAGATCCAAATCATTCAGCTTGCCGTCCTCTCAATTCCCTAAACTTGCGAAAGCATCAAGATGCTGCTCAAGATCTTCACCCTTCCTCCACAATCCAGAAAACGAACATCATACAGATCTTACCACTCCTCGCTCAGTATCCACGGACGGAAAGTTACAGAGACAGTCTGCGCCGACCCCAACTCTGGACCTGGCATCGTGTATGTACACCACTTTTTGTACCAATTGTTGAAATACACTAATCTTGGCTTTTGCTGCAGCGAACAGACTAGATACCGGTCTTGGGTCTGCCAAGGTAAGTTTCGGGCGGTGTATCTCTTCTCTCATCAGCCAGCAAAAACGATTGTGACCCATTTTCGTCCGCCCAGAATCAAAAGCTTTTAAGAAAACGTCTGCAGGATCACGGTGAGCATTCCTTTTCATGTTACAATGTTCTTGTCACAATGCTGGCCGGTTCAATGTGACTTACTTGTGGCTGTCCTAAAAAGCAATGATCCTGCGGGAAGCCGCAATAATGGACAAAGTCCACCAAGCGCAGAGCCGAGAAAAGGAGCAACGAGAAATCGCACACCACAACCGAATGGTTCGCAGAGCAGAAATTGTGTACCTTAACAGGATACTAAAGTATATAGAAGACAAGAGTTTGGTGGACACAGTATCAGAATCAACATCAGGTAGAGATGACAGAGTGTAGCGTAAAGTTGGTACAAGTAGAACTGGGATCTGTTCAGACAAGGAGGAGATCAGTGTGATGGTGGTGGTCGGGCGGGACATTACAAACTTACTACAAGTCCGAGGCAAATTATCACCACAATTTCAAATAAAAAAAAAAAGGCGGGGCAAATCACCATGATCGTGCCCAAATGGGCGTGCCAATAAGCCTTGAGGAGCTTCCCGATCTTTGTTCAGACACTGTATCTGGCGCAAGGAGTCCACAGCATTGCCTGGTGAAAGGATTCGGCCACAGATTACAGGGATGATGGGTCAATGGGGATACACTTGCGGATGTGGCCATACAAGTGTATATCCGATAGGGTTTTATGGTCGAGTGAGACATGATCTCGGAATCCCTGCGATTAAGCCTCCCCAGCACTGGCTGTTTGCCCAGTCATCTTCCAGTTTCCAATTAAGAATACGCATCACTGTTCAAACCATTTGCCTCCTTCCGCTTGTTGTGAGTGCCCCTGCATCGGGGAAAGTAAAAAGGGCGGGGCAATATGAATATAATGACAAATAGTTTTAGAAACCGTAGCACTATCACACTCCAAAAATGCGACATTCATTGATCGTGTCTCCGATATGGGGGCGAGTGACCAAAAGGAGCTTGGTTATTCCCTTTTGAGCACGAGAGCCAAACAGCTCATCACAGCTGCGAACGCACGCGAGTAAAGGGACAAAAGGAGGGGAAAACGCAACACAGCACGAGATCAAGTTTCCAATTTGCTTGAATAATATTGCAACTCCAAAATTACCTAAATATGTGCCAACTTTTTTTTGTGACAAGTTGTTTTTATCGGACTCGTCGTAGTAGGTGGTCATTTAACAGAGTCGGTTTTGGACGACGATGAGTGTCATGAGCTTGATTTCTATCAAGCAAAATGCCAGCAATGATGCCATCAAAAAAGATTTTATTTTTTGGTATGATGACTGCGGTAGTGCCAGGGACAAAAGGCACGTTGGATGCCTTTGGAAAAAAACACCTTCAACAAAAGGGCAAACTCCAAAAAAACTAAAAGGTTAATTTCAGACAGGGGCAAAGAGTCGAGCGGGTGGGGGGGAGTGTTTACGACGTTTTTTTTCCTGCTCGGAGCGCACCCACCCTTCCCTCCCTTTGTTACCACACCGTTTGGGCCAAGGTACCAGCAAACGAACAATGCACAAACAGCCCCCCTCGGGGTCCTTGTAAAGGAGAGTGAAAACAAAACAAGAAACAGTTGCGATTAAAACTAAAACGGTAACGCTTTTTGACCTGGAGTGGACAAACACATGTGATTACCTTGTAGTTTTTTTGAGTGTTCTGGCTGGTGAAAAAAACCTTTTGGTAACCCATCGATCGAGCTGCTTCCATTAAAAGGGGTGGAGGAAGGAAGGGGGGGAAGCGAACCACTCGGCCAAAAACCACATCCTTGTTTACCAAGAATTTCCAACACTTGACTCGCACATGTCATTATTTGACCTGTGGAACACCCGTACAGAGTTTCATTTGTTCTTTTGGTTATTCTTCCCCCCCCCCTAAATTAACGGAAGCGACCACATTTTGGTGTGTATTGCTGATGATTCCAAGTTTAACGTCTTGTTTTGTTGCCGCTGTGGTTTCCCGTTCGGGGACTGCGCTGAGGGTTCGTTGGAGTCATCGATTTGGGACAAGAAAGAGGGTGATAGACTCTAGTGTTCCTTCTTCAAACAGGCTTGCCGCGCGGATCTTTTCCAAATGACCTTTGCCAGTGGTTTATCCCAGTTTACTTTTATTTGTCACTCTCCCCCTTTCCTTGTTCGCCCTGCAGTGGAACAGCAGAGGGCGGTGCCCCGCTTTTTTCCACCAAAGCGATCCTGTCCTCCTGTCGCTTTTATATCAAATGGGTCGTTTTTAGACGGTCCGTTTTTTTTTTTTCCTTTTAATTTGATGCTTGGCGCTAAATAAAAAAAAAGGGCTATTTGAGCATTGTCATATGCTCTGGCATCACGCCTTTTTCTCGGCTGGGTCCTAATCTCGCCTCCTTTTCGGCTTGCTTTATTTTCACATTTCGCCTCCAGATTGCCCTCTCGCTGACAAGGAAACTAGTTTAAAAAAGGACCAGAACCTCTTGCCCCGTCGTCTTCAAGTTCTTCAACTCTACCTTGTGACTGTTTTGTTTTTCTAGTCTGAACACGCGCGATTATCTTGCCAGTTATTTTGCCCTCCATATCTCTTCCCCAAACGTCATTTCCTTTTCAACGTCACTTGTCTGCAAATATCTCTTCCGACGGCGTTTTTCCACGATCACGATCATGAAGCCGACACTCGCTACTCCCCCAGCAATGAATAACCTCTTTGCATCGTCTTCGTCCTCGTTACCACACCGCCCTGATCTTATGCCTTCGCTGTGTCGAATGTCCATGTGTAAACCGTCGCGGACAGAGTCCACAATATCAAATCCTTCCTCAACTGGTCTCGACAAGATCACAACATCCGTCCTCACATCACCTCGCATAACGTCTACCCTCTCCCTCTTCATCTCGGACCTGATACACAGCACATGGCATAGCACAACAAGCCCACCACCAGCCTCTTTTAGCCATTTCACATCCTCTATTCTCAAAACTGCAAATCTCCCATTCTCTGTGGTCCTATTTGCACTTCTTCTCATCGATCGACTTAAGAAACGTCGACCGGCGCTGCGGGGAAGTGAGGGTAGCGAGTGTAGATTACTGGTGTGTGCTCTGATGGTTGCGATGAAAGTTTTATTGGACAACACCTATACGAATCGGACATGGGAAAAAGTATCGAGGATCCCAGTGAAAGAGTTGAATATTATGGAGGTAAGCACTTGTCGCTTTTGATGGACCATTCTTTAACATAGACCTGACATGATGTTTGTTTTTTCATAGATGGAATTTCTCTCCCAACTCAACTTTGACATTCATGTCACAGATGACGAATACTTTCTCTGGCTGCAGCATATCGAGAATGCCGTCAGAGATTTCAGACATCCACACTACGAACAAATCACTGCTCCATCTTCACCGTCTCCCTACTACACTCCGCGGTCTGCACACCAGGCTCAATGGACGTCGGCCACGGTGGGCAGGGAATCGGCCACGGTGGGTAGGGAACCGAGAAGCAGGTCATCCGCGTATACAAAGCAGCATGCGCGGTGGTTTAAATCGTTTTTGGTGTAAAAAGAAATGTTTTGTTGTTTGGGTCGGTTGATTTGGACGATATGTATACCCCTTTTATTTTCTTTGAGCATTTATCTTGTACATAGCGGTGGGGATTTTTTGATGTCCTGGTTTTTCGGATACTATCCCAGTTGTAAATCATAATTGTGAATCTTTTCGTTTCACCATTATTTTATTAGTTACTGCACTCATCCGTCGTTATGGGGTTTCCTTTATCAATGAACAAGAGTTTTCATGCTTGCACCATCGATGCGTAAGATGGGCAAAAGTCGTGGAAGGGCAATTATTGATGGGTCCTAATCGAACTCTCGGACAAATCCTGATCATGGTACTTGTCATCACGCTTACGTACGCCAACACCAGATAAAAGCTCCGAAAACAACTTGTTGTTTTTTGCACACCAGCCCTTGATACAATAACCGCACACTATGGCAAACCTGCCATCGCATGGTGGTAAGTACCAACAAAAACATGCAGAAAAGGACAAGAACGAGAACAAGAAATGAGCAGTAAAACTTATATTGTTTTACATAGTCATAAACCCTCAAGTGTTTACTCCGCACGATGAAGTGGAGGAACTGGTCAACGGGTTTCTGTCTGAAGAGAAGCTGGTAACGTTTTTCTTTTATCTGATACCCGCTACCCGGCAAGAGTCTCATATCATATCACCTCCTCCGTAGATTACGCTAACGGGAACGAGCAGCCTGGATAGCGTACAGTATTTGGAGATGAAGGTCGATGTACGAAAGACAAGTTTGGGGACACTTGGTGTGTGTTTTTTGAATGTTTCGTCTGACTTGGAACGTTGGCTAAAAAGTTGCTACGATGTAGGAAAACTCTTGCCAACGCTGAAGCAGCTGAAATTGAATAACAGTTATATTCCTACCATTCGGTATGTTAGTCGTTCGTTCGTACCATGTCGTTCAAGTTATTGACTGGGTTGTACAATGTTAGGGACATTGGGTCGGGGTTCGACAATTTGGCGGTACTCTGGATGGCCCGATGTGACTTGACTGATATCGATGGTATCGGCTACATGACGTCTCTCCAAGAAGTTTATTTGGCACACAACGAGATTTCGGATCTCAGCAGTTTGAGCATGTTGGATAACCTTCAAATCCTAGATCTTGAAGGGTGGGTAGAATCAAAACAACAAAACATATTTTGTTGATTCGTGCTTTTTGTCCTGCGTGGGATTCCAATCAATCAGCACAGATGTTTCCGGACAGGAATGCCATAGAAGATCTTGCCCAGATCGACTACTTGGCGGTATGTACCAACCTACGACAGTTGACGATCGGCGGGAACCCTATTGCAGGGGAAGGTGATGCGACATTGTCATCAGAGGGACGACACCCAACACGAAGAAAACATCCTGATTGGAGACGGACAGTGTGTTCAATATTACCCAACCTGAGGATTCTGGATGACATTCCCGTGGCGGGGCCGGACAAGGAACCTCCTGGTACCAATGAACAATCAACGAGTGGTAAGAGAGATGTGCGATTTCAAGGCATTTTTTCAGTGCTACCCTTCTGATATCACAGTAGATCCTGCAGTGCATATGATTCCAGTACCGCCAACAGGTCGGCCACGGTCAGCATCCGCAAGACGCCCACGAACGGCTGGAGGAAGGCCATTCACACCCCCTGGAATACCACGGCCAGTCGAAGACACAAGTAGCGGACTAACACATGGTACATTTACAATTTCCGTACTCATGCCAATGTATGATTCAATTGCACTGATGATATGGTGTGCAGGTACCGGGCAAATCATGGCAGGAAACCCAATCCTATTCCTCCGGAGACGACGTAGTAGCGCACAACCACCTGCTTCCATGCTCATAAAACCAGAAAAGGATTCATCTTCAATTCTGCCCATGTACGAGAATAAAATCACATAATAGTGTACAACACTCTGGACGCCCGTCAACTACCTAACGAGATGAAAACTAAGATACACGATTGCATATAGTACAGTGCCAATTCCTACACAAATGCCTTTCCTCCTTGCATCACGAATTCTTGCAAGAGTTAACAAACTGATATCTCCTTACAGCAATTTTTGAATCTCACTCTCGAGACTTGCAGGAGAAGTCGTGCTAGCGTAGCGGTTAACGACCTTGCCCTCCTTATCAATGATAAACTTTTCAAAGTTCCACTTTATGCGTCGTAAACCAAGGAGACCCGATTTTTGTTCTTTCAACCATGCGTAGACAGGGTGGACGTGGTCACCATTGACTTCCACCTTTTCCATGATGGGGAAGGTGACACCATAGTTGAGCTGGCAAAAGGAGCCTTCTTCTTCAGCTGATCCAGGTGCCTAATATGAAATATATAAGTGTCCATGATGCATTGTACTGGCGCAATATACAATTCCACAGTGCGTACCTGGCTTCCAAACTGGTTGCATGGGAACCCAAGGATAACGAGACCCTGGTCCTTGTACTTTTGGTACAATTCCTCCAAGCCCTTGTATTGAGGAGTGAAACCGCATTTGGATGCAACATTGACAATAAGAACGACTTTGCCTTGCAAGGCAGCAAGGTCGTACGGCTGGCCTTTGCGGTCGTTCACCGAGAGTTCGTACAGAGTCTTGGCAGGGATGGTCATGCTGAAAGAGCGGACGGTGGCAGGCAAATGGTGTGTTGGGAGTGGGAACAAGAAGCTGCTGTGGGGACTTTGTTGATGACAGCAAGGTTTTATTCTTTTTGTTGCGGCGAGCGATAACGCAAGCCTTGCCAGCGCAAGGCGAGACATTTTTATTGAGTCAGACGCGCAGACGAGACGGAGGGCTTTTTGGAAACTTTTCGCATTTTTGACAAGCGGTCTTGAACTTCCATATTTGGTTACATTACAATACTTCCCCATTTACACAAATGATGTGGCGCAATGAGTTCCGCCTTTGAGTGTTTTAGAACACTTTCGACGGACTTTTTGTTTTTATTCGCTTTCGAAAACAGCAGCAGCACCCATGCCTGTTCCCATACACATGCTAACTACACCAATCTTTTGCTTCCTTCTTTCCAGCTCCGTTAACAAGGTTGCAACCAATCTTGCTCCAGTGCATCCAAGCGGATGTCCCAAAGCAATGGCCCCACCTTTGGGATTGACCTTGTCATGATTCAATCCCAAGTATTCCACAGAATAAACTAGTTGAGATGCAAAGGCCTCGTTGATTTCAAAAACGTCAACCTGATCCTTGGTAATTCCTGCCCTTTGAAGGGCAACGGGAATTGCATAGGCAGGACCGATACCCATTACATTTGGTGGGACACCGACCGTGGCAAAGGAGACGAGCTTGCCCATGATTGGCAGGTTGAGAGCCTGTGCTTTGCTGCGTTTCATTAATAAAACTGCTGCAGCGCCGTCAGAGACCTGGGAGGCGTTACCAGCAGTCGTACTGCCAGTCGGCTTGAAGGATGGTTTCAGTTTCCCGAGAACTTGCACCGTTGTGTTTTCGCGAACACCATCGTCCTTTGTTACAGTGATGGAACGCTTTTCTTTGGTCGTCGGATCAATGATTGTGGTGGTTACTGGTATGATTTCCTTGTCGAAAAGGCCTCCTTTTTGAGCTGCTGCAGCACGGCTCTGAGATTGAGCTGCCCAGCGGTCCTGTGCTTCTCGAGTGACATTGAACTTTTGAGCAACGTTTTCTGAAGTGATCCTTTTTTTTAAATTCAAACAATTTGTTAATATGGACTGAATGAGTTGATTCAATCAAACTTTGCACTATCCTCACCCCATGGGCAACAGGCAGTCCTTGGCTTCAGGCGTCTGACATAGCAATTCGCTTTCGGTACTCAACACCGTACCCGTTGGACCATACCCATGCGTCATACTTTCCACACCCGCTCCAATCCCAACCTCAATGATCCCACTCTTTATCGCACTAGCAATGCCCGCAACAGCTTGCAATCCACTTGCACATTGTCTGTTTGTCGTAGCAATGGACGACGTTACTGGGAACCCAGCATGAAGCTGAGCCATCCTTGCAGCCTTTGCACCACCCATTTCTGGCAATACATTGCCCACTTGAATGTCCTCAACGATAGCGGGATCGATGCCTGTCTTATCCAATGTAGCCTTTAGGACGTGGTACAGGAGCTCTTCCGGAAGTGTGTCCTTGAATCCACCCTTTTTGGCCCGAGTGATGGCAGTACGGAGAGCAGAGACCACGACAATGTCTTCTCCAGATTTCTGTCCAACAGGGCTACCAAACATGGTACCCGGTCGGATTGTCAGGTGTGTAGAGATTTGCTCAATGCGATGTTGGGCTGCCATGATGAAATATCGGAGAATAGGATATGACAGCGACTTGAGTTTTGTTGGTGGACGGAGAGGTGGTGGACAAAACCAAAATGTTCGCTTATAAAGCTTTGGAAAACGCGGCTCAGAGGTGTGACCAAAAACTACTCGGCACGAAGAATCTGCCGTCCTTCTTTTTGGAGAGTTTATTGAAAATCAAACGACGAAACGTTCAAATAACCAGTTAGGGATTCATGAAATTACAGGATGAGTATTAATGTTTGTGGAATCACATCTTGCCTCTTGTCGTTTTTACTTTTGAGCACACACTGGAAGAAGCCATGTCACACTTTTAGACCTGGTCGAATGCGATCTGCCTTCAAGATGAATTGTTGATGCTTACACTGTTTATAACCCTCTACAAAGTTGTCGAACGATGCAATGCACACTCTCTGATAACAATATCCATAGCCTTAGTCTGGCATAAAGAGTTAAAAAATCGGTCCTGATAGTCAAAGTTTTATACTCACATTATTTCAAATACCTTTTAAAAAAACGCGGAAACGGCGCAGTCATCGGGAATTTCAGATGATCGGAAGGGGGTGTTGAACAATACACCGACAGGACCCCCAACAAAAACTAGCAAGGTCAACACTACTTTCAACACACATCTTTTTTGAGTCCACGCATTTTCCAATATCGAGAACCAAAATATGCCGTCGGAGCGCATCTATCTAAAGTCTCGTCAAGCGCGGGAGGTTAGTTTTCGGTAGATTATGGGGGATTTTACAAAAGAAAAAAAAACAGGCCTCCAAACTATGACGGTACTGACATTTTTCTGTTAGGCAAACGCATTCAACGATCCCATCCTATCATCAACAACAAAAGCATCTTACAAACCCCTAGATGTAAGAAACAATGAGAGAACAAACGCACATGCAGCAAACCATCAACTTTTAATTATCGTAGGTTAAAACCCTCGCCAAAGAAGAACGTCAAGAATATCAAAAAAACAAGGGACGAGCTCGTGTTGCTGGTGAATGGTGGGGACAACAAATCGAAAAGGTGCGAGAAATAACATCATTTTGTGGCATGACGACCCATCTCTCTGATCAGAATGTTCATTTTGTCTAGGATGCAACAAAAACCAACTATCATGACAGTTACAAACAACACAACTACGCCGAATGGTTGAAATCCGTCGCAACGCTTCCAGTCGCAGGTAACAAGAGCGGAACGGGTAACGCAACAAAGAATAGCGCTACGGAAAAGGTACAAACACCGGCACCATCCGAACAAACCGACCCCCTCTCGGTATGGTTTCAACACCGTGTAAAGAAACCTGTTAAAGAGGATCCTGGGAAAGCATTTGATATTCTTACAGGTAAGCGAAAAATACACTGCGTTACCTCACCATTTGGTAATTCATAAAACTGATTTTTATGCCCAACCGTAGGAACGCCTCTCAACAGCATCGCATCAGACCGCCGTGCAAATCGTATATCATTCGATAAAATCAATGCAAAACAAGCGAGAGATAGAAACTATGATATCATTTCGAATCAAATCTATGTTCCTGTGGTATGAAAATTGCGCAAGTTATTTCTTTTTATCCGCTTCATTGGAATCCCAACTAAAACTAGTCATTTTTGATAAGCAACTCGATGAAGAATCTGCCGCCTGAGACTCGATTGCAATGGGTGAATACCTTATCAAAGTGGGGTCATGATGGTGCAATAGAGATGAACGGAACGAGTGCATGGAGGAGTTGCCATATTGTTCACGTTTGTCATCTTTGGAGTTAGAAATGATAAAGAAAAGTCATAACCAAACCCCCAACACCCGACAAGGATTTTTTTTTTACAAGGTTCGCTTTGCCAGCATCGTACATTTTTTTATTTTTTTTTTTGTACACAGGGCGCACATTATGCAGGTCCCCCAGAAAAAGGCCCTATATGAAATCCTTCAACCCTAACCCAGTCCCGATTTCCGTCTCCAGGGCCCGCCCAGTTTCGGTAAACCATTTTTGTTCAAAAAAAAAGAAAAAATAGATTGGCCCAAACAAGCAAGCAGCCAGGCAGAGCAAGATAAAATATCCAGATATCACATTCAACATGCCAGGGCAAGTTTTACACGACAAATCGCTATCCATTAAAGTCAGTCTCTTCATTTCATCCCATTCCCGGCTACATCCATCCTCCTTCCGTTCCGCGCCCCGCTGTTGGAGAGGTTTGTTGATGTGCCATTGCCTGAGCTTGCTGCGGGACGGGAATCTGCTGCTGCTGCTGCTGCTGCTGCTGCTGAGCCTGTTGCTGCGCTGTTTGTTGGCTGGGTGCCTGACCCTGTCCAGGCTGCTGAGGGCGGTTTTTATCAGTAATTTCATGGATGGGTGGGAGCTTATACTGACCATATGCAGCATATTGCGGTGGATAGCTTGCGAATCCGGCACTTTCGTCTGGCCCAGGGGCTTTTTGTGGAGTACCACCCGATCGTGCGTCACGAGAACCTGTTTGTTGACCGCCCATTGCAGTTTCATTTCCTGTGGCAGGCGGTCCCGCTGGAGCCGTCTGATAAGCGTACGACATGCCTGCAGCAGGAGGCTGCGGTGCCGCAGAGCCACCTGATGTTGGCGGGTACGGGGCACCCCCATAATAAGGGGCATGTCCAACATGGGCACCTGGATGAGGTGCCGAATACGGTTTGTCTGAACTATGCATATGGTGCGGGTACTCTGCATGTTGGGGAGGGCGCACAGTGCCGGCGGCATCCGTGGAAGGATGAGGCGGCGGGACGTGAAAGTTGGAATTAAACGAGTAATTGGGTGGATACTTTGCGACATGCGCATGGACGTCCGGCTTGTAATCTCCAGGCTTTGGTGCGGCAGGATGATGGCCGTAATAAGGGCCAGATGGTGGCGGTGGTACACCTGCATGCTCATTACTCACTTGCGTGGGAGGCCGTGCTTGAGGGTCATCATATCCATGTGCTGTCATATACGGACCTGGTCCATAAGCCGGATGACGAGGATACTCCCGATGATGCCAGTCCGCCATGGACCTCTCATGGTCACGAGGAGCATAATGATGAGGCGGGTAGCCCGGCCGTTGATTGACATCGTAAGGAACAGGATATTCTTCTGGGCCGGACGGTCCACCAGTTGGCGGCGGTGGATACGGTGCACCTGACTCGTAGTGGGGTATGGGCGCGTAGTGAGGCGGAACACTCGACTGGTACGGATCACCATGACCGGGCCACACTTTTGGCTGCATGCCAGGCATCGGCCCGTAATGAGGGTAAACATGCCCGGATGAATCATGTGGCAAATGCCCGTAATGGCGGGGATCCGGATGTCCCATTGAGTTCATGGGTCTTGATGGATCATATCCATCCATACGACGATCGTACCCAGGGAAGGGCTGCTGACCATGTGCCAGCTTATCACTTCCATCTTTCTGTTAGCATCGGGATGGAATATCGATAAGCAATTCGATGCGACTTTGCTGGTTTAGCTGATAAGCTACTTACAGCAGATGAATCCTTGCTATTTCTGTCAATGCGGCGTCGTTGGGCGGGTTCACTGCGACCGTCGTCCGAAAAACCAGATTCGGATCCATTATCACTGCCATCCATGCTCGCACGCCGACTCTTTTTACGTCCACGTTTTTTGGGATCTGGGCTATCCTCTGCGTCATTGTTGCCCTTTTTTCCTCGTCCCCTTAAAATACCATCACGTAAGTTTACAATTCGACAGCAAGTCAGCTACAAATTGAAACGCACTTGCGCATCCGCAACTCTTTGCGGATTCTTATTTTTAGACCTTGTTCAGCAAAAGTTCTCGAGAGAAACGTTGATTCTAAAAACAGTTGATCATGTGAGCTGACTGTATTCAATCATGCACCAAATCAGCAAAGACTGACCTTCCATGCCAGGGAACTTTTTGGCTGGATACACGTCTGTTGAAAGCCAAGGTTACAACAGCGATTTTGACTCATAAATGGTGCATGAGAGCGCTTACTAAACACATCTGAGCATATGGATGTGCAATAATATATTTCCGTGTTGATAATTTCGAATAAGGAGAACTGTGGATGCAAAACCAGCGTCACTAAGATGTTACACACAGTGTACGTACGGAAGCGCTACACACCTTTAAGCGATAAGCTCCTTCCATTCGGACAGAGAGATCCGGAAAGACGAAAAATGCGCCATCCTTATTGTCCAAATCTTTCAAACGATAGAGAGAAGAGACGATGGAGCCTGTGGTGGACCGCGTCTTGCCGTCACGCAGCAAATGAAGCTCCTCCTCGCTGTCTGGAGAAATCAAGGACGCATACATAAAGTAGTACGGATTGTATAGATACGAGCTGAAAGTCATGGTGACCATGTCAATACGTTGTCCAGTGCAGTCTGATCTCTTAGACATTGTACCGAACGACTTACTTTTCATCTGCCGAGGTAGTATTTTGAATTTCCAATTGCTAAAAGATTGCCAGTGATGAGCCCGGATCAAAATCACACAAAAACCACTGACATGAAACTTACAATAAATTGGAGGAGGATCTAGCGGACGGCGGTCCACTTTTTCTCCAAATCCACACATTCGCGAGTGCTTTGGCTGTTGTCGCAATTTGAGCACATAATTCCTGGCAGAATGAGCAGATGAGTCTCATGGCACAAGTGGTGGGCAGAATGCTTTCAGAGCATGGCTTACCTGCTGGTCCGCTGACGAGGACTTTGACTCAGAGTAATAAATTGGTAAGGGTTGTTGTCACTCGAGCTTCCCGTGGCCGTGGAAGACATTGTCGCGCTGGGAGCTAGACACATTTTCCCGAAATTGCGGAAATCAGAGTGGGCAACGTCAGACCATTTGCAACTTCTTCAGAAACCAATACGATAGGACAGATAAACATACCTTTGGCGTGTCGTTGAAATCAACTGACAATGGGCAGATCAAAAATCCGGGAACCGAGAGAAAACGATCGTGAGCCAAACCATCCTTCACAAGAGAGACACTGACCATGCCAATGACGGTTACCTGTCAAGGCCAGGAAACACTTGTTTACCAAAGTCTACGCGTTCCGAACGGTCGACACGGTATCCAAGTTTAGCGCACAAGCCGAAGGAACCCGGCAGTGGGATGGGGGGAAACCTCCGCCCCCAAAACGACGAGGTGACAACCCTCGAGACAAGAGGCACAGAGGGAGAAGCAACTCCCTTCTTTGTTTAACAAGCAGCTGTGTGTTGTGTATAAAAAAAAACAAGATCCCGTTCAAAAATCGTTAACCCAAGGGTGGTGAAAAAGTAGGGCGGGTATTAGGATGGGGTGGGATGGTGCGGGGGGAAGAGAGCAAGTGGGCGTGCTTGGAACGCGGTTTCTTTCACCGATGGTATGGAACAGCCCCAGCAAAACAGAAAAATGCTGTGGCTCAGGAAAGGCGATTGAGAGGAGGGGCCAAGACTCCCAAACAATCTTTTAGATTTGATTGGTGGATTTACATGGCACAGTGACTAATAAGTATGATTTTGTGTGTTGGACATTTGGACGTGACGCTTCTTTACCTGGGTAACTGTTCTTGGCTTTTTAACACACACACACACGCATACGCATACGCATACGGGATGTGTGGACAAGAGTATCTCATGGCAATGCATAGTGCTTCTTGTCATCAAACGTATCTGGATTGGTACCATCATACATACACAACACACAAAACATACACACACACCCATGCAAGCCAAAAAAAGAACTCGTTGCCATGATTGGCGCTTTGCCATATGGGATTCACAGTTGGATCCCCCCCTTCGTCGGTCGTTGCCATTGTCCCCACTAGTTCTCCATGTCGCTTGACGCTCCGGTGTGCATCCGAGCTAGATTATCTAATATCCTCCAAGAACACCCAAGTTGTTGGACAATGCCCTGGATCCGAGGAGGAGGCACATGGTCGCTCTTGTCCTGGAACTCCGGACAACGGCACCCCATGATATGGTATCGTTGTCTGTGTATGGTTATATGTGCGGCGCAGTCGCTTATGTCAGAAAGGCTTTGCTCGTCAATGGGCTATTTATATCCTGCTCTTAAAGTTGTGTTAAAAGCAGGATGCAAAGGGATATGCGTCAATATCCGGCTGTTTTTCATTATCGCCGGATCCCCAAGAAAATGCTGTGCCTTTCCGTAAACCAACGCAATGACTCGTGCTGTCGCATCATTTTAAAAAAGTTGTCCACGGTTGTCGTTAGGAATAGATTTTTATATCATTCCCATCCTTTTTATACAGAGGATATCTCCAATGACAACAGATGCATGCCTGAGATTTCGGGACAACTTTTGGGTATGTCGGTTAAAGTGTTGTTATGTTTATTATACAAGTCTTGGCAAGGATGTTCACCTTTGTCCACACGTTTCGCGAAAAGGCGGATGACGGCCGAGGGTTCTCGGTACTCAACAACAAGTTGGCGTCGAGCATAGAATGTACAAAGGAGCTGGCTGAGATGTTGAGCGTGAGGTCAGAGGGTATCGTCCGCTACTTGGCTCTCGCGCTTCGTTCCAACGAGCTTTTGATCTACTCAGGGCATGTTTTGAAGAAGAATATGCAAAAAGTATGGCAAACATGCTAAAGGCCTGCTGTAATAAACATGACTCTGGGTGAGCCTTTGCTTGTTTGGAGACCCGACGTGCCATAATGTACTAATGCAAACTCTGCAGATCAGTACGAATCGCTGGTGAACGCATTACCCACCTGAGCAACGTGATCGTCAATTCGCACTCACAGCTTGCGTTCAAAATTCGAACTGATATAGAGCCCCCCGTCCTTGCCTTTCGCCAAGTGCAAAAACGTTTGAAGAAAACTGCCGAGGCAGAGTTTGAAAAGTTTACGAAAGCTCTGGATAAAAATATGGCGAATGTTCAGAAAGCGAGCAACATCTACGCAGCAAAGTGCAGAGAGTTGATTCAAGCAAACGAAAAAGCTTCCAACAATGGAGGAAAGGATCGCACTCAAGACAAGGCAGTTCACTGCAGGATCGAGATGGAACAGGCTGAAGCGGAATATAAAGCTGCTATCGCACGATTGGACAAAATGCAAGACTCTTGGGAAGAGAAAATGCGCGAAATAGCAGATCAAATTGAAAAATCCGAGCAAGATCGAATCGAGATTACAAAGCAGACGCTTCGTTCCCTGACAGATATCCAGTTTGAATTGTTTGCCTTTGCCGCGAACCGTGCAATGGACGGCATGCGTCGGGCCGTTGACCTGATTGATCCAGCGGCAGACAATGATAACTTTGTTGTGTCTTGCCGGACTGGCAGTGAACCGCCAGCCCGCGTGAAATTTCAAAGCTATTTTTCGGCAGCTAACAACACCGATGGCAACAAGACTGTGCTCCTGCGGGTGAAGAGCTCCGAAGCGTTGAGATCACCTAGCCGAGCAGAATCAGCTGAATCACTACCACTCACAGCGTCAGACAGATCAAACCCCGCGATGGAGCAACAGTTGGCGCAACTTCAAGTACAAAATGGACAGCTCTTGCGAGAGTTGGCCGAGTTATCCGAGAAGAGTGGTACACTCTCTAGATCTAATACATCCTCGCTCACCTTTGCCCGACGAGCCAAGCAACAAGTTCTTACAATGCTGAACGATGCCACGCGGACCAAGGGCAGAGTTTACCAGCACCGTTCTGCTAACGACATCAGGACTATATTTGGTGAAACAACAACTAAGGGACGCGAGCGCCGCGAAAGTGAAGATTATGTGGAAGAGTTCGCTTTCCCGAATACTCCTGCGCCATCGCCCGCAGCACATACTGGTATGCTCCGCGCATCGTCAACAGGAGTTCTGACAAATGTTCGGCAAACGTCAAACGAGTCCATGCTCCAAACTATATTCCCGAAAGAAGGAGAAGGAATGCCTCCTGCTACTTTGGTAAAAGTCAACCCCCTTGTTGATCAACAGATTGAAGAATGCGTACAAAGGAATGGAGGTCAGGATGGAGACAGTGCCGAAGGAACGTTTTTGCCTGCGTCAGCCTTTACACCGCTTCTTGCTGTAGACGTAATGCATGGACTTGGGCTTCAGCAGCACGATGACGCTGAACCCGTTACAAAATCCCAGGAAGACAGTTCTTCATCCGCTCGTCCATTGGTTAGTCCCCTGCCAAATCTCAGAAGCGTCTCGATCCGGCGACCAAACATACGACCATTATCTGTGAGCGGCAAGATTGCTGGAACTGCGAGGTCGGCCAGCTCCATTGCACCGCTGGAAATGGGTGTTGAGGTGTCCCTGCTTGGTGCATTTGATCATGAAATTGCGAGGCACTCTCGCACGCCGTCTCAAAACACTGCAGCTAGTGACCTCGACTTTCCCAGACATGTGAGAACCTCTTCTCAACAATCTGGTGCTAGTGACCTCGATATTCAAAGGCATACAAGAACGCCTTCTCAACTCACTGGCAGTGATATCGAAGTTTCAAAGCACACGAGAACGCCCTCCCAGAACAGCCGCCACAGCATCGATGTTCCAACTTCTCCATCGTCATCGACAGCCAGATCCGTGCCATGGATAGCGCCTACCACTGTTCGTCAGCATGCTCCTACACCTCCCTATCTCCTCCTCTCCGCGCCCGTTGAAGGTTCACACGCACCGCTCCCATACACGTTCCAACGAGCTGGCCCATCATCAGCGCCCATCCCTTCCTCAACTCCCCTTCTCCCACCCTCTTCATCCCCACCCCAACAACTACCCGCCGCTCCTCTTCCACTGATCCCAAAGCTCACTACGGACCAGATCAAACACGCGTCTCACCTTTTTCTTTACGACGACATTCTCAGCATCTGGACTAGAAGATGGTGTGTGGCTGAAGGCGGGCTCTTGTGGGTGTTTGATCAGCAAGATCAAGCCCAGTCGGACAGCAAACCACGGAGTACCATTAATCTGAAAAAAGCAGAGGTGGTATCTGCCGAGGCAGGAACAGAACCTCTGGAGGGAAAGGAATACGTTTTTACAGTATTGACCAGTGACCCAAAGCGGAAACTGGTTCTCAAAGCTGAAAATCAGGAAGATTTGAGGTAACTATTGCCAAACTATGCTGCTAGCCGATGGACGTATTTTGACATTCTATTTCTTCACAGGAAATGGATGGAGGCCGTCGACGGATTTCAATAATGCAAAATCTATCCATTGATTTTTTTGGGCCAATTATTATTCGTATAGACGTTAATTTACTGGTCTTTGTACATGGTAGAATAGCTTAATTGACAATACTTTATTCCCGTGCATCTGCCGGTTGACGGGCGCGCGCCTTTGACACGGCATCGAAATCTGACAGAGTGACAACAAGCAGAACCTTGGTGAAACGCTATCGAGGAGATACCTCTGTACAGATTCAGAGTGCCTACGTCAATGGTATTTTGGACGACCTATTTTGTGAATTAGGCTCACACGGACAATGCAATTAACGGAGACGAGGGGGCATCTCCAGTCTCCATACTGTGCTCATTCGACAGCGCATACAAACTCATGGGCGGACAAGTTAGGATAAGTATCTTGGATATGATCGCAGAAAGCGGACACAGTTCTTGTGGACGACGGTACACAGTGAAGCTCTGGCCCGCACGCTAGTATCAAATGATCACCTTAACCGGCACTGTCGGCGTTCGCGTCGGACTCTGTTGAAGAAGCTGCTGAAAGGAACTCCTGCAATCTGGAAAGACTTGCTGTTAGCATGGATTTTCGGCATGCCAAAAAGAAAAAGAAGCTTGCAAAAGATGTCAGGAACTCATCGACTCGTCTGTTCGTGTTGATTACGTTGTTGGTTGGAGTGACATTTAATCTATTCGAAATTCATTCATCGGCTCACTCGCCTAGACTTTTACCATCTCGCAATCTCCCTACCCAATCCTACCTCACAAAATTCAATGGCAATGTCACCAGTATCAAACACCTTTGACAGATCGTCGTCTCTAAGACAAGTTTCGAGTGCACATGACGAGTCATCCCAACGCAGAACTGTCTATGTTGCCGTACCCAGAGATCATGACCACGTATCACTTCGCGAGATCCTCCTGGATACCGTCGACGGCATATCAAAAATCCACTTTGCACACGGCAACCTCTTTCTCATCTTTAATAATTCATCCCAAGCCGACGCTGCGATCGCCACCATCAATGACTCTTTGCACATCAAAGCCCAAGTGGCACGCACTGATCTACATGACGACACACACAATCCCGACCAACGACGACATTCAAATGAGCCAAGTGCCACCCTCATCATTTCAGCACCGAGATTTTTTACAAAAGATCTACTGGAGCGACTTTTACAAACGTATCCTGGATTCGAGTCCACAGATGGCCGTAAGGCGCATTTTTCGGATGCCATATGGGCCTGCAAAGCCTTGGTTGATGTGAACTCGGGGACAAACCTCACAGCACAATTTGGCCGGCTGGCACAGAGTCTTGAGGTGGAGCGAAATGGAGATGAACGGCCAAAGGTCACTGTAGGGGAAGGTCGAGTTCGCATATCAAGGTCGGTGGAGATCCGGGACATTCCACGCAGTTCAAACTTTTCCCTTGTTAAAGACATGCTCGGGATGCTATCGCTTTACCGAGGATTTGTCAAAGTTGCATTCCAGCCGGGAAATGTATGTTTTGTGGATTTTGCGGATCCGGAATCCGCAACAACTGCCATCTCTCGGATTCGAGCGACGACTCAAATGACTGCAGTAGCTGCTTTCAAACGACCGAACGATCCGGGGCATTTCCCACTGGAGAGACTCGCATCTGCCCTGTTTGTTCGATTGGAGCCATTTCTAAAGGAGAAGGATGCGCGAGCACTATTTGATGCTATGGAAGGGTTCCAGGAAATTGTCGCTGCAGGGCAGAATCACTGTATTGTGCGATTTAATTCAACGACATCCGCGCAAGAGGCCCTTGAACACCTGCGTCGGGCGACGAATCTTGTCATTAATTATGCAAAAAATCAACGGCGAGGCCAATCTGCATCAAAGTCACTTCCCAATCCTACCGGGAAATCAGTAGAGGTACGACATTCGGCCGACATGAACGAGCTACCGGGAGTAAGGGTAACAAACCCTCCGTTCGGTGCAAACGCAAAGGAATTATTCTCCATTTACAATGGGTTCAAGCGCCTCATTTGCGATGAAGATGGATCATTGATTGGTCTTTACGAATCAGAAGATGCCGCAAAACGCGCTCTCGCCGAGCTTCGTCGCTCCTTGAGCTCTGAACCGACATTGGTGCGAAAGTCATACTCAACGTACCGACCATCTGACGATGTTGTACCGTCCGCCGTACTTTACGTGGATCTTCACGCTGCCCTCACTGAAGGCCAGGCGAAGAGACTATTGTCCGCGTACAATGGATTTGTAGATTTCAAAGTATTTATGAAAACCTCTGGAGACCAATACGGCCTCGTACAATACGCATCGTTAGCGCATGCGAAAATCGCGTTGGAGGATATATTGGCTACAACAAATTTGCGGGTCAACTATTCCAGAAAAGGTGAAACAGCTTTTGGCGCTGGCGGTAACCAAGTGCCGAAGCGCAGAGGGTCATCCAGATCCGGAGGATCGTCGACAGTAGCAAGCCGAGAAAATGTTTCTACAAGATTGGATGAGGACGAGATTGAATTTGACAAGACATCTCCGCCGCAGCTGAAAAACTCTATCGTTGATGAATCGGCCAGAACACCCACTACTGCCGGCCCGAAATCCACCTTACACCTTACCTCACCACCACCCAACAAAGCTGTCCTTAAAAACTTTCTAATTAATCAAGTGGGCGCTACCCGAGTTATGCTCAAACGCCTAACACGTCCCAACCTGTCTACAACGGGCGGTGACTACTGTTTTGTACTTTTCACCACTGCCGAAGCAGCCAGCCGAGCCATCCCCAAAATTGTCGAACGGTGGCCGGCATGCAGCGTCGATTACGCTCGCAACGAATACGTATCTGAGACTGTCAATGAATTGGAGATTGGAAAAGAATCCAAAGTTCTGTACATTTTGACGCTGTATTCGGTAACTTACAGCGAATTGGATGAGATTTTGAGAGAATATGAGGGATACAAGGAATTGGAGGTATGCGTACAGTATCACTCTTACATAATTTGTTTCGTATCCTCATGTAGCTGTTTTTCAGTATGCCCCTCATCACTCGCGAGCATATTTCAACACCGTCGCGAACGCCCGCAACGCATTAGAAGACCTCAATAAAACAACAGGATTCCAATGCGCCTTTTCAAACGTCTCGAATCAACGCTCTCATCCTGACTCTGCTAAACGCGGAAACCGCCGCATCCAAGGTCGACACGTGAATGGAAGTGCTGTCGATGATACCAGATCCACTGATCAGTGGGATAAGGACCGTGATGATGCTAATGAAGGTGAAGGTACGAAAATGAAAAAGGAGACTGAAAAACCGCTGAAAACGAGGAGGTATAAGCATTCGGGGCCTGGTAGTGGGAGTGGGAGTGATAAAAACAGACGCAACGGCAGTGGGACAGAGAATGGTGCGAAAAGAGAGGTCGCTGATGTGGTGCAGGCTTCTGAACCCGCTTTCTTGAATGATGTGCAGCGGTAAAACAAGTTGTAGATTCTGTCATTTCGTGCTCAATGCAGTGGCGTTGTAGCGTTTCCATCGACAATACAATGATGTTTGCACCCTGGCCTACCTTGTTCCCCTGACTGTTGAGATATGCGTATAGGGTACAAAAAACGTTGCATAACAGATTACTTATGGCCACAGAAAGTTACTCTTGCATTATATTAATCAATTTTGTTTCGCCTATGAGCCTATGTACACCAACTATGCCAAAAAAATTCTCTTACAATCTAATGAAATCCAATAGACACAACCCATATTGGAACATCTTCTCCAAAACCTCCCAAGCCTCCGCATGTCTCTTGACCAAAATTTGAATCCGCTCCTGCACTCCTGGTTCCATCAAACTGTCGGAATGTATTTTCAATAGTGCATTTAAGCAATATTCGACTGCTTCAAAATCTCTTCGTTTTTCCAATTGCCATGCCAGGGCGTCTAGAAACAGTGAAAGAACTTCATTGTTATCGGTGGATGTGGAGAAGGCCATGGTGCGGAGGGTTAGGTCAAGTGCGGATGGGGATAGGGTTTGAATGTGGGTCATCACGGCCGAATCTGGGTGTGAATAAAGTCAGCTTGAACTCTTCAACCAAGCGAAAAGAACAACCCGGCATGATCAACATACAATCATTCTCCATGCTCCCTTCACGGAGTAATCGCACAAACTCGGGTTCCACATCCGCCCCCGGTAGCCGAATAATGCGGGAACTCTGTCCATCGGCTTTGTTTTCCGAAGCTGTTGCTCCGAATGTCTGTTCCATCTCACGAAGTGATGGAAGAAAGAACGGAGCCCGTTCAGTTTTTGGGGCTTCTACTGGTTTATTTCGTTTCTATTGATGGTGATGGTAAACGTAAGCCATGTGAATCCGAGTTCGAACATGCCTTGGCAAGTATAAACCTACCTTTATGGCCTCCAAACTGAGCAGATTTTGCCATCGAATCTTTGGAAGTCCAGATAACATGATCAGTGAATCATCAACCACCTCGCCAGGTGGCAATTCGTTCTCCCGGGTCTCTGTCGGCACTTCTGCGTCTCCCTCCTGAACATCTAGAACAAAAACGAGCATTAGAAATCATCCCAAGTAAAAATGGCTACAGAGAAACCTTACCAGTCTCGTCATTGGCCATCTTGGGTAGCTCCAGCTCCACCAAATCCTCATCAGACAGGTTTCGGAACGGGACATTCACAAATTGCATCCGATTTACCCAAAGGAAAATTCCAATGTGATCCGCATGCGCGGTGGCCAAGAAGTCTCCGGTTGGGGAAAAAGACAAACTTCTAGGCACGCTGTTCACTCGAAACAGGTCTACCATGTATCCTGTAGGCAGATCCCATGTGCGTATAGTTGCATCTACTGAAGAGGATACTAATAATCGGCCGTCGGGGCTGAAGCACTAAACGACTTATGTTAAATACGCTTTCGTATGAAATATTCTTGGCATAATACTAGCAACATACCATGTCCGTTATGTGACTGCGATGCCCACTAAACTCTCGAACAATTCTCATGGTTTGTATATCCACAACGCGAAGAATGAAGTCATCCGATGAAGCAGCAAGCAACCCGCTTTCCCGGTCTAGCACAATAGAGCCTACGGGTGCTGGCAAGGATATAGTCTGCAGCAAGGCACCTGATTGGAATGACCAAAACTACTCGACAAAGTCACTTTGAGGATGCTCAAGCACAAAATCTAACTCCGACAACGAACCTTGAGTGTACAATCGAGCGATGCAGTGACCACAATCCGGTTCACTCTGTCTGACACGATTCCAACGACTGCTTTTGTGTGCCCGCCATGCTGATTCGAATAAGTCTTTCGAAGGAGGCCAGACTGAAGGTTGTATCGATCTACTCTGCCCAATGTTGAACCTACGAATCCAAAGTTTCCGCACGCGCTGACTGCGACAGACTGTTGGAAGCGCATTAGTTTGTGAAATATTTGTTACACGGTGTCTCTCGTCACGTACTTTGATCAAGGAGTTGTCAGTGGACGTGTACGTTCTTTTTGTTATTGGTTTCCCTCCAAAAGAGCATGTTCGTGCTTGGTAGTCCTTGACATGTGCTGTGATGATGTTGACCGATTTTGATTCTATCCCTTCCGCTTGAGCGAGAGTCAGACACGAATCACTCGATTGCAATTTTTTGTCGGTCACCTACATGCATCAAACTGCGTAACCGCTGGGATGCGTGCATCGTCCAGATGCCCCTTCGCCTTTTGATCCCGTAAGGATATCTCCAAACTATTGGAGTCTCGCGTAACAGAAAATAGCCGCAACGCTTGATCGTTACCGGCACTAATGATAGACGAGTGGTCAAACGGGTGGTATCTGATGCGACTGGGTGGTTCGTGGTGCCCTCCGCGTGATCGTAATAGACGTGGATTTCCTTCCGCGCTATCGAAGATCCATTGCTGAAATCATGACAGAGAATTAGACAGGGGTTGCAGACACGATTATGACTCTCGATATTACCTTGATGGCGTTATCTGCTCCAGCTGTTATCAATATCGGTTGGCCAGCGTAATAGTACAGACTGTGAATTGGCCCTTCATGTGCTCCCTTCGCAATATGTATCAACTGCTGTTTATCGAGATCCCAAATAGCAATATCGCCAGATATGCTAGCGGTAGCCATATGTGGTTTCTCATCTGCAAACACGTTCAATGAGATCCAAGACGGGCAAGTAGATCTTAGACCGCTAACTACTCACCTGTTCGAAAGGAGATGGCGGTGACTTTTCCTTCCTGCATCAATCGCATGACTTTTACGTCAACTCTAATGTTATGTAAGATTATAGATCCGTCCATAAGACCAATAGCGACCACATCCACAGACGGCGCTTGTGTGAGGAATGTTATGGGTGAGCCAAGAGATGGAAACTCATACAAGAGTCGACTGCAACATGCCATTTGTCAGAGAAACGGTAAGAAGCATATAATGCAACGACCGTTGCAACTTACAGCGTCCGAAGGTTCCATAACTGCATAGATCCCTGCTGGCTCCCAAAAAGGATTTTATTCAAATACGTGCTCGGGTGCATAGCGCACGTTACTCGAAATGATTCTGGAAAAGTAAGCTCATTGTACAATTCTACAATTGATATCAATTAGCATTAACTACGCACACACAGGCATCGTTTTCACTCACCTCCGATCGTATGATCCCATATTCTGACCACATTGTCCTTACAAAGTGCCAGCAACAGGTTGCCAAAGACGACGAGGGAGAAGATTGCTGCATCTGAATCGGACACATATCTTGCAACCTGTACATCCAGTAAGTACTTTGCCCTGTGCTGAAATATACTTTCCAATAACATACCTCCTTTCCCCGCTCCGCCACGGATATGTGTGATCCCGTAGCCGCAAATACTCGATCTTTGAAAACGGCCACAGCCGAGACGGGCTCCGCGCTTTGAGGACCTTCAAGTACAATGAGTTGAGCATAAACAGCGCACTCCCTCATGAGTCACATAGCTCACACCCATATCCACCCATACCAGTAAATAGTAGACTCAGCTTCTCGCCCTAAAAAACAGTCTGCTCAGCACCAGTGATAGTTACGAAATGCATCCGTAGATCCCTTACATCATAGATATGAAATGCATTCCCCACAGAAGTGGTAATAGCATGCGCTTGTCCCCGAACCTGCACGCATATAGGTACGTCCGCTGTCACGTATCCTATCGCTCGAAAAGGCTGGAAGATTTTTGAACCTGCCAAGTTGGGAAATGTCAGGTTGCCTTCGATGACCATTAGAGAGCAATGAGGGGGTGAGTACATACGCCTGGTACGAGCTGTTGTTCTGTCCTTGCTGTCAAACGTATTGGGGAAGGTAGCAGCGACCATTGTTGTGACAAAGACAACAAGCACAGGTGGTTATAGCGCAAAGGTAATCGCTGCCCGATCATTTACGCTTACGCGATAACCAAAAAAAAGGTGAATTTCATAAATTTCAAATATAGTGACATTCATTGCACAGCCACCAGATCTACATAACCCAAGGTGTTCAACCCGAATATGCCATTTCTCGTCCACAGCACAGTTGCGATGTGCTGCCAGCGTCATGCGTACGGAAAGGACGCAAGCAAGCACTGTTCTTCATGAGCTATTTTGTTTCCTGAGGAAACTGCACGGACCATTCGCGGGATATCCCTGGTTTAAACTCGTAAAAGCGATGGTGTAGAGCTGGTCATTATGACAATTATACATGCTGACACTGCTGATACCTATGCCCATTGTAGAGCGCCAAGTGCTACTGAAAGACCGTAATCTGTTACATATTACACTTCGAACTGCGGTACTACTAGAAATCCATTCATCCCAAAGAACTAAAGGAATCCTAATCTATCTTGCTATATATGCATTCAGCCGCGTCACGTCAGTTGTAGAACAGCGATAGAAAGGAAGCTAGATATCTTGTCCTCCCATATGTTGACGATCGAGGGGGAAGGCTCGTAATATTGACCAAAATGATGTTGATGACTTGGGGACGCGCCAATCGAGAACATAGTTGGGATGAAGATCCAATGATGACCCGGAAAATCACCAGTTGTGCAACGAACATGGTTTACTTTGTTCCCCCTTGGGTCCCGCCAGACTGGGAGCTTACTCCAGTTGAGCGTGCTTGAACGATCAGGTAATGCTCGAGGAGCGGACGACTGTCCGCCAAACAGGGCATTAGAACTCTTATCAAGCACCAGAACGCAATCATACCAGACCTACCTAACGTTGGTATAAGAGTATACTTGACCATCTGACATACGCATTTTCAGCTAGGCATTAACATGTCAAAAGTCTCTGCGTCAACGTACCAGGCATCTTGACTTTAACAACTAGGTCTGGAGAAAGTCGTCATTGTAAGAGCAGCTACAAATACTTAACGGAAGAATGTAACGATGATACCCACTTTGATTGGTGGTATGGGACTTGTATTCTTCAATGATCCCTCCAGCATTCATCGCTTCTTGAAAACTCGTTTTAGGTCGTCCCATTTACAATCTTCATAAACCCCCTGCAGCGATTTCATGTATTATGCACCGGATAAAAGAACCTTTTAAACACTGTTCCCGAATAAAGTCGACAGATGTCGTCACGGTATCTTGGGCAATCATCGTAACTGCTGATGTCGTCCGCCCAAGACGTGCAGTGCGTGTGCTTGGTGTGAAACTCGCATGACACTTCTGATGCCTGATGTCTAAATGACAAGCGTGTAAACACCCACGGACGAGGGCCCGGAGGTTGAGGGCTTCGACAGTTCAACCTAGTCATGGGAGTCTAAATGTAAGACATTCTTGTGAACGCAACCAAGGAATAACTAGTGGCGTTCAGTAGCAAACGTCACCCGGACAAAAGGACATCAAGACGTCAAAGCGGCAGTTTGTAGCAAAATGTTTCCCATCTCAAAGCCTCAGCCGGATTACCGTTCCCCGAACAAGCCCTCCTCAACTGCACGCCTACGTGACGACAATCGCTAAACGTCGGAAAAGGCTTGTACATGTTACGTACTCATGATTGTCTTTTTTAGAGTTTTTCTATATTGTTACATAGCATCATTGCACCAAACTTCTTAACGGTTATCTAATGCCATGGACGTCGTCACTCCCAGTCACAACGGGGTTAAAACGGTATTTTTACCGCAGCCAGCCAGGTTGTTATCTGTTAGAGCTTACATAAGCTTATGTCCGACAGGGCTCGAGGTGTTCAGCAAAGTGTTCATCAGATATGAAAGAGAAGTTGACTTGACATGCAGACCTAAAAAGCGAACATCTCAAACAGCACTCAAAGCAACAGGCGCAACTCTGATCCTCAGTTGCTAAATCGGTCCAGAGCTACCAAGGGCGCTTGGCAGCATCTCGGCTCATCTGAATGACGCCACTACCCTAATTCACTACCCAATACACAATATACAATCCCAAATTATCACAGACGAGGTCCCTGATGCTGGTTTCAAATCACGGAATAAACGATCGGTTTCTTGTGAACGCTTTGCTACCCTTTAATGAGCCACAATAGTCGCTGAGCGAGGTTGTATAGAGTAAGAATACTTGGGCATCTTGGTTCATTCCTAGCAGCATTAGGGACGTTGTTCGTCATTATATCGTAAGCGCATTGTTCGGCAATTGACGATCATAATGAGAACGGATCAACAAGGGGGACCGTCATCCTCGCACAGGGTAATCGCTGCTGCATACCCAAGGAGCCATGAGTCTGAGCCGCAATTGAATGGGGCCGAAGCACTGTCAGCTAGACGTGGAGTGATTCGTCCAAAAAGCGCTGGTGTATGTTGGCATTTTTGAGGGTTTTTATTGGAAGCTTTGGAATCTGGTCTTGACAACTCATGGTTTCCTGTCATGCTGTTCAAATAGCCAAGAACTGTAACATCGGAAGCCAACCTATATCCCGTCCGACACTTCCAACGACAAACATCAATGGCTGTAAGTCATGCAGTATTCGACATCGTTGAGATATTACCCTCCTTGTTGACGCTTGGGATTCGATTTGTCGCAGGATGGAATACGACCTGATCATGGGCGAGCATCCTCTGGGCCTACCAAATCCGCCGCTTCTTCCACCGGCACCGTCGACCGACCCCCATGTGAGCCACCTGAAACTCTGACGTCGCCGCCAGGGCAATCCATCTGGACACGCTTCAAACGTAGTGGACCTTGGACAGGCTCATCGAAAAAGGAGCTGAACTTGGGTAGCATTGATGATTTACAGCTGGCTCGTATCGAGGAGGGATCGCCGAGACCTAACCCTGTCGGAAAGCGGAAGGGAAACAGGCGTCCCCGTTCCGCGACGTTTGGACAACACAGTGAAAGAAGACTTGGTCAGGATGGCGGGAAAGGAAGATGGTGGGCCGGTAGTACGCACCAGATGGGATCATCAGTCGCCAACGGGGTAGCCGAAGAGGAATTTCAGGATAGTTTTGTGGATGACCCCGTCGCTGAAGGCCGAGACGACATTACCTGCGAATTTGACGTGATAAGAAACCTTCGCAGTGCACCTGTGGAAAATGCCGACGAGTCATCCACGCATGTTTTGGGTGGTCCACAGGATTACTTGCAGACCACCATGCAGGACCTCTTTGCTCGCGCCTCTTTTGCGACTAGAACATCCATGATAATGCCGGGAATTCCGTCTACGGCACCCTATAATCCTCGCAGAGCTGTTCTCTCGACAGGGATATCGGCAGCGGGCGGCATGTACGGGAATATACAATCTTCTCGACGATTAAGTGATCGAGGCGACGGCGTGCGCTCTCTTACTGATCGCTCACCGCATATATCTATAGGGGGGCAGAGTGGATCACTTCGAGCGTCCCGTGCATCGTCTAATGCCGTTCTTTCCAGCACTGACGGGAATAGGGCGGAAAGAGTTTCCATATCTGGCCTCATCTCCGAAACAACCCTCCCAGAGCAAATGATTCCTCCAACACCCGAAGCACCCTCAATTCTTTCGCCTACATTGCAGTTAGCTCCTTGGGTCAATTTTCCCCTCATGGATTCACCCAGTACCGAACTGACCGACCCAATAGCAAGAACTTCCCAAAATGCTCTCCCTGCTGTATCAGACACACTCATGAGATCCGAATCTGCCATCAGCAAAAGCGACACGCATCCCCCACTTTCCGTTTATCTCAAACCACTAGATACACCAAACGTCCTACTTGGTGCAAACCTTGACATCGACTCGGGACTCACGCCCCGTCACTCCGAGCATGTTCCAGCACTGGCAAGCGACGAACCGGCACAAGTCGAGCATGAGAAAAGTAAGTCGGCAGTCATACCGGCCGTCAAACCCACAGGCTTGGAGCCCCCCGATTTGAGCGCATCATCGTTGAATTTCGAAGGTGGTGTGTTACCAACTAAATATGTTGCGAGAGGGTCAGAGGTTAAGAAAGGCACATTTGTTAAGCGGAAAAGTCGGGCAGATGGACTGGCGTTGGAGGAGAGTGACGGCGCAGCGCCAGAGGTGATTAGGAAGAAACCATTGTCCGTCTGGAAGGCCATCAAACAGCCATTGAGTGTAAGTGTGCTTTAGACAACCTCTGGAACTTGGAATTACCAGCAGCATTTAATATCCTCTAACACGACGTATCCGTTTTACAGGAAAGCCCTTCAACAGGCTGGAATCTTCGCTTCACGTACCCCATCGAGAATCTCTATCGTGTCTGGTTGTTCCACCTCTGGGTGAAGCCGTTTCAAGCAACCGTCTTGTCCCTCTTGGTGTTTTTCTGGCTTGTCTGGTTTGTGATCGAATTCTTTGTTTTCGAGACAAGGCCCTTGCCCGTTCATTTGGGTTCGGGATTGGTCAATATTACCGGAATTATCGGAATATGTTGGAGTTTCAGGGAGAGTTGGGAGCGGAGATGGAATGCATTTATGCAGATCTTTTTTGTCATGATGGCACTAGAAACGCTGAATTACAGTGCACACTATTTATTCCATGCTCTAAGTTTTGATGTAAGTTCTTCCATTGTCAACTCATGAGTGTCCCATTATTTTTTAATGCATGTCCTATCGCTTTAGCCCGAGCGCATCAAGTATGGGAGTAACTCAAACCGCTTCATCTTTATCCAAACCTGCATCGCTGCATTTGGCCAAGTTCCTTTTTACAACTATGCCATGCTCATGTGGGTATTCCTCATCGGCCAAATCGTCATCGAGGGAATAGCCTTGCTCCCTCAGGGCTACGACGTTAAACCCTTGGTAGCAAACTGGGTGTTTTATACGGCTGCAACGGTTGTTGGTACCTATTTTAGGTACACCGGTGAAGTACACTTGCGAAAGGCTTTTATTAAGTAAGCTCATGATATCGGTTTTGTTTTCGAAAACAACTATCTAATAGGTCCATTTGTAAAAATAGATATCGAATAGCCTACCGCAATCAAGCTCGCCTCTTTGCCGCCCGAGAACAAAGCGAATACCTTCTTTCCATGATTCTTCCCGCCAAAGTTATCGAAACTCTACATAGTTTACAAGGAAAAGTGAGCGATCGGTTGATTCTAAGTACTCACGAGACGTTTTTGGAATTGAGGGGTGTTACGGTGATGTTTGCAGATCTTGTGGGGTAAGTCTTCACGTTTGTCATTGGGTTTCAAATCAAGTTGGAGGCAGTATTCGGACTTTTGGATCCAGATTTACAGAATTTTCATCGTCGATTACAGCTGATGCTTTGGTATGTTTATTGTTTATCTCAATATTTATTGTGAATATTGAAGATTTCAACTATATATTTGCCAGGTGGAAATCCTCAGTGAGCTTTTCTCAGAATTCGACGCCCTCGTCACTGAGCTCGGTCTCGAAACCGTAAGAACTCCCGTCTCCTTCGTCTTTCAAGCGTAAACCACTAACCTCACTCAGCAACTTAGATAAAAACCATAGGCGACTGCGTTCAAATTGCAGGCGGGGTTCCCGAACAGCTTGAAACCGAGGAGCTCATTGCTGATCATGCTGAGCGTGTGTGCGCAATGGCACTTATTATGCTGACGACCACTCGTCGTGTCAGTGCAAGTCTCGGTAGGCAATTGAGGCTCAGGATTGGTATACATACCGGGACGGTGATTGGGGGTGTAATGGGCCTATGGAAGTTCAAATATGGTATGTTGTTGCACGTGTATTACTTTGTGGCAAATGAGATTGGCTTATGAGATACTTCAAGACATTTGGTCCCGCGATGTTGACATCGCTTCCATTATGGAGCAAACTGGTCGCCCCAACATTCCCCACGTAAGCGAACAAACTTACACCCTCCTCCAAAACCGCCTCTCCCTATCCTTCATGCCAGCACCCGATGTAGCCGCGTTTGGTCACCCGATAAAAACGTATGAGATGCTTGTTCTAGAAGAGGAAGGTGATGCATTGGAGAGACTTGCTGCTCGTTTGCGGATACAAGGAGAACTGCCGGCATTGCATGGCAAGCGGACTGGATCGTCTGGACATGGATCAGGAGAGGCTGTCACTGCAGCGGCGGTGCGACAGGCATTTGGGGCGTCGAATGCAATGGTGTTTACCGACTTGCCCAATTCGATGGGGAAGAGGAATGCACCTGGGAAGAATAATCTTGGAAATACCGTGAACAATTTTGAAAACAGCATCAATTTCTTGACATGTAAGAGACTTTTGGTGCATGGGTTTACTGTTTGCGGCACTGACTTTCCCAATTTTGTTACAGCTGAGTTCAAAGACCATATAATGGAAAGAGATTATCGCGACAATTATATCCGCAACTGGCCAGGAGCCCTCATCTTTGCCTCTGGCATCGTCTTCTTCGTCTACGTTTGCATCTTTTACGTTCACATCTCCATCTTTGAGGACGCTTCTCCAGCCATCTTTGCCGTAGAGGCCGTCATTGGCTTTACACTCTTACTTGACATCATTTTCGCATACCGTTTAAACCGACCGCTTCGGGAACAGTTTATTAGAGTCATGGATAAGGGCGATCGACTGGCTTCTGCATTGTGGATGACATCTACGGAGGAAGTAGGAAGAAAGTCTGACGAGCATGGCGACTTAAATTCTGCGGCCCATGATCCATGGCGGTGGTTCCGTCCAAATGTATTTGCTCTTTCGACTATTACGGCTGTTTTCCTTTCTACATGTCTGCACCTTTCCGGGACGCAACCTGAGACCCTGACGTACCATAGTGGCTGCATGGTGCTCTGCATCGTAGCATGCCTCGTCTATCCCGGCGTCAAAATCGTTTATATCAATTTTGCCATCGTTCTCTTTACGTTTACCTTTTTTATCGCTCAAATGTGTGTTATTGTCTACAAGTACGGATCCGTTCAGCAAAACCATACTATTATGGGTGTCTTACCAGATATGGGGCTGATGGGTTTGGTCCTCGTTGCCGTGGTACGAGCCAACAGAAGCTACGATATTATCAGCCGAATGAACTTTTACATCAAGCGTCAAACGGAGGTGGATTACGCAGAAACGAAGCGGACGCAGGCGGCCGCAGAGCGGATGTTATTAAATATTTTGCCATTGAGAGTTGTTCAAAGGTTGAAGGACAACCCAGCGACGCATATTGCTGACGATAAGGCGGAAGTATCGATCTTGTTTGCGTTTATATCAAACTGTAGAGTATCTCTCCCGCCATATACTTATCGCGCTCTATCGATTCGCTCATTGCTGATTCTGCCTTACTTCAATCTTTCTAGTTGGTCCTTCGGACGATGCTAGCGAGATTGAAAACATTTGGACGTTGAACGACATTATCTGCGACATTGATGCGCTGGCGCGGTCGCGGAGTGTAGAAAAGATTAAAACCATTGGTATAACCAAGCTTCTCTTCCCGCTTGTGTGGAAGCTAATATGACATGTATACCTCAGGAACTAAATACATGGCCATGGCCGAACCGCAGCCGGATGTCCCAGAGCATCACTTGCAACGGTTATGCGACTTTGCGCTTGATTTGCTGGTACGCTATCAACATATTCGAGTGGCTTCATCCACCGAAAATGTAGTTAATGTAGTTGCTGATGACTAGGACGTTGTACGAGCGTTCAATGCTCGATCTGGACAGAGTTTCGCTCTGAGGACGGGAATACATGGTAAGAATAACATTCGGTAATGGAGATGACTTCTGCTGTGCCATACCTAACCTACATTGCAACAGTCGGTCCAGCGGTTTGTGGTCTGATCGGAACCCGAACCGTAAGCGTCTCCTTGCAATTACTCGATGTACGCTCTTGACTGATCACATGCTATCACAGTTTACATTCGATGTTTGGGGCGATACCGTCAACGTAGCATCTCGAATGGAAAGCACAGGCCTTGACGAGCACATTCAAGTAACCCAAGCTGTATACGACACTCTTAAAGATAGGTACCGTTTTAAACCACGAGGACGGGTGTATGTCAAGGGCAAAGGGGAGCTGGACACGTATTTCTTGTTGGGGCCAAATGATGGATCGCTGAGGAGGAGAAGCCAGAGGAGGGTGTCGATGGTGAGGGATTCTCCAAGATCGAGAAGAGCGAGCAGTGCGGTGAAACCAGGTGTTGTGGAAGAGTAAGGGTTTGGTAATCATTCAAGGTCGCTCGGGCGAGGGATGGGTATAGTTTTGCGGTTGTGTATATGTATTCTGTGTATAGTGATGCTCGGGACTGAGTTGTTTTTTGGATAGAGGGGCAATTTGAGGAGTAATTGTTTGAAATGAAATGAGATTATCGTCACTGCCACGGTCATCCTCATCATGGCAGATTGCAGGTTATCACAGATCCCAGCTTTTATGTCTCTTTGTACAGTAAATAGGAGCTAACCGCTTTGTTTTTTTTTTTCATATTCTTTATTTTTACTGATAATCACTTATACAAAGAATCTGACAAAAAAAAATGGGTAACATAAAATACTAAGAGTAAAAAATATCATTCTAATCAATTAACCATCCATTATCCCTTCCCTCCACTCCAACTCCAAACCTTTGGCATACAGGTATATCTACATAGTCCGAATCATTTCGTTTATACAAGTAGGAGGTCATCCTTTATCGAATTATCGAGGTATTACGGGTGATGCCTTTATAGTCGGTTTGCTGTCGGAACAAATATTGTTGCGGTGAATGGCGGGGGCTTTAGGTCTTTGGCTTTTTGCTTTTTGTCCGACTTTGATTTCGTAGATGTCGTAGATTCCGTATCGACCGAACTCAATCGTGCGCCTTCAAACATCATTGGACAGGGGATCGATGAGCTGTAAATGCCTTGGGAAGCTCCGCTCTTTGCCGCTGATTGGTTTTGCACGAGCTGGGTAGTGTCACTGTGTTCCGATGCGTTATCCGAGCCGGGCTTCACTTTGCCCTTTGTAAGTTTCTTGAAAAAGCTCATCGTGTTTTGAATGTTGGTTTTAATCGCTGTAGTAGCTGGGATGGTAGTGATTTTGTTGTTTACTAGGTTGGTAGTAATGTGGCTATCTGAATGAGTTGCTGATGATGAAAAAGAAACAGAGTTGGATGTCCTCCTTTTATAATGCTCATGTCCTCCTCCATCTCTCCTTTGGCCAAGACTCCCCACGTTCAGTCGTAAGTGACGTGGGCCGTGGACGAGTCATGAAATGAGAGGTGGATCAGCGCCAATTACAAAAAAAAAAAGAAACCAATGCCCAAATAGCCACGTCTTTATTTCGAATCAGTTAACTGATCAAGAATACATGGGAGCAAGTCACCTATGTTTTTATTTTTTTCTTTGTAAGGTGCCCATTACGCATATTTGGCGACTACTTCGTGGGCCAGCAGCTGAGGGGGGTGGAGCAGCAAAAAGGTGTGAAATGGAACACTTGCGCACAACGTAGGTTGCTGAGCTAAGCGGGGAATTCATGACTTTTTCTGCAATGGACCCACGCGAGTTGGAGATTTGCTTTGGCCCACAGCCTTCTGCCCCCATGTTTTCTTTTTTTTTTTGGATTTTTATTTTTTATATTACGAAACGGAGCAGAGCGACTGGTCCCGCATTGGTAAGTCAAAAGTCTAAGCCAATCCGATCAACATCCAGGCGCACATTTGGGGGACATTGGGGTCCATTGGACAATATTCATCAACAAGGCATCCACTCTTCGATGAGCACATGCTACCCTCCATTTAACAAGTTTCTTTGTTCTTTAAAGCGATACTGGAACCCTTTCTCCGAGCAGAATGCTCACCTTGCCCAACTGCAATTCGCCTCTTGCCAACGTACTTGGGGGATAAGCAACCATGGTGAGGGCACTGGCAGCATTCGTCACTGTGTGTGACTGTGCCACATGCACAGTCACTTTCCATGTGAGAGATCTGTGCTTTCTCGGTGTGGATCGGCTGAACAAGTTGCACTTTTTCACCGTCCACATTATTCCAAACTGATACGATGACCTAGATGAGGAGTGTGCTATTTGGCAGTCGCTTGACTTGGTAGGAATCAAGAGTATGAAAACGGTATTTTCATGTGGTGGAATGTTGCATCTCTAGAATCCTGTTGATGCGATACGATGCGTTTCCTTATCCACGAAACAGACCTTTTGAAGAGCCATGTAAAATGACCCTAATAAGCACTTTGCTCGGCTCACAGCAAGTCAGACATGGTGCGTGACATTGTAACATCTTGTGGGTCATCCATGAAACTCTTTCCATGCCATTGGCACAGTCCACCTAGCGATGAAGGACTAGGTGTGAAGCGTTAAAGTACCAGGAAATACGTACAAAGCAGGTACTCTTTGCTGTCATGATCCAGTTTGCGTATGTCCAAAATCAGTCGTAATACGTAGTGTGATCAAAACAAATCATGTTTGTTATTATTGAAAATTAGGGATCATTTCGTTTTCCTAATTATGCTTATAGTTCAGTCGTGGTTTCTGAACACTTTTTGAAATAACGCCTCGTGTCTCATTGATAACAAACGTAACGCTTTCTTTGTGTCCTTTTTCTGTCTTGTTATTTTCTTGTACTTGTGTGGAAGCTTATTTGTTGCAAAGGAAAAAGCCCTTTTTTAACTCCATGTTCGTAGCTAGTAACCATATCATCCAACTTGTATCCATGGAGTATCTAAGTTATTTTCCAGAGTGCACACAGATCCCTGTGTGTTTTTTTCTTGTGCTTTTTTGGCACATATCCCCATTTTAAACAAATTTAAACTTTGACAAGGAACGCAAGCGCCTCACCTTGTAGAGTCCCCCTCTTTTCTTCCTCCATACCTTCATATATACATAAAGCTGATCCGCCTCCCCTGGTACACTGTTGTTTGCTTATTATACCAGTTTTCCAGAATCCAGAGGGCCGATATTTTCAGGACAGCCAACAAAATCCCGCCCAAATTCATCCGTTAACCTTTGATTCACCTCGGGTTTCCCCCATTTCCATCTCCTAGCGTCCAAAATACATTAGGGCGCACACTACTCTTGAGGCGGATGAGCACAGACGAACCAGTCATCCCTCAACGAGACTGGCAGGTCGCTACGACAGCTGACCATGTCGCCATCTGGATCGGTACAGGCATATGGTGTATAGACGTCATCGCTGTTGTTTACGCCATAATCAACTATCGGTATCCCCCACTGAAAGCCAAACAAGTTCACTTGATCGCCGTTGCGCTGGTGGCATCGATCTTGTGGTGGATCGGGAATCTGGTTAGTTGGTCGCACCTTGGATTTTCTCTTTCTTATCACTTTCATTCATATCTTAATCCATTCGTTTTTATGACTGCAGCAAGCGACTGGAGCATTGGGTCATGTCGGCATCTTTCGCATCTGCCTCCTATGGGGAGTATGGGTTCAGGCCATTTTTGGAGTTCAGCTCCTCCTCACCGTCCTTGTCTACCGACTCTATAAACTCCACCGAATCCTGATCCAGGAAAAGCCTGCACGGGGATGGCAGTTTTGGACCACCGTGCTGATCTTTTGGCTCCCGATGCCTATAATAGGCCTGGCCGCGCATGTCTTAGGCGAGCAACGGACGATCTATTATCATGCCGAGAATGATTGGTGTCAGTGGGCACCTATTTACAAGTATGCCATGTTGCCACTCCCAATTGTTGGTTTGAGTTTCCTACTGGTGGGTTCATTTTCTCTGTCCTTGTTGATTTGGTACCAGATTCTGATATGTTACTTTTTACTTTTTTTTTCAGTGGCTAAATATTGCTCTTCGAAATACACGCAAGTCCTTTAATGAGTACAGGGAGCAACGCATTGGCTTTATTGTTTCCTTGATTGTGCTCGTCTCGTACACTCTCGTTGACGGAGTGTTTGTCGTAGCAAACGTAACGTATCCTCTACACACCTCTATCCCTCTTAGACATCTGACTTAAACGGATATTTTACTATATTAGAAACTTGTCTGGGCCCGCGTCCTCCAGGCCAGCCTGGTCCTCCTCGCCGGAAACATCTACTTTTGGGTAATGTTAGGCGGACCGCTCTTTGGATTTACCTTTGCCCGGGAAGCCTATCTCGAAAAGTTCCGCAAGGGGCTCACACTCTCCGCCCTGAACAAACTCTCTGAACCATGGCGAGGTAAAACGGGCATGACGAATGCCACGACGCGACAGACAAGTCAACCGAGCGCATTAAAATTGCCAGACGGGTTTGATGCAAGGTTTTCTATGCCTAGCCCAACTGAGTTTGAAGGTGGAACGAGCGAGTTAAGATTGATGAGAGCGGATCATGGGTAGGTTTCCGGGATGTGGATGATGAGTATAACATAGTTGTAATGGGACTTTGTCGATACTGTAACAAGTGAAATGAATGCACCTCTTAGTGTTGTATTACACTGTAATTCAAATCAGTAGCTGCTAAAAGTTTGTTTTCAGGCACACAGGACATGTATTCAAAAACATGCACAAGGACACAACCAGATCCCTTCCAGTAAGACTGTTGCTCTCCTAAGCCCTATGCACTCCAACCTGTACATCCCTCGGCACCCCAGTCCTAACCTGATACGCCTTGATAGCATTCCCAACAACGCTGACACCCCCCAAAGCCGTAAACCCTAACCAAACGCCATCCCGTCTCGCCATTGGTGCAGTATAAGCCAATAATCCCAGCGAAGCGACGGATCCAATGTCATATCCACGCCGCGCGTCGCCAGTTTTGAGCAGATACCCAGAAAATGCAAACAAACCAGAGAGGGTCGCCATGCACAGTGTTGACGCCGGGTTGCGAAGGCGCACGTGAGCGTACCCTGTTCCCGCCCCGCAGAGAGCTGCAAGCGTCCAGTGGGGCAACGGGTCAAGAGATGTTGAAACGGAGGAAACGGTCCCTGCTGCGGTTTGGGGGGTGGTAGGATTTGGATTGTATACATCTACGCGGGGAGCAGTGGCATCTGACACGTTTTTGCGAACGGTGTAGTCGACATCTTCCAGTTTTTGACGCACATTGTGTTGGACATCTTCGGCTCTCTGTTGTAGGTTGTGACCGGCGTCTTCAATTTTTTGTTTTGTGGCATGGGAAATGTCTTCGGACTTTTGCTGGATGTTGTGTAAGGTATCTGAAGGTGGTGTTGATGAGCGGAACCACGAGAACCATCCAGACGGTCTTTGTTCCTCAACTTTTTCTTTAACATTCTCAGATGCTTCGCGGACCTTTTCAGCCGCTTCGTGACCGATCTGCTCGGTTTTCTGTTTGGTACCCCACCAAGTATTGAAAGCAGTTTCTTTGGCGGACTCGAGGGTCTGTTTGGATTCGTTCCAACCTCGTTCGGCGACTTCGTCTGCTCGACGTGATACGTCGGCCGCTCCCCGTTCCGCTCGATCCACCACTGAATCAAGATTTTGTTTTGCGGTACGGGCTGCGCTCGCGGTTTTTTCAGTAACATCGTGGCCAATGTCCTCCGCTTTGCGTTTGGTACCCCAAATAGTATCGAAAAATCCTTCCTTGGCTTGATCGGCTTTGTGTTCTACGGTGTGAACAGCACTTCCCAGGGCAGATTTGGTCTGTTCGTAGCTTTTCTTGCCCAAGTCTGCCGCATGTGTGGCTGCTTGTTGAGTCTTTTCAGCAGCATCATGGGCGACTTGTTCTGTTTTGGCTTTGGCACCCCATATGGAAGAAAGGAATGAATCGCCTACTTCTTCCGCCTTATGCTCCACGCGGTGAGCGGTGTCTGTTACGGTGCGTTTTGTCTGATTGTAGCCTTCTTTCCCCAGTTCTGCTGCGCGGGTGGCAGCAGATTGAACCTTGTCAGCTGCTTCATGTGCCGCGTCCTCAGTCTTTTTCGTGGCGCTCCAGATGGAGGACAGAAACCCCTTCCCAGCCTCATCCGCTTTACTGGCCACCTGGGCAGCTCGTTGAGAGGCACGTTCAGTCGCGTCCTCGACTGACTGTTTGCTCACTTCATATCCGTGTCGCCCAGCGTCTGCCGCACGATCTACGGATCGTTTGGCGTTCTCGGCAGCCTCATGTGCAGCTTCCTCTGTCTTGTTCTTTGCTCGAAACCATGAACTCCACATTGCATCCTTTGTCTCTTCAGCCTTTTCCTTTGCTGACGACACTGTGTCCTCTACATCGCGCTCAACCCTTTTCGCCCCCTGTTCCAGACCTTTTAGAGCATTCTCCGAGCGATCTCTTGCATATTCGTATCCTTCCGCAGCGGCTGCACGAGCAGACTGTGCATATCCCTCAGCACCGTGTCGAACATCTTCATATCGCTGTTTTGTGTAATGTGCAATATCTTCCGCCGACTGTTTGCTCGCATGAGCAATGTTTTTGCCACTAGTCCGATCATCTGTGGAATGGGCAACTGAGGAGCATGTGAGTTATGTGAGACGCCGTGGTTCCTTGAACCCTTTAACCTACTGTCTTCGGTCGTTTGTTTTGCTTCGTGGGCCACATCTTCTGCTTTCTGACGAGCGTTGTGGACGGGATCGTCCGTACGTGAGCCAAACCAGCCAGCCATATTTCTTCCTGTCAAGTGTGTAAGTTTTTGAGTGGGTGAATATTGGAAGAAGAAGAAGAAGAAGAAAAACAAGCGTCCATTCCCTTTATACCCATGGTGGAGCGGAGCAATCGCATGACGTGTGCAGAACAACACAGATCCCTGCGCGGACAAAGACTCGCGTCATCATTACGACCACGCATTGGAATGGGATGGAGTGCTCACGAGAATATCATGTGACTATTTTTCAGATTTTTAAAGTTTAAAAAGAGATGGGAATTGGCAAGACTTGGGTTCACCTTCTTCCACCGATATCTGTTTGAGTTGACAATCTGCCCTCCTTCCAATATGGAATAAAACACGAAGGCACATTTCACATCTCAACGACATTCTACGTTTTAACAAAAGCCGCGAACAATTAAGCCGGCAGGTGATCCTTCTCTTCCTTGGATCTCACTGTGACTATGCTTTGCGAAGACGAATCCGTGCGACGAGGTCTGTGATGCGCGCCCTTACGGGAATTGCGCTCTGGACCTTGTACCGTGGGAAATGTCTGTCTGCCCTTTTTATTTCAATGGAGGGCCAGGCCTGAATTTCTCGTACACTTTTTGTATGTTGTTGATTGTGGAGAAACCTTGCAACTGTCTGTGCAAGAGTTCAATGGCATGAACATGAGGAAAGGGTGCGCTCAGCCGTGTTGACACAAACATGGCATGTTAAGGTGGCGATGTTAGGATCTGTATAACTGATGCTACGTTATTGTCATCGGATGAGAAAAGCATACCACAAAAACACAATGCATAACCAGTCCTGTGCAGCAATGTGGTGAATACGACAGAGAATACAGTACCAAATCATAAGGCAGAAATAAGCGTCTGTTTAAAGACCCCCATGAGATGACAGCCCAAAATTAAAGTTGATGTCAATCCCCCCCAAAAACACCGCTGGGCAGTGATAACATTCTTGAAGCTGGGATCCAAAACACCATAGAGTAGCAACAACACTCGAAAAACGAAACGAGTCTTTTGCTAATGCCGTATTTTCAATGCGTACGTTAAAAGAATCCAAACTGTTTGCGCGAAACATTATATCACCATGACACACGTCCCCCTCTCCCCAAACTCTGCATGCGTGCTTATTCCTGCATTTTCTCCCCGTAGACCATTGTCGTTCCATTTGCACCATCGCATGCTTCGTTCGCTTTTTCAGCACACTGTTATCAACAAGAGTACTTTGAGCCGCATCCCAGAACGCGTCCACGTTTTATCACTTTTGCAGATCCACTTGGATTTCACACTGCGACGGACAACCACCACTATGCCTCAAGCACACACAAACCGTCTTGCAAAGGAACAATCGCCATATTTGTTGCAGCATCAGCATAATCCTGTGGATTGGTATCCTTGGGGTAGGCTATCCGAACTTTGTCTCTGTGATCACAATCGGACTCATCAATGGCAATAGGTGACGAAGCCTTTAAGGTTTCAAAAGATGAGGATAAACCGATATTTTTGAGCGTGGGATACTCTACATGCCAGTGAGTTTTGTGCCGGTGTCACCGTTGATTGTTTGCTGCTTGAAGTGAACATGCGAGATATATTATTAATGCTATTCCCAATAGCTGGTGTCATGTCATGGAAAAGGAATCGTTTGAGAACGAGGACATTGCAAAGATCATGAACGATGGATTTGTAAAGTATGTAATTGTCTCTTTACGGACGTTGTCCCCAATCTAACCATGAGCGGTGGCCTCTATGTTGGTAAATTGACCTGTCATGTCCATAGCATCAAAGTGGACAGGTAAGGTCCCTTAGAAGGCATTTCCACTATACCTGCTTGACAAAGCGAATGCACAAAATCAGAGAAGAACGACCCAACGTTGATAGAGTGTACATGGTGAGATTCTGCATCCATTCCATTACAAACAAATAGTGCCCAACACTAACACGGTGGTCCAAGACGTTTGTTCAAGCTACGACTGGGCACGGTGGATGGTACATACCCGAAGTGATTGAAGGATTGATAATGGGCATGCAATTAATCTGGCTTCTGGTCACGGCACACAGGCCAATGTCTGTGTTTTTAACACCAGACCTCAAGCCCATTTTTGGCGGCACATATTTTCCACCTGATGATCGGTGGGGTATGTACTACGAGTTCGATTCTATCTTTGTTTATGCAAGGAGGATGGCAATAACAATATCTGTGAAATGCTTTTACGTACAGGACAACCAGGATTTCCGACGGTTCTGAGGCAGATCAGCAAAATGTAGGATACTTGGCATTCTTGTTGATTGCGAACGATCCATGACAATAGTTTCTATCAGGTGGACTACCAATAAGACGAAAATGATGGAAAGCGGTGACAGGATTATTGATGCTCTGCGTGACGGATTGGAGGTTAGTCGAATCCATTCTATCTCCAAACACATAAACCATAGTCATTGTTTTGTGATAAATGATAAAGTCCAAGCCCGGATCTCGGTCAATTCCGGTGGAAGCCATTTCATGGACGGTGCTTGACAAAGCGTACGGGTATTACAAAAAGACGTTTGATGAAAAGTATGGTGGATTTGGAGGTTGGTATGTCAGGACTACTGGTCATTTAGCACATTTTGATTTCGTGTCCTAACCCGTTACGTCCAGATGCTCCCAAGTTTCCCACACCCGTCAACCTCTACTTTCTTCTTCGGTTCCACAAGTATGCCGCTCCTCTGGAGCATATTCTGCAAAACCTCTCCAATGCGTCAGTCGGCGTTTTGCGAACACTTGCCACACGGTACGGGCTTGGATTGAGGATCGGAGATGGCGGTTTGGTGGAGACGCAGGAGATTGTAGATGCGGTTCGAAAGGGGCTAACACGTCGCAAAGAGGAAAGCGCTGAGGCATTGAAGATGGTGGAGTTTACTTTAAAGGTAAGCATTTTACAGAACAGTAAAACCCTGTTATTTTTTTTTGGTTTTGACTTTGGTATTTAGCAAATTGCTCGAGGCGGGAGTAAGTATCCATGATTCATCTGCCATCAGTTCACATCTCACATTATGCAGTTCACGACCATATTGGACGGGGATTTCACCGATACAGCGTGGATAGAACGTGGCATGTCCCGCAGTAAGTCCATATGTACCCTGTTTCTCCCTCATACTAACAATGTACTAATTCCTTATATTAAGCTTTGAAAAAATGCTCTATGACCAAGCCCAGCTTCTTACGGCCTACACAGAGCTGTTCACGATAACAAAAAATGAATATTTTGCAGAGGTGGCGTGCTTTGACAGGCGAACAGCCTCAACAGCAACACTCATATTGAATTGATTTTGGACGCTACAGGTGGCGGCGGATATCGTAACTTATCTTTCCGAAAATCTCTTGAGTCCCGGTGGAGGGTTTTTCTGTGCCGAAGATGCAGATTCTTACCCGTACGTTGGGGCTAAAGAAAAGAAAGGTACATGAGAAACGTTGTGGTGGGCCATCTTGAGCATTTCAGTGATGGTCACCTCCTTAGAGGGTGCCTTTGCCGTGTGGGAGTACGACGAGATTGTCAACATTTTGGATCAACGGACTGCGGAAGTATTTATTTATCATTTTGGAGTGGAAAAGAATGGGAATGTGGACAGGCGATACGACCCGCATGGAGAGTTGGCCAACAAGGTACGGAAAGTCAAGGCTCGTTTGCTGGGTTCGAGGTGTTGTTCAAACATTCACCGCCGTGCCCGATTTTTCCTCAGAATATCCTTTATGAGCGACATACGATCGACGAAACTGCAAAGCATTTCAATCTTGGTCCAGACCAGGTGAAAGAGCTCCTCGAAAAAGCCAAATCCATTCTCCGGGAAAAGCGTGCGACGCGACCCAAACCTCATCTCGATGACAAAATAATTACCAGCTGGAATGGTACAGTATATCCCCATTACTGCCATAGTCAAAAGAGCTTACTTACGCCTCCTTGCAGGGCTCACTATCTCTGCACTTGCCAAAGCCCACCAACACATTGTCATCGGGGGACTTGGCGCAGGTGGAATGGGGACATCCACCAGGCTATTGGATCTCGCACGCAATGCAGTGGGATTCTTAAAAGAGAACATGTACGACAACGAGAAAAAAGTTCTGAAGCGGAGCTTCAGGCAAGGTGCATCGGATGTAGAAGGGTTCGCGGACGATTATGCGTTTTTGATCAATGGTTTGCTGCTCTCTTACTGCAATTCTCTTTGCGCATTATTGGAAAACTCACCAAATTTGATACACCGGTAGGCCTATTGGATTTATACGAAGCGAGCGCGGATGAGAGTTACTTGCAGTGGGCTATCGACCTGCAAGCCACCCAGGATCGCTTATTTTGGGATGAAGTGGGTGGAGGCTACTATAGCGGAGCAGTGGATGATAAGAATATCTTGTTAAGGTTGAAAGAAGGTCAGATACGCTAGCTTGTTTTTTGAGTCTGGCTGACATTCCCACATGTTCTCATGAGTTGATCGTGTCAATTCAGAACATGATGGCGCTGAACCCGCGCCATCTGCTGTGGCCTCCTGGAACCTCCTGCGGTTATACAACATTGTTCCGTCGGCTGGCGATTACCATGAGAAAATGAAAAAGACATTCGAAGGTTTCGCGGAGCAGCTTACGACCCACCCACAGGCGATGGCCTTTTTGGCTTCTGTGCTGGGTACTTTTGTAGTGGGGACGAAGAAAGTCGGTTGATTGGCCGTCTTAGTATCCACCACTTGAAATCTAACCATGTCTTTAAAATCCGTAGGTGATTGTTCATAATCCTGTCAAGCAACCGTCTAGTCTACTGCAAATTATCCAGTCCCAGTTCTTGCCTAATCGCATCTTGCTCCATGCTATACCTGACTCAAACGTCATTCCTCGTTACAATGAAACATTTAAAGCAATCTTGGAGCACCCAGCGGATACGGAGCAAGTGTTTGTGTGCAGTGGGGAGGAATGTGGATTACCTGTGCGAACGACGGAGGAAGTTGAGCGAGCGTTGAGTGAGGGATAATGAAGCAGTTTACCGGGGATTGTTGATCTAGGCTGCATGATCTAGGGTGCTCTTTGGGTCAGTTTAGGATATGTCAAAGCATACGGATGTATTTGCATTTGGATCAAAGACAATATTGGCACACACGCACAAAATGGCAGCCTAAACTGCGCATATTGGTAACGAATGAAGCTTTAAAGCTTTTATTGAACTATATAATAGCATAACTGAGTTACGATCTATTGATGTATCTCGGTACCGTGGTTCGCAAAAATTCCATGATAACTTTATCCAAGAAAGTACACTTTGATCATCCACGTCTAAACCATGGAGTCTTACACAGCAACATTGCATCAATGTTAGGGCCCTTACGCACTCGTCTCGCACCATTCTGCCATCGTGCTGTGAGTTGAATCTTTTTATACCTACGACTCTCGATATCCCGCTGCCCTATAAGACTAGGTACCCGAACCCTGAACGCTAATACACGGGGATTTGAACTAGCGCAGTTTTTGTTATTGGTGACATTGGGATCCACAGACAGTTTTTGGTTGTTAATCAAGCCAGTACTCTGGATGTTGTGTGTAAGCATTGTGTTTTGTAATGGCCCCCAAATTCAGGGCCTACAGACTAGGTAACTCTAGCAAAGCATGGCTTTATAGGTAGAATAGTTCGTGGCATGATGCACTTTAAAAGTTGAACCTGCTCGCACACCTTTTGATCTCATTTGAGAGTGGCATAACTGCCGAGACAACTGGTTAACCAGTTTCAATAATCTTGAATTTTGCATGGAACAGTGTTAAGGGTGTTGTGATATCTGAGCTGCAATCTAGATCAACTTGAGATTTGATCACCAGCCCACTGCCTATGTACGTCCTTGTATGCACATATAGGTGGTAAAAAGCAGCGTTCTTCGCTCGCTCGCCATGAGATTCGCAAATTGCCATACTGTTGACAACGTGTAATTCTTTTACATACATGGCATGTGCTGTTTCTAGACAGTTCAGCAGCTTGAATTGTATTTAGCTTGTCGTAAGCCACAGACTTGCCACTGTGTAAGCCAACTCTTTGTAAGATGACCTTTCAAGATCAAACGCAAGGCTTGGTTTCAATTTTTTGAATTACGAGAAATCTATGTAATGCCATGATTTCGGAGCGTCCCCATCATCCACAAACAAGTTGGGCTTTCGTCAGTCTTTCGTCTCCCTTGACCCAACTAATATCCCTAATATTGTTTTTTTGCATAGAAGACACTTTAGCTTGCCCATTCACCGTTTGGACGGCGGGGAGGTTATCGACATGAATGTGACGGTCCGCGCCCCTCACGCCTGTGAAAGGCCCATGAAATTTGCGGTGAGAGTCGCTTGAACCATTTTTCTTTTTCTTTGCAGACTCATGCAGCAGCCAAAGTATGTTCATTGTTGCGGATGAACACGGATGTGGTGGTTTGGGTCTAGTTCAAAAGGTTTTTTTGCCCACGAAATTTACTCTTTCATGAGGGGGCTTAATAGCATGAATTCGTATACTGGGGCTTGGAGGGGAATTTCTAGTCTTTGCGTCCAAATTCACTCTGTTTAGGCAATCTTTGTAGCATTCCTTCCTAAGCTCAAGTGAATATCCACAAGCCGCCGTCATGTTCGTGTGCAGCAAATGAACTTTATTTTTGCGGCAAACAGCCCAATCTTTAGAAACAGCATGGCTGAAAACTTCCAGGGTCCTCCTCACAAGATGATCAAAAATCTTTTGAGAGTAATTTGTCTTGGATGGTCATTCCGTCGTGAAAGCTCCAAAGGCAATTGTCTTGCAGACGCAGCTGCGCCAAACAAGAAGGTCTTGAAACCGCCTCAAAAGACAAAACAAAAAATCATTTTGCAAAGTGTAATCTCCTACGATCAGTCAATTGGGGCCTTCACCGCAAAATCCGTCTCCCTTGTCTCCCTTGGCCGTTTGGAGCCTTGAAAGCTTGGTTTGAACAAAACATGTAGCTTCGCCCCCCAAAAAAACACCTTTCAAGAACAATGTCCATTGGCAACCCCAACTCCGTAGTTTGGTCAAGTCAGTTTTTGGTAAATTATTCCTTTAACTTTTGCATGCAATTTGTAGGATTAAATTTTTTGTTTTTATTTATTCTTGATGTCCAAAACGGAGCGCGCAGCAGATGTTTTATTTTTTTTAAATTATTAGGCATACAGAGACTAGTCATGCATCAAAGCAAAAATAATCAAAAAAAGGAATTTTGCATAGGCGCATTCTATGGCGTGGCGTTTGGTAAATGGCACGTTGGACGTTGATATTGACTTTTACGAAAACCGTGGGGTTTTCCCCACTTTCCTGCGGAGAAGCTCCGCACCGCGTCCGACGGTCTGCTCTCTAGCGATGCTCAAACGATGGTTAGAAATTCCATCGTCAACGATGGGACGAATTTTCTTATAAAAGGATGCCCTCTGGCTTCCCCAAGATCAAAATCATCCCACTCAACAACACTCAAATCCAATCAACACTTTCAACCCTTCGGTTCTAAACCTCATCAACAACAAATCATGCAGTTCAAGACTCTCATCGTTGCCCTCGTTGCACCCGCTGTCCTGGCCCTCGCTGCCAGTGCCAACCCTGTCCCAGCCAACGCTGTGGCCGCTGCCTCCGAGATCAACAGCGCTGACTCCCTCGTGAACCTTGAGAGGAGAAGGTGTCCCCGCAAGACCTGCGACCCCAACAACGTTGCCAACAAACTCTGCTTTGGCAAGAAGAACTGCGGTGAGGACGGTCCCTGCGTCTCCTGCTGCCTCGCTTTCTGCATTTAGATCTCGTAAGTAGTGTGTTTTTCAACTACATCTTTTGATGGAAAAAGACAACTAACATTACTGTATCAGTGTCCAACTACACATGGATTTGGAAAAATAGTCAGATTTACAGATAGTCATATATTGTTTATAAATATTAATATGTTGAATGTTTTGCTCGTCCAAGTCTGCGTCCAAACTGAAGATTGCTTATGTTATCCATTGCTGGGGCTTTGTCAGCTGGGATGTTTTTGGACCAAGTGGCAATGCCAGCGTCGCGAATCTTTCAACGATTTCTTTGAGCAAACTTCAACAGCCCATCATCTTCCGATGAACAATATCCGCCCAAACCATCTGATTGCAGTCCCCTTCCTCCTGGGTGGCGCATGGAGCCTATTAGCTCCAGGGCATATGCTGGCGATGAGCACTACATCCGACTTTTATCCTCCCAATCCCCAAACCACTGAAGAAAAAAGAACCGTCCGTGCATCAAAGTTCCTCGCGCGCGGCTTTGGATCTCAAGCTCTGATATGCGCAACATGTTTGCTCACCATGCAGCCTACTCGGCTGTTTTACAGAGCATATGGTTTTTCTCTTGTACCATTTTTGATATTTGATTATTTGGCGGTTAAGAGTCGGGCTTTGACGGTTGTGGGAGGTGCTTTGGATTTTGTTGGGAATGTAGCAATGTTGGGACTCTGTTGGTGGGGTTGGTCGCTTTGAGAATTGCTCGTTTCATATCGTCAGTTTTGTGGTGTTGTCAATGAGTACAAGGTTGAGGACAGGTTGAATATAAGGACTTGTACAATCGAGAGGTCCTGCACACGGGTGGACATTGAACTTGAACCATTCAATATATCCGTACCTTTGTTGGGCATATCATGTTAAGCAACGTCCACTTGGCATTTGATATGCAACTTCCAATATGAAATGACCAACTTCCTTCTTTCACCTGACATAACGTTTTGTACGGCCAATGTCCGCTGAGTAAACGTTGAAGCGAGACGTACTTGTACAATCTGCTGAGCGGGTCCAATCTAGCAGATCGCAAAAAGTATAAAACATGAGAGCAGTGCTACTCGATGGGTGTTCGACGCGGCTCGAAACCAACGACCGAAAACGCTTTATCTAGCAAGCTCTCCCGTGGATTCATAACAACCTTCACCTGTGTTTAAACGGTGTCCTAATCCTCCTCGTTCTTCGTATTCAAACGTAAATCACATCCAACACTGTCATTCGCGCATAATGCCGCCCATTTGCAGAAAAGTAAAAGTTGCCTCTATCTCAAAGCAACCTGCACTGATCTTGCCAGCCGAACGTAAGGCAGACACACTTTTGCACACTATAACATATGCCATGGAACTTTAATGTTATCATTTTGTTTATTCTCAATGTTTACCGTACCGTAGTCTATTTCAGGTAATACAGAGCCCCCCAGGCTGGATTTGTCAATAAGGGTCAAAAACCCCCTCTATCTAACCCCTCCTCTACGAATCAAGTCACTTGGATGTCTGTTTCATCAACAGGCTATATCAAAGATGGGTATTCCTACACAACGGGAAAACGATTGATGAAAAATGGCGTCACAATACAATTAGGTTCTTGTAAAAGCCACCATGTCTGGCAATACAAAGCATATCTATCAATACCCTCAATGTACAATGTATTTTTTGGTAAGTATTTTGAGGCGATGAATAGGTATATTAGGTAAAATATCCCCAAAATATATTCCGTGTTGTAGCCCCCCAATTGCATATAAATAAATTCCCTTACATCTACACGGCTGTGGTTTGGTGAGATGGATGGACCGCTTGGTACAAAAAACAGTGTCTGATCTAGCTTGTTTTTTTGATTGTTCCAAAATTAGGTTGACACTGGTCTACATCCGGCAGAATACTTTGCAGTTATGCGAGTTTGGTCGAGCCCCCAAAAAAAACCTTTACATAGGCTTATTACCAACAACTGGTCGACACGCCCGACTCGTCTGCTTTTGCGGTTCTTGTCGACTAGCTTGAGATGGATAACACAACTATAACAGAGTGGATAGGCCTCCCTGTATACCGTCCGGCCGATCGGCTTCGACTTGTTCATCTTTGGATATCCGTCGTTTTACACTTTGGTTGTGTTGGGTTGGCGGCTTTCAATTGTGTTCTCTTTTGTCTGTATCCGGACTTGCGCAAGGGGGTTACTAGATGGCATAGCTGGATTGTATTTTCGATTTGTGTGGTTGATTTTTTCCTGTAAGTCTGTGTTTTGGGCAAAGAGTTGGGAACCTTTCCAGTAAGTAACACTGCTATTACAGAAATATCTTTCAACTCGGTGCAGTCATTGATCAACTCGCTGCTGGAGGATGGTAAGTTTGTTCGTTGAAAGTGCCAGTTTGAACTGATAGTTGACCGAGTTCTGACTGACTGACTGATGGAATATTATTCATCACCAACCCGAACCAATATAGGCGTTTGTCCGACACTTGGTGTCAGTTCCAAGGATTTACATCCGCTCTGTTCGGTTTCATGTCGTTCAACGGAGTTACAATGCTGACGAATGAGCGAACATATACCATTCTGTTGCGAAAGACCTGGACGGGCACGCACACGTTGATTGGGGTACTCTTATCCTATGGAAGTGCACTTATTTTGGCAGCTCTATACTTTTCTGGGGGAAATCGATATGCCTTGCAGGAGTCTGGAATTTATTGTAGCCCGGATTGTGAGTGCACTGCTAATTTGTTCATGTCCGCCAACAAACTAGTCGTAAAATTAACTGGAATTTTCGCTGCTAGACGGCGCTATCCTCCGTCCTCAGCCGCATCCGACTGTCAATAGAGTAGTCAGCTACTTCCTAGGTGTCATCGCATTTGTCACCTATACCAATATGATATGCACCTACCTCGCAATCTGGATAACTGTCCGAAAAACTGCCCGAAAATTGGAACGAGTCATAAAGATCAATGCGCCCCGGGACAAGAATGTCGCCAAAAGTGACGGAGTGGCACCTATAAGCCAGGATCAGAATGCCCTCGCAACCCTCTCTTCAAAGTCAAACGTTCCTATTGACAAGGAAGAAGAAGAGGATTCAAGACGATATGAGATCCGTGCTGGCGGAGGAGCCAGCGGACAACCGCAATCCGGGTCCCAAAAGGAGTCATCCGGAAACGATTCCAGTGACGCAGGAAATAAATTCATGTCGAAAAAGAGAATGACTTTGGAAACAGGTTGCGTATTTGTAGACCCGATCATCTAAAATTCCACTTTGAGAACTAATCTCTGAATTTTCACAGCCATTGCAATGAAAAGCGCCATTATGATTGGCTGCTACGTACTCACCTTTATTGCCACTTCCACCAAAATTATCTATTCGGGAGCTCGTGCAGAACCCATTTCTCGGGAGTGGGACATGATAGCAGCTCTTTTGGCTGTATCTCCAGGTACGAGACTTTCTTAACTTGATTGCCACCTTGGCACCATAGCTTACCAATGACATTATCAGGTATTGTCAACCCGCTGTGCAACGATATCATGGATGTACGATGGAGACGAGCAAGTCTGAGCATGCTAGCGGCCATTAGGAGAATACCAGGAAGATTATTGGGCACTCAAGAGCAGTTAGCGGAAACCAAGGAACCGATACCGACATCGACAAATGTCAGCAGCAGATATTTAGTTCCGGCTGGCGCGAGCCCAAATTGATACGAGAGAGATAGATCACAGCCATTATACAGACAATCTTTGCCTGTAACATAGTACCTTTACGTCGCTCAAATTAAACATCTGCATGGTGGGAACAGGCTCAGGTTGCTATTATAGCATAGAATAAATAAGCAATAACTCTTGATATTGGTTCCACCGTCGTTAGCCCAGCAACTGCGGACTAAACCGACAATTAGATTACCTTATCCTTTGGCATGTAACTTGCATTTTCGAAAGACTACATGAACAGGTGAAGGTCCATCACTTTACCTCAAGCACAGCCAATGACCATGCACTTCATTATCTGGGAACACTCCCTGTCCTGGATATAAGCTGCATGTTTGTACAGAATACGCTAGTTCTGAAAAGTGCGGCAATAGCGTATCGCTGGACTACGTAGATCACATAACGATACCAATCGGCCCTAGTTGCTATTGAACTGAATGTGACATGCGCACTGCTGGTTACAGATACACTATTCGCTCTGCATCCCTTGAATATGTGCCGTTGGTATGTGCTGACGAAATCGCTCTATGTGCAAAGAAATGTAATTTGATAATTGGTGATCGAGCGCTGGATCATAAAAGCAGCGATTGGGACCAGTGATTGAATTGCGACATTCACAATTACCAACCACAGTTCCACATTTAAACGGTTCTCAAGATATTCATCAGTGAGAGAACGCATTTCATTGCGTGCGATTTTCATATTATTTTTTTTTCCATGTGTGAATTCCACATGGTTTTTCAAGTACAAATTCCGATAACGCAGCAAACGCGCGAAAGGTGGAAAAGCACATGGAAAGCCACATTCAGTTACTCTGGATCTTTTGCTTCCGATGGCCATACACACAAATTAATTCAAAGGGCAAGTGTGCGACAGTAAGAGACACTAGGGCTCAGAAACAACCTTTGCATGAATTGACGGATCTTGGCTTCATGAGCCAAGGATTTCGTTTTTATTTTTGTGAGTAAGGTTCAGCTATAGCTCTTCAAGGTGTGTCACTCTGCATCGTAGTCCCAATGTCTTGTACCCAGTATCTCCCTGCCATGGGCTCACAACTCCTCGGCCAGCTGTGGTTGTGGCATGATTCACAAAGCCACGAAAATGGCGATACTTTCCAAAATAACGTCAACAGACGCCTCCTTGGATCTAGCATAACTCCCCACATCTCGTTTGGACATGGCCGACAACCATCACCCATTTTTTTTTCGCGCTTTGGGATAGCAAAATATTGCAGAGTATGTTGCAAAGTACATACAGTCACGCACAGAAATTACTCTGCCTCTCTTTTACTGTGTTTTTAAAGCATGTAAAGCGAGTCTGTACTATGTAGAAAAGCTAGCCAGAGGTGCCAGATGTTAAAGATGCGTCAACACGTGGAGTTACGCTTTGTTCTAGCATGTTTAACGAACGTTCTTTTGGGGAACCGCTGAGATGGTTTTTCTCGTTGCAGTGTTCTTGGTCAAGTTGGTCATACAAACAGCAGATGCAAACCGAGCATTCGTGTCAACCGCGAAAGGCGGGCTGTGGAATGTGTTGTTGCCACCTGCACAAGTCCTCCATTGTTTTGCAGGCAATTGTTGGTTTTTAGGTTCTTACATAATAACTAACAAAATATTTAACAGATAACTATCCAGGGCCTTGTCCATTGCTCTTTTAGTTCTGCACGTTGCCCCATTCAATGGAACAGTTGCGTCGGCGTTCGTTGTCGTTTGGTTTGCCATTGTCTTTTTTCCAAGGGAATTCTAAGCTATACAAGAGCATGACCACATTAAAATGAAATACTTGCGCTGAAAAAAGCCGCATTTCATGATAGAAAAGTAATTAATTGACATACATTACAAGACAATGAGAAGAGAAAGTAAAAAAAGTGTTTTTCGTCTTTGGACAAGAGGGCGTCAAACGCGTTTCGAACCTCCGCATTCTTGTTCTCTGTTTGGGGGATCTTCAAGACTTTTGAACACTTATGGCGTTTTCTTCCACGGCGCTATACAATCATTGTATATGATCAAGTGTTTGAATACGGTCAAGGCCATGAATAATTAGTTTTACAGGACTTACCAGCCTTTGTTTTTGACGTACGTACAACAACAGTCACTGCCATTAAAGTTTGTATTGGGGTCTATTCACAAGAGAACCCCCAAAAGCCTCCCTTTTGAACTTAATTCAGTGAACCATCCTGGCACGACATACACAAACCCTTGTAGATGCGCAATGAATGACATTAACAAAAACCCCTAAAATAGAACCCTTACCCGTGTATCGCAGAGTGTGCAGAGTTGAGGGAAGAAAAAGGAACACTTAGGGGGGGGGGGGGGAAATCTTAACCCTGACACGGTTTGATGCTTAGCCTCGCGCCCTTTGCGGGTTGCTTTACCCCCCGCCCACATGATTGGTGTGCTATAGTGAGCAAACTAAACGATAGTTCCTTTCTTTACCCCCCCTTTCTTTTTTTTTTTTTCTTTTTGCCTTTCTTTACCAGGTCAACATTCACAATGTTCGAACAAGTCGTAGCTATTCATGCGGCCCATATTACCCTATTATTATTCTAGAGTGACCTTTTTCGTCGCTGATGACTTTCTTCCTTGCGCAAGGGTTAAAGGGCTTGCCCTTTTAAAAAAAACTTATACATATGTACGATTGTTTTTGACGAGCCCCGACGGTTTTTTTTTCAAACTGTCTCTGTTCTATCAGATACACACACATTCCCATCATGTCAACACGAACTCGTTTTGACGGTGAAGTAGAGTTGGTCTGGAATATCACCCACATCTCCTCCCTCGTCTCCATATTTCTCAGTTTGATCGGTGAAGTATACCTTTTTATTCACATAAGAAGGTACTTTATAGCAAGACGTCGCAATGGCCGCTATACGTCGCCATCACGAAGACCTCCAGCTGTTGTAGCCTTTGCTGCTGCGATCGCCATCTCCGACTTTTTGTTCAGTGTTCACCATGGGATTGATCACCTTCACAGTCTCATCACTGGTTACGTAGCCGATGGTGCCCTCTGTGAATGGCTCGGATTCGGCAGCTTGCTGGGATTAGACTCGACGGCAGTCTGGTCCTTTATGCTCGCTTTATACATGTCTTGCTTGGTGCTCTTTGGTATTCGCTTGGACGATAACGAACGAAAGGCCTGGACCTTCATGGCTCTGATAGGTTGGGGCGTACCTCTTGTAGCCGGCATCATTGTCTTGTGTCTGGGATTCGTGGACAATGCCGGAATGTTTTGCATGGTGAACCAAAAGGTTGCCTCTGTGGTCCTCAAGCCGGGTCTCTTTCTCTCAGTCTTTTTCTTCATTGCGCTCTCGTACATTGCCATCGCAGTTAAACTATCGATGCACGACCGTGTTCAAAGCTCGTTGTCAGCCGATGTAGATCAACATATCGGCAGTGACCCTTGCCGGGTTGCTCGTCAACAATCAAAACTGCAGACCAAAATCGGGTTACATCTGCTGCGCTTTACAGTAGTATACGTTCTACAGTTTCTGCCAGTTTGCGTCATCGTGTTCACGACGGCCCTAGGAGGGACCCCCAGTCTGACTCTCAACGTATTCGATAAGATACTGGCTAACGGAAACGGATGGATGAACGCAATCGCCTACCGACATTTTGCCATGAGAACGCAAGACGACAACAGCGCTTCATCTGAAGTTCCTACAAGAGACGCTGCTGGCAAATTGTCTACGAGGAACAACCCCACCATTGGAGCTACTCGTCTGTCAGAGGATCTTCTTGAACCCGTCCCCCCACCAAGAGTCACTTCGTATCCACATGATAAACGACTCCCCACACCCCCAAGCTCCCCCGAAGCGGTTCAGACCCCTCGTTCGGTTTTAAGCTTGCCTGTAAACGTTGAGCATGCGGACACCAAGCCCCTGTCCTAGTTGTGATTCGTTGACCTTGTAACACCGTATCCAATAGAGAGCGAAAAACGGCATCTGTCTAATTTTTTTTTCCTAGCATAGTTCCCTTGGCGCGTTGCGGTCAATCTTTTTTTTTAGTGTTTTGCTTGTAGGCAACTATTCCTAGTTTTAATATATACTTAATAACCGCAAATAATACGAAAGCTGTAAAGTCGATTGCAGCCTGTACTGCATAATTTTATGATTGTCCTCGTGAACAAGGTATGTAGCTGTTCAAGAGGTTTTGTCAAACACAGTAAGCTCTGTAACCAATCTACAGGAGCACACATTATACAAAATGGGATGCAACGTAACATATATTTACAAGTGAAAAATTATACATGATATTGTGGGGGTTTACTCAAAGTCTATCGGGAAAGTGGATGCTGGAGAGCAGATCCTGCCAATCTCCATTGCTCGGCCTCAGCAGCTAATCGAGCAGCATCATCAAGAACACGCATCCACTGCGCCATGTAAACATGTCGATCTAATGTTGGGATAGAGTTGGAGGAAAAGTCGGATGGGAATGAAGCTGCAGATGTTGGTTGTAGGTAGTCCTGTACATGATCCTGATCTTGCTCCTGGCCCGTTGATGGATGAAAAGACGGTTTAGAAGACCAAATGTCAGAGTATCGTTTGCGTAGAACGACCGTTTTGGGATTTGAAACAGTTAAAGCCGATCGAACTGAGCGTAGTTGTGGAGTAGATGTGGATACGACCATGACTCCATCTTGAGCCTTTCTGCACAGTGTACAATCACAAGATCCTGTCCATTTGTGAAGAATCGGATGCCGGTTGACTGAAACTTTTGAGTGTGGCACTGGAGATGCAGGCGGGGTGAGGAGGGCATGCGATTGGGACGTTGGGATGATGACTGGGGCCAACTTGGGACGAAGGGAGGGTGCTGTATTTTCCTTTTCTGCTACAATGACTGGACTCGTTGAAGGACCGTTGGGTGTCGTTCCCAAGTTTGCTCGTCTGCCTTGATCAAGAACAGGCACTGTTTCAGTATCGTCTTCATCTCGTGCATCCAAGAGCCAGTCATAGCGCCGGGAAACTGGCACGGGCGGTAGGAAGGTATTGGTTTGCATTTGAAAAATTAAGATGATACTTTTGATGATGAAAGGAAACGGCCCCCAATACAAGTATTAAGAAACTAGGAGAAGGAACGGAACAAAAGAAATATACACTGGCGCAAAGGGGGTTGACAAAGTGTTCTGTATTTATGAAGATTGGAACATTTTCTTTTTTTTCTTTTATGTGAAAACGACCAAGTCCAAAAAGCTCAACAACTATCTACGAGTGTTCAGTTGAAATGGAGAACCGATCGCCACCCTTTTCGATGATTGAATAGTGGCTGTTTGGACGAGAGCCTAAAAGATAGAGTTGATGTTTTTTTTTTTTGTTTTGGCGAACTTCAAAGTTGATATTAACAACAAGCGGTGAAATTGACTTTTTGTGTATTGGCCACGGTGGTGTGGGCCTGCAGGCGACGACCGCCGCGGCGGAACGCACACCGCGTCTTTCCAAATGGTAGGATGTTGCAGTCTGCCACTTGGCCCAAAAAAACTAGGAATAATTTGAAAACAAAAGCAAAAGGCCACTTCATTTCATTTTTTTTTTTGTTAATAAACTTTCAGATGGTTTTGACCACGTTGGGCCACGTTGAAAAGCACACGTTGCCATTTCAAGATGCCCATGTGGGTTGGAAAGCAAGGTTTTTTTATTTGATTTTTGAACGCCCAAAGACGAGGATTGCCACACTTGCAATTTATGAGGTCGCTGCTCAGGCTGACTCTAGTTACTACGGAGCATCTCTCGCACTTGACTTTTCATCGAACGATGTGCTCGGTGGCGGATCAAGCAAAGCATTCAACGGGAACCCCATATGATTCAGTACAATACATACAGTGCACTGCTAGCATATTTCACGGCATCTCCAACATCCATAAGGCAAATCTCTATTGGTTACCCAACTCCACTTTGTGAATATCTCAATGTTCGATTCAACTAG